CGAGGACGTAACATAGCGCACCTGTTGCGTTCGTTCGCCTCGCAAAACCTGTCCCTCCTCACTCAATCCTCCTCCGTTACTGCACCCTCACCCTTTTTTCCGGGCGCACGCGCTCTCTCTCTCTCTCTCTCTCTCTCTCACATACAAATCTCGCATACAAATCTCGTCTACCGTCGTGTATCGTCTGAGACATTTTTTATTCGACAAAAACCAAGCTTCCGCAAGCTTGCGCAAGCCGTCTGCCGCATCTCGGTTTCACGTGTAAATCGCTACCTCGGATCAGTCGAATCGTCACAGATCGCGCGCGCGTAGTCGGAGCGGACGGCGCAGAGCCGATTTCGCCGGACAACGGTAACAATGAATGGTTTCGTGCATAAATCGTGGGCGAAATTTTTCACACACACGCGCGCGCACGCGCGTATACACACTCACGGACCCTTGGTTGAACCATCGCGCCTCCTACGCCGCCTTTATTCGAGGCGCTATTCGACGATGTTCAATGAAACACGCGGCTGAACCCACCGCGTCTCTCTCCTTGATCGCCGCTCTGCTCGTCGCACCCCTTCCCTCGACAGCTTCAACGCGGAACTAACTCTTATTTTAGCACGGATCTCCGGCGGATCGCGCCGAGCGTATGACGCGACCCTTGACATTACGCCCTATCGATCGTTTATTTATGCCGAGGGATGATTTATCAAACTTTAAGAGATCCAAAAGGAATTATCTTGCCCCCGCACGCACCGGGGCAAGGGGACGAGGGAGGAGGAAGGGGACGGCGGTATGAATTATTCTCGAGAAATCGGTGGACGTTTATACGCGCGAGCGGAATGCGAGCGACCGCGCGAGTATGCGCGGAATCGAGCAGTCCTCGGATTGTACGGCGAGTTACGTCAATAGGAATATCCGTACTATTATGTTGCATAAAGCAACGCCGAGGGTGACGCGCGCGTTACGCCCCGATGTCGCCTCAATGGACGATGACGTAAGTTACATCTGCTTACGCACGATTACGCGGAGAATCAAGCCGCTGGTAAGTTCAAGTGTGTGTCGGCCGGATAAGCGCGCCATTATTGCGCGCCGCGGCGAACGCTCGGCGGCGAGCTGTTTCAATCAAACTTTCTCCTCTCTCGAGGAGAGAGAGAGATAAAAAGAGAGAACGCTGCTGTGAAGCTCGCGTCTAACTTCGAGTCCTGCCTGCGACGTGTCAGGAATAGATTTTTCCCGGGGAGACGATCGCGAGATGAACGTGTTGATTTTCGGCGTCGGTTGCTCGCGTGACCAGCCCTCGAGATTTGGGGATCCTAAGTCACACGATACACGCGTGCGTCGACTGAACAGCTCGCTTTGAACGCACGTGGAGCTCTCTGCTCGGAGAATGTGATCGGGATTGCCCGGGAATAGCGGATTGATTGGAACTGGGCCTATCGCGGCAAGGGCGGAATCAAAATCAGTTGACGAATTCTACCGGTCGATTGTGTGAAATTACGCTTTAAGACGCACCAATCGATCTCTTGGCCTCTGATACGCAATCCTCGGGTTGCAATATCTGGCCTGATACGAGCTTTAACCCGTGAATGGGCGCGTGATTTTCTCGAGGAATCAAACAACCGCTGTTTATAGCTGAGATTCTCCTCTGCGTTCCGACGCAGAAACGATTCCGTAAAGCAGATATATTTATTCGATAACGGAACGAGGATGTCGCATTGAGGCCAACTTGCTCTGGTAACGAGTTAAGTTGGCGTGCACGAGGTAATACATGCACCCGCGTAACTCACGCGTAAACGACGCGGGAGCGAAAGTGATTCGGTTTGCCACTTGGTGGTTCACGAGCAGCAGCTGTGCGCCGTTCAGGAGTGAGAAAGCGGCCAATGTTTAATATTGCGACATAATGCGAGCCGCACGCTTCCTCGCGGAAGAAAGTCCTCAGAGGCGTCGTCGTGCATGACGGCGGTGATCGATATCATCGTACACGGCTCTTAAGCGGATCGTGCCGGTCGTATTGACCGACAATTTTCGCGCGCGGAGGAAGGTCACCGGCTGGCGGACATGTTACAATCATTACCGTAATCACGAGCGCGCTCGATCACGGCGATCGAAGTGACCGTCCGTATATCGACCCTGTTGCCACGCACGACGCGGCCTGAAAGTCGCGGTTATCTCTCTCTCTCTTTCTCGCGCATCATCGATTAGAATCCTTGACGTCAACCGGCGCGTCTTCACGATTCGATTAAGCCGAACGGCCATTCTTGACTTGATGATTGCGAATTGAAGATTGAGACTTCATCAATCGGGACGAGTTGACGCGCTTGTCGGGAATTCAACGATGAGATTTTTCAAGACTTTTCTAGCATAAAAATTCTGAACAGTATGTCAATTTGGTCAGTTTTCCTGTTCGCTTAATTCAAGCTTCCTTTATAGGCATTCTACAATAGGTTATTTTAAGCCTTAAATCTCAAGGAATTTGTCAATCAGTCGATTGTTCTCGCATTCGACTGTAATTGGCTCATTTTTTAAAGCTTAAGGCTTAAAACACTTATTGTAGAATACCCATAAAGTTCGCATCAGACCAGAAGCGGTATCCATAACAGTGCTATCAATTTTGTCTACGCAGATACCCGAGTAACTGAGTCAATATAACGGTTAACTTCCGACGAAATTGATAGCACTGATTCACAGTCAGATCTTATATTTAAGATTGTCTTAAGTTCATCCTCAGGTATTGTGCGATTCACTTCATTAGCTACGAAGCATCTGGAGATAAACTTAAGATCAGATCTAACTAAGGGGATCACGGTTTAAAGATCAAAAATCCACTGTGGGACAAATCATGACGAAGTGAGTCAAAAGCTAGATTAATCTGTCTAATTCTGATCTTCAGTCAGCAATTCTCTTTGATTGAACCGGACGAAACGATCGAAATTGGTTGATTCCTCGCATTCGAATCTCGAAACCAGAATTTTTCGACATCAAGGGGCCTGTTACAGTTCTCAAAACGAGATGGGAATTACAAAAGTGAGCAAACTCATCAGGCATCGACCGATGAAATTACGAATATTCTAGTAAATTCCTTCACTATTGTAATTCTTCACTTTGAGCGAGCTTCTTGAGGATCGCGATAAGCCCGCAATTTGCCACGGGCTTTGCGCTTCCTGCAATTTCCGATCCTTCCTCCGGTTTTACGCCGAGCCGAATGGACTCTTGGGACCTAGAGCGCCGAGCTTCGAACAAATCCGACATCGTGGCGGCATCGGCACAATTCTCGCGCTGATCGTCGCCACGAGCTCACGGTGACCGATCCCTGACCGCAGAGCGGCGTCGATCGATATATCGGGAATGGCAGCCGCCGCGGCGGCCGCGCGTCACGCTATACACGTATGTGCACACGATATACGCGCTGCCGTGTGGCACACACCTTGACGATTCGATTGCCGTCCTATCGCGCCTCGTAATCGAGACCTCGTTACCGTCGATGTAAACGGCAACGTCGTGCACCGGGTCGGCTCGGCGACGGGCCGCACGAAGGCATCGCGAGCGCCGCGTCGCCGCTCGCTCCCACGCGACGATAGAAGTGGTGGACATCAACGACTGGTCAGACGCAGCGTCTGCCCTACACCTGTCTCCGTTCCGTACTTCTTCGTCATCACACGTCGCACGACACGACAATTCGTTTTGTTACACACACACACTCTCTCTCTCGCTTTTCGACTCAGTGGTCGATATTCGGTCCGTAAATCGATATTCATGGATCTTGTACATAAAACTGTCTTAAGTACATTTTCAGATGCTGTACGGCTTATTTTATCAGCTAAGAAGCATCTGAAGGTGAACTTAAGTCGGTCTTAAGTATAAGATCTGTCTATGAATACCGGCCGTAAATAATCTTGTATTCAAAATCTCTTTAAATTCATCTTTAGATGCTAACTAGTGAAACCGTGCGACATCTGAAATTAGGACAATCTTGGATACAAGATATCTGATCATGAATATCGTCCAATCTTTCTTTTCCTCTCTCTCTCTTTCTCTCTCTCTCTCTCCCTCTTTCTTGCTTCTTTGTTTCTATGTTTGCAGAAACGAGGTGTAAAGAATACGGTCGAATCGAATATTTCTCAGCAATGCTTTCAAGTTCGCTCTATATTTATTTTCCTTCGCACGTCCTAGTTAGAAGTGGGATCGTGGTTTAAAGGGAAACGAACGGTCGCTAATTTCGCATTAGCTGACGCTGTTTAATTATCAACGTGCGACACCGGTTGAACGCCGCGAGCGTATTTTAATCCTGCCATTTCGCGTTCGCAGCTGGTGATCACGAACACCGCCTCCCGTATTCTTTACGAACGTCAAATGCCAAGCTCCTCTGATGCTACATGCTGTAAAGGTACCAGGCGCTTTTATATCTCCACTTCTCTCGCCATATCCCCGTCACCTTAAGACTATTATCTTATTAATATACATCATTATAGCGTACGCCCCCGTATTCGCCCGTGCCTTTACACTTTGCTTACTCGTGCTATATTTATGATAGCTACGCCTCTGTTTCTATGGAATGTCAAACGATCCGTCGTGTAACCACCGTAGCCCCGACGCGTTAGATACTTTTTATGCACGCGGGCTTTTTGTCTATTATTGTCGGAATATCCGTTTCGAAGGAAAACGATGAAAAGGAAAGACTCATATTGGAAACGCCGCGGTATGTTATGTGTCGAAAGGTCGACCGTTCGTGTATCGCCTCAGGGAGGATAGAAACCAACCCCTATCGTATGTGACTGAGAGAATGCGGCGAGTTCTCTTCCCCTCTCTCTCTCTCTCTCTCTCTCTCTCTCTCTCTCTTTCGAAATAGAAGGAACAACCTCCGAAGAATGTCTTCCAAAAGATATCCGAAAGAACGGAATGATATGCGGACGCCTTGTCGACGTCTTTTAGACACTCGTGTCGCGGGGTGAAGAAGACACACACACACACACACACGCACACACACACGTGACGTACACGAGAGTGACACTTACGGTTGAGGAGGTCGAATACTCTCCACCAGCGTAGATAGTCACCGCTGCTGCGAACGTAAAATAGATAGACGTAGCGCGACGTAGCGTTACGGAGATAAGAGGCACTGCGACGTCGAGAGGAAAGGAGGGCGGGTTCTGGGATACCTCCGCGGGATACCTTCCTCGTTCAACCTCGGTATAAGGGTAGCACAATCGAGCACCGTGCGACGACACTGAGATGATGCACTTTCACACCGACAGACGATGCAGAAGAAGAACAACCGACGACGACGACGACGATGACAACGACGACGACGACGACGACAACCACCACTACTACCACCACCACCACCACCACGACAACGACGGCAACGACGACGTGATGCTTCTCGTGGGATTCCTCCTCGCGCGATGTCCTACCTCCTTGGTACGTGCGTGCGTGGACGACTCGTTTATTCGCTCTCCACTTGGACTTCCGTTTCTCCGAGGCTCCCTCAGCTGCGGATGACGATGGCGTCGACTACACGGGCTGTTCGAGGCGCCCTTTGCTCCCGATTTTCTCTTCTCCACCGCCTCGCTTCTTCTCTCTTTCTCTCCCTTCTTCCGTCACTGTTTTCTCTGCTCTTCTTCTCCGCTGTCGGCTCCTCTCTCTTTCTTTTCCTCTCTCTCTCTCTCTCCTCTTCCTCCACCACCACCTCCTCCTTCGTCTCCTCCTCCTCTTCTTCTTCTACCTCTCTCCTCCTCCTCTTCCTCCTCCTCCACCACCTCCTCCTCCTCCACCCCCTACACCACCTCCTTCTCTATTCTTCACCGCAGCGGCAAGGACCCGCCCCGTGTCGCGCTACACGAACGTGTAGTGGATGAAGAGAGCGTAAAACTTGCTCTGCGACAACATTATCCGGCCGGTTATCGGTGCCTCGCGCGCCTCGTCATTTCGTCTCGTCCGTCCTACGTCCGTCCGCGCCGCAACGAAAATTGATCGTGTTGCGCGCGACGGTCCCTTCCTCGGGGACAGGCCCGTCGACGCGTTCGTATCCCGATCGTGCCGTCCGTGTCGCCCGTGTTGGCGCGGTCGTGCTCCTCTCTTTCTCTCTCCCTTACGTCCGGTTAGACACCTGCCGCGCTACCACCTCTCGCCGTTCTCGCTGCGCCCTTAACTGTCCGCCGCGAGGGACCGTGCGGATCCTTCTTTTCCACTCCCTTTGTTCTGTCGTCGACTCTCTCCGCGGCACCCTCGTACACACACACGCGCGCGCATACAGTCGCGCACACGGTGCTCTCTCTACACACACACACACACGCGCGCGCGCGCCGAGAACGTGCGCGCGCGCACCAACGATCGTTCTCTTTATCTCTCTCGCTTCAACCCTGCCTGAACGGCCGCGTTCCTTCTCTCTCGAACACTGTGTCCTCCTTCGCTACTTCTCCCACCTACCACCGCTTTCTGTCTCTCTCTCTCTCTCCTTCTCTTTCAACCCTCCCGCCCCCTCGGCGACCTCCGACGGTATCACCCCCGGAGCAACGCGGCCGGCACGAAGGATCGCTCGCTGTTAAACGCCACCAGGCTGAGAGTCCGTTCTCGCGCGAGTTCCTCTCTCGTCGACACCTGCGAGACGAGTCCACTCTTTCTCTCTTTTCCTCTCTCTCTCTCTCTTTCTCCCTCTCTCGCGCGCGCGCGCTCCTCTTGCGGTGCGTCTCTCGGTGCGGTATCGCGAAAGCCTTCTCTCCTCGGTGCCGACTGTCGCGATCAGCCAACGCGGGGACGTTACTGCATCGCCACGCGCCAATCTCTCGCGCAGCGGACTCCGCGGGAACTAGTCACGGGGTGGCTCGCACCCCCATTCGCGATCCGCTACGTGGGCCACTTCCTCCCGCCGCCGTTCTTTTTCTCTCACTCTTCTCCCCTCCCCCCTTCTCTCTCTCTCTCCCTCGGCCAACCCTGTTAAAACCGTGGCGCGGGTTCCGCGGCGCCTTCGGACGAGTCGTCGCGACGCCAAGACCGCGGTGTCGCAGGGAGTGTCGATTTTACTCGGCGAGTTAAACTCGCGCGGCGAATCGACAAGGCACCGCCGACGATACGGACGACGGGCTGGAGATCAATGCTCCGTTCAGGGCTCGTAAGTGCTTGCGTGGTGCGCTTCCGTAGCACACGGGCCGGATCAATGAAAATGTACCCCTCCAACGGTGCCGTGGACGGCGTTCCCGCCGCCGCCCCCGCGACGGAGGGAAACCACGGTACCACACCGCGCCACTCTTACTACCTCTGCCTGAAAACATCTGCCTCGGCAACATCCCGCGAGACCTCTTCGATGAAAGTTCTCACGTGCGCGCCCGTCGTCACTGGGAATCGTCCGGCCGGTGCTTGCGCGCTACCGCAGGGGAACTGGATGTCGTGAGGGAGACTCGGTTACAATTTGTAATAAGATATATTTCATCAATCGTGCACGTGTCGTTCGATCACAAATCGCCTTAGAGCGATTCAATTTCTTTTCATTGTACAATCAAATCGCGCGCGCTCTGCGGCCCGCCCCCCGTCCCTCCGACGAGCGTACCCAGGGCTGAGCATAATCGAGCGCGCGATTCCTCGTTCGTGCGCGAAAATGCAACCAAACACACACGTGAACCTTCCTCTCGTGGTGCGTGTGTTATGTTCCTAAATCTAGTACGATGGGACGAGGAACCGTGGACGATCGCGCGCCGAGCACGCTCGCCGGAGAAAACGGCACTAACATCTCGTTCGCGCTTTAATATCACACACTGGTAGATCAGATCCGAGCTAACTGTTCGTGTAAAAATATACGTGTCGTACATAAATATAGGAATATCTCTTTGTGTAGAACAAATGGTGGTAGATGGTGGCCTGTGTGTACCTAAATGTACACGCGACACACGAAGAAACCACATGGTTCGGGCGCGCGCGGCTCGCGCGCGGACATCGTCAGCCGGCGACGAGCTGCGCGAGGCTGACGACCGGCGACTCCAGGGTCGCCTTGCGAGGCGATCACTTTCATTGACTTAGGTAGACGTCGCCTTGTCGCTTCGGCATTCGGCGAATGCAAAGGTACAGGCCGGCGATGACCATGATGAGCAAAGGGAGGCCGAGGCCGATTGAGATTATCATAATCACCAGATTAGAGAATTTCTCCTCGGGTGGCGTGCCGTATCCGATGATGAACGTCCTTAAAAGAGGGAGAGGAAGCTCATTGGTCAGAGAAATTTCAGCTTGGTGCGTCCGTCGTCTCAAGTTCAACCAACTCACCATGTCAGATAATTCGTCTTCTTATAGAAGCCGTCTCCTCTCGAGCCCAAGGAGACCGTTACTTTCTGCAAAAGTAGCGTGCCCGTGTCTCTTCCGTAGTAACAGTGGAGCATCGAACGATCAATGGCGTTGGCGCGATTCGACACCTTCCTCGGAGGATACTGCATTGTCTCGGTGGAACTGGTCACCTCGCGCAACGCGCTCGTGTACGATACCGGGCGCCATTGTAAGTACGCTCCGGTATTCAGCGCGCTGTCCAAGCCTTTGTGGGGCGGTATTCTGACCTCGACTACCTGAGGAAGAGACCCGGTTTCAAAATATGTGCGTTGTAATTTCACTTTTGACTTGGAGAAAAAAACAGACGAGCAATAAGTTGATTCCGCTGGAAATAATGGACGCTTATAATTCGGAATAAGGCAATCTTGAAAGGAAACGATAAAAAAAATACTGATTATCAAAAATTAGGATCTCTGACAGTGCAATTTTTAACAATCCGATCTATTGTCGAGTCGTACAATTGGGAATAAAAGCGAAACGCGTGACGAGGATTTAAATTACGTTCTAAAGTAAAGATCGGCCCGCTGAAACGTGACTGAACAGACCGCTTTGCGCCATCTGGAGGTATTGTAAAGAAGCTCATTACATTTAACGGATTTGAGTCTCGGCTAATCAGGGTTCGAGTCTTGGATAGTTGCTTTGGGAACCTTCGCTACGAGTCGTCTCTTCAACGAGAAATCGAGGTCGGGGTATGACACAACGGCTAGTCGATCGGCGGCCTTTTTATTTTTTTAGTACTACGATCGAACGGCAGGTCAAAAGACCTTTTCATTCTCAAGTACCACGTCTCAGCGGCATGTCAAAAGACCTTTTCACTTCAAAAGGTACGACGGAGGGACGGAATTTTTACGGTAGCGCTACTGGAACGGTCGGACAGAATCTTGTCTGTCTCTGCTTATCGAGAAGAGACAAAAGTCGTTCTGTCTGTCGATGATTCATACTATTGAAAACTGTGAAGCCAAGTAGGAAAAGTTTCAAGATAATTCTAGAAAAAGAACATACAGAAAAGCCGTTCGCTCGGTAAGGATTAATAATTAAATTTTGACACGTCAAATTGAAGTACCGCCGACATGGAAAAATTAATCGGGTCGACGAGCATCAAGAAGATGCACTGAATCTTTTAACGAAGAAGAAAAAATAGAACATCGATTCATCGATCGGATCATCGTCCATCTTCATGTGTAACTTGTTACCTCAAATATACCCGGTGTGTGCTCATCGTCCAGACTCTTCTTCGGGTCGACGAACATCGGTATCTCCGGATCACCGTTGCCGACCACGAGCAATTCGATCGCGAACCTGCTCTTGGAGAACGTCTCATTAGTCTGTACACCGTCGAGAACGATGTCCACCTGCGTTGAGTTCTCCGTGTGCAACATGTGCGGCACCATGTCCGCGTGGTCGAAAGTGCAAAATCCTCGCAGCTGTCGAAGGGAGATTGGCTTTACTCGGATTGCTTCGCGAGTCGCGAGCGGGACAAAAGGAAGCCAGAGGTCGGATTACGTTCAAATTTGAAGCTGCTTTGTCTCGCCTAATCGATTTCATTGTCACACCGCGTATAATTGTTTTCGCATGCATCGCTATGAGCTACCATGAAAAAGAAAGATATACAAAGAGAGAGAGAGAGAGAGAGAGAGAGACGCGATACTTTCTCTGGAAAATGCTGCAAAATACTTTACCGAAAGCTTTATACTCCCGTATCTGCTGATATTCTTAGCTGTATCGTGATAAGAGTTACCCTCCATATCCAGGTAGACAAACTCGTCGTTTTTCGATAAGGACGCGAGCCGCCAGTCGAAATACTCGGGATACAAAACGTTCGTACTAGCGACGTCGGCAGTGTCGATCAGTGCCGTGTCATTTACGTCGTTGAATTCGATAATCTACGAACAGAACGAAAAGAAACGATTAGCGTTATCGGACAGCGTCTGCGACCTGCACGAGACGCGATTCTCCCTAATCGCGCGCTAATGAGGTAAGATACAAAAATCATCGCGAGGCACACGACCGACACAGATACACGCACACACACACGGCGGAACCGGGTCAGCAGATGGAAGTTGGCGCGCGATTTACATCCCGAAACGCGATCGCGATCTCTCGCGCAAGATCGCGCGCGTTAAACGCTAATTGGGATTAAAGCACCGTCGTCATTCTGCGTGGTCGACGTTCCCGCGAAATTTCCGATGGACGCACGGTCGATCGGTAGCACGGGACGCTTCTTCGTACTTGTCGCTGTGCAAACTTAAGAGACTACATAATAAATAAAAGCATGAAGAATCATTTTTCAAAAGTACACCTACATAAAGTCAATAATGTGGTCAGCAGAGAAATTTAAACATCGGGTGTTTTTCGAGCCGCTCGAATGTATGTAACTCCTTGAGAACTTATTCCGTCCTGTGTACGCGTCAATTATTCAGCCGATTCGTCAATTCAAAAGGCAACATGGCGGCGGTCGATGAGTGATTCGTCGGCATTGAATGCGACAAAGTGAAATTCGACTCAGAGCGAGAAAGTTCGACTTGATTCCCAACAGATGATATGTTATATACATATCTACTGCAAATAACAATACTGATAACAAGCATTGTTCGCAATAAAATTAATGTTTCACTGTCAGTAGCGCTGATATCGACGACGATTATTCGGTCGATGAACGACTAGTTAATCTTCCACTGGACGCGCACGGAAAAATATTTGATTCAATTTATCAGACAGCATTTAAATATTCCATACCACGTACGGTTTCATAAGCTTTTAATTTTTAATTATATCATCGTCATTAATTATATACCAATTCATTTTGTAACTTTTCCTCTCACTATCTACGATATGTTTGCTTTATACTAAAAGGCCTGTTAATAAAGATTATTATTATTCTTAAAACACGTTTGGTATGTTCGTTGTCAGGCAAATGGAGCCAAACTCATCCGTGCAAAGCATGAAATTCGGCCGAAGGGATCGAACCTTCCCTTCCCGAGATGCATCGCGCTGCGCAGATCGAATATCAAAGAGACAGAAACGAGCGGAACGTGCTCATTACCTTATTCACTATCACCCCGAAGGTATAAACGGGCGGCTCCGAGAAGAAGACCGAGTACTCCCGCCTGTCGAGATAATCCGGCCAGCTGATGTTGAGCCAGGCGGAAGCCGGCGTGAGCGCCAGCAGCACGGACGGTCTGCCGACGGTGAAGTCCCACAAGTAATGCAACGTGTCGTTCGCGCCATCGGCTCTCAGGTAGAGTGTCGTCACGTTCCGTCGCTGACAGTGCTCGTCGCAGCCCGGATTCATCCACGATCGTAGCTGCGAAGACCAGGGCGGATGAGTAATGAACGCAGGCGGGTGTTCCATACGAATATCGTCGCAGCCGCTGACGCGATTAGACGCACGCATTAACGGATGGATGACCCAGATCAGCGGCGGATTATCGTGCCCGACGGCCTTGTCGTTCGCCTCCGTGCCCTCCCCCTCATCATCTCCGCCCACCTCCCTCGAGCGAGCTTACAATGAACGTACGATTATCGCACAGAACGACGTTACACATTGATGCGAGCGAGCGCGGATCCGCGTTTACGTTCAAGACCCCTCCGAGAGACGCCGCACTCTTGCGATCTCGGAGATTCTCTTGAGCGGCAGGGGAAGAGAGAGAGAGAGAGAGAGAGAGAGCTGCGGAGTTGGAATTCGCGAACGGACAGCGACGATGTCGCGATAATACCGCGTGACTGATTACCTCCGTCCCCCTTTTGCCGTGTCAGGGGGGAGCCTTAACACGTCGCGCTGGATTCGCGGTCGGTTTTATGTACTTGCTTTACTAATTCACCGATACGATCGATGATGCCCGCCGAGAACGGTATTAAAGGAGGAGAATTGAGAACTAGGCCCGCGAACTTGCGAAATATCGATATGCGCGAATACCACCCGTTGCTGTTGGAGCATTAATAACGACAATTCCGCGTGAAGTGGCGCGCCTCTCATCGTCCGCAATTAACGCGAGTGCGTTAATCTTTAACACGTTGATTTCCATTAATCGCGCAAACTGTCTAACTGCTAATTAAATCACTAAAAGTACAGTGCGAGAATGCTGATGGAAAGCGGTCACATTCAAATATTTACTAAAGAGTATCGGAGTAATTATTTTACTCGGATTAAATCAATATTACCTGAACGTAGCACTTTTTTTCCTTCGGTATGTTATATTCAAGTCAATATTTGTTAAGGAGTATGGGAGTAATTAACGAATATTTACTCGAAGGTAGCACTTTTTTCCTTCACTGTAAATACTAAAATGGCTTTTAATGACCATTTATTATCACGTTTCCTTTTGGTGCAATTAATTAAAATTTATACGCAACTTGACAAGAGGCGGTAATGTCAGCGCCAGTCACCGATGATTCCGGCATTCAACGTTGTTATTATGCCTTAAACACAACGAGCTTATTAGTGAGCGATTGATAAGCCGATTATCGCGCGTATAGATGGCCAGGTGAAATGTGCGATAGAATGTAAACAAAACGTTAGGCGCGATCGTGGGAACTCCGATCATGAATTTCTCCCAAGGGCGAGTTTCACAGCGTCTCGACGTGACCGCTGAGATTCTTCAGATCGCGCTGTTCGTCGCGTTAAAACTTCCCAGCCACCGTCGTAATTAACCATCTCGCACGCGCCGGACGTTTCGAGCGGCCGTGTCCTTAGCCCGCCGCCGCGATCTGGGTCAGGTCGGTGGGCTACTTATCTGAATCACCCGTTTGATACGCGAGTAGCCAATTTATCAATAAATCCACCTGTTTAATAATTGACCGAAACCATAATAAGTATATGCAACGCGCGCGCGGCGCTCAACGGACGAAAGCGCGCGCACGATCGGAATTTCGAAGCGCAGGCCGGAAGCGAGAGGTTACGAAAGACGGACAACAATTGGACCCTGCGATGATAACACGTTCCCCTGCTGCCGGTCCGCTCCGCCGAATAATAAATAAATCGTTGTTAGTAACGCGATGAAAGCCTCGCTGTGCGACAGAGCGAATGCAACGCAACAGACGTCCGTTCCCGTGGAGGAAGGAAGATAAACAACACGCACGGAAGGTTCAAAGTCGCGCGCGATGAATCACGCGCGCCGCTCGCGATCTGTTTTCCTCCGGATCTCGGAATCGAGCGTCGAAAACGAGCGGACGTCGGCGACCGCCACGCGGTTCGTCGAGGGGAAACGAGCGGCTCGGTTCTACTCACTGTGCGACGTGTGGAGCAACCCGGGTTCGCCAGTGCGACGAGCAACAGACAGAACGTCAAGGCGCTGGCCATGCCTGACGTCGCGCGTTCGACGACAACGACGTGCGAAACACTGCGTCGACCCTCGCCTCGCCGTGAACGTCGTGACGCTACTCCGTGGTGACTACTGGTGCACGCTCGCTCGTGGGAACGCGAGTCTCTCTCTCTCTCTCTCTCGCGCTTGTTCTCCCCGTCTCTCTTTCGTGTTTCTGTCGAAGCAGCGCCAAAGTGTTCGGCGGGAGGAAGCGAGCTCGGACGGAAACCGATCGATAACCACTTACCGACCGAGACTCGCGCTCGTGGTAAGAAAGAGCCCGATTACCGACTCATTTCCGTCCTTCCGGTGCAGCAGGTGCCGCGTTAATGGCGTCCGACGCGCTCGCATTCGTAAGGACGTGATGAGCCTCTCGATTATTCTCCCGGCTCTCTCGCGGAAACAAACGGCCGGAGCGTATCGTTGACTTCAAGCAGACGAGGTACGTTCTCTTTAATATTAGAGACCGGTATTAGCGCCGAGTAGCGAATACGAATGATGCTATCGATGTGTCTGCGTCGTTATGCGGACGAGTCTAAAGCGCGCGAGGTGCAATGAATTCGTCGAAACTCGCACAGCCATTATGCTAGCCTGCACATTTCTCACGGAAAGTTCCAAAAAATGATGTAATTTCACGTGCGAAAACTATCCATACCGGTCTGTGTGCAGATTCATTTCGACGATCTCGGGTTGGTCGCGCGAAAAATCGCGCGTCGGCGTTTTCGTCATTCGATACTTTCGCCGTTCCCCGAAAGTTCGCCGAGCACGCCGTGCGCGCGTTACGCGCGAAAAATCCGCCATCGATCCCAAGGATCGCGCGCTTATTTATTTACTTACTCACACATAGGCCTTTGCATTTGTACTTACCCGTGTCCTCCGCGAACACGCGCGCGCCGCCCCAGCCGTCGCGCGTGCGATAATAGCGGTGCTCTTGAAAGCGATTTTAACGTCGGTGCATTGTAAATATGTAACATGAGCCGCCTTTCGCGCCGAGAGAAGGAAACTCGTACCCCATTGGCCGTCGTATTCCGCCAACGGTGGTGGAGTTACCAAGCCTCGACACAGTATCCTGCATATACAGTCTCGTAATCCCGCTTTATACTTTTTTATACACACACCTTACCTCTCGTCTCTCTCTCTTTCTCTCTCTCTCTCTCTCTCTCTCTTTCTCTCTCCTCTCGCGGAGGCCTTGAGACGCGTATTAAAATTCATCGTACCCGTGAAAAATTCCCATATCGTTGCTCTGCGCAACGCCGTTGCTCGGCCGCAGAGCACGAGCGCAGAAAGTCGCTCCTTCTCTCTATCGGGAATTCACCGGAGACGGATTAACGCTAGAAGTTATCGGCCATTTCTGACTGTTTCTAGTTTTTAGGTTAACACCTTATTTCTTGTGTGAAAGATAGGATCCTGAAATCTTACGACTCCTGATATCAATCATTTAATAAAGGAGATGATTAATGAAAAGTCATGAAATTCCAGAATCCCATCTTTCACACAAGGAAATAATTAATTTTTTTAAATATTAATTTAGAAAATAGAAACGGTCAGAAAATACCGCTCGGTACTTCTAGTGTGAACCCTCGAATAACATGGTTGGGTCGGATCCGACCGGATTCATATTCCAATGCTTCGCACACGCGCCTGTGAAGCGTCACATTTCAGGTATTTTATTTATTTTGCGATATATTTTATTCACTTTTAAATATTTTTTAACTTATTGTGAGAATGAAAAGTACTTAGTCGAAAAAATTAGTTGAAAAGACTATGAAATGCTCCTACGGTTCGAGTCCGATTCATGTGAACCTTGTTATTCGAGAGTTGAGTAATGTCGCAAGATCCTCGTGCACGACGCAACAGCGATTCGATGATGTTATCGATAGCGCGCGCGATAGACGATCGCAAAAATACTGGCTTGATGCAAAAGTTCGTTCCGTTTCTTCATCAGCTCTCTCACTTCTCCGCTCAGAAATCCCAGAATGTCTACGACCGCGGGATCACGCAGCTGCCGGAGAGGTAGCAGGTCATCGAACAAGACGGCGCGTACTTAATTGATGAGTTGTATTTAAGAATACATCAATATTATTCTACATTTTGATCGAAAAACAGAACGAACTTTTGCATCAACCCAATAATTACAATCCCGTGATCTGATTCGCGTCGAAATCTCCGCTCGAGGTCACAGGTCACACATTGCATGGAGAAAACAAGTTTTGCTGAAACATCAAATTGTTTGTTTAATATTGTGGCAGCAAGAAGATTTGTTGCACGGAAAAAATAATTTTGCTGTTGTAACAAAATGTCGTTGCTACAGCAAGAAAATGTCGTTGGTGTAACAAAATGATTTTGCTGTCCATATATTCAGTAAATAACAATTTACACTTTCAACAAATCTCTTTGCTGTGTAAACAAATGTTTTACTGTCTAAACAAATTCTTTTTTGCTGTCACTATATCGACAATATTTGCTATTCTAGCAAAATTTGTTTTCTCCGTGTGCGGCAAAATAACCGCAAGAGACATCCGAAAATCCCTCATGCATCTATAGTTTTCGGATTTTTTCCATTTTTCCGCTAGAGGAACCGAAGAAATCCGCGGACGAAGAACCGATTTTTTCCAACAATAATCCTGCATCGTGTCGAGAGACCGTTGTACAAAAATCAGCGAAACGAAATAACGTGTCTCGATTCGTCGACTTCCTTAGGATTGTGGCCGCGCGAGAAAGAGAGAGAGAAAGGCCGGAATTTCCGATGGCAACCGCAAATTACGAAGAAAGGCGTTGCCTTGGACGCGCGTAACATAATTGCTGTCAATTATATTGTCTTACGGGGGCCCGGTCACTCGCGCCTGCCACCCTTTTGTAACGGCGGCGATAGCGCGACGATGCCGATCGCTTCGGGACACCGGGTACAGACTGGGGAAAGAGAACGTGCAAAAAGAGCGTTAAAACGCGCGCGCAGACTGCGACCTTGACCGAAGCGGTGTCCGCGCGCGAGGCGAACATACGTGCGTCCGTCTAGCGAGTCGAGGGGTTCCTTCTCCGTTCCCTCTCGAGCTTCGCTGCCGAGACGATTTCTTTCTCGATGCACAAGCCACTTCGTCGAGGACGTCGTAACCGCCGCGATACGCAAAACGCGAGGCACGCGTTCGGCCCTCTCCGAGTGCGCGCGCGCGCTTACTTATTCGGCGAGCACTTTTCGAAAGTTCAGCGCGGCGTCTCTCCTCCGCGTGGGAGAAATTCTAAACGAGATCGAGCTCTGGTAGTCGTGCACCGCGTACGAGCGCGCGAACGAGCGTTATTTGGCAAGGGAAGCAATTGCGGGAAGTAATTATATATCAGGGGAAAAACGGATATAATCAATTGACTCGGTAAAAGCGATAAACCCTGCCGAAAATTTCCAGGCGGGTTCCCACGGAAATCCAAACGGAATCCTCGGATGAATCCATGTAGGATCGAAGGGTCCGAAATCCATGCGGGAATCCACATGGATCGTTACTCAGGATCTGGATTTTTGGCGGAAATCCTCAGGAACAACCGTGGGATACCGTATGAATTTCCTACGTGGATTCCCACCCGGTTTTTTTTTCCCAACGGGAAAGCGTCTGCCCCGCGCGATGCCCCGGAAAAGTTTATCTCTTTTTTCCTCCTTCCGTCCGATCTCATCGGCGATCATCAGTCCGGGGGGGAAATTGACGCGGGGGGGAAATTGATGCGCTGCCAAATACAGAACCCCGTTAATTAAGCGCGCCGCGAGAGCCGAGGGAGAAATTTCCGCGAGGACGACGACGCTGAGGAAGGACTCGCGACTTATTACCGGCCAGAACAGGCGGAACGGCGAAGAGAGGAAGAAAAGGTACTCAAGGTCAAGGCCAGTCTGCGGGCACTCCCTTTCGCGTGTGTCGACAGTCGGCCGGCGATCGGCCCTTCGATCGGACGGGACGATTTTTCGAAGATGCGCGAGGCGAGCAGCCAAAGAGAGGCGAACGCGCGTTCGCTCGCAGACAATGCTCTTCGACGACTTCGCGATACGCGGCGCTGAAGGTCGTCGCGGGAAGTCGAGATCCGCGGGAGAATAGAACTGTCTCGCACGTACCGGGTGGCGCGATCGAAAAACAGGTTTCGCCTTCTCCCGCCGCGAGGCCCTTCTCGATGCCGAGAGGCGGGCGAGATCGACGTCGTCGTGGCACCCGAGAGATAGCCTCGCGATGTCTATTCATCGGGACGCTACTTCGTCGGATCGCAAAGTCGCGTGGAACTCGATATCGCGCGTCCGGCGTATTATTCTTCGCGCAACTTCTCCGCGAAGGAGGCTCCTCGGAGCGAACTTCGTCGGCGACGAAGAAAGACGCGAGTCCTAACGTACCTGTCCGAGTTACATCAGTTACACCTCGAGAACCCATTTTGGAGACGAGAAAGACAGAACGACTCGCCTGTCCTTTATCCTCCGACCCTCGTTGCTCTTGTTCCTTGCGGGAGGAGGAGGAGGAGGAGGCACGTTCTAAAAATCGGTATGCAAACGCGAAGATCGCGAGATGGACTTAGCGTCCAAACGCGCACTCGCGAGCGGGAAGCTTTCGCGACGCGCTGTGCGATACTGAAGAGCACGCACGCACGCACGCACGCACGGCGATCGAATTCGAAGGCGAGCGCGATAATTGCAGCCGGCGCGACGACCGAAAGACCTCCGACTGCACGTACAACTCGCGCGCGCCGTCGCTGTCGCCGCTCGTCGCGTCGCGTCTCGGGGCGAACGAAAAACGGACAAAGAGTCTTCTTGCGGCAAGAGAGTACCCGCCGGTTCTCGGCCAATGAGAGGAATCGGCAACGATCGCCGGCCGTACCGGCGGCCGGCCGGTTAACGTGTTCGAACCGCCGCGCGCGATCCTTCGCGAAAAGGGGCGAAACAGGTAAGACCGCGCGAGTTCCCCGCGCGGAGATCCAGGAGCGCGAACAGAAGCGGTGGAGACGCGCCGATCGGCGGGGGAAAAATTGCTTCCCTCGCGCGAAAGGCAGCGGCGCGCAGGAATTTTTCGCGAGGGGGATGCGCCTCGGGACGCGACGCGCGTGAACCGTCGCCGCGACAAAGGAGAACGCGCGAATCCTTTACGAGAGGAACGACGAAGGAGCGTACGAATTTTCGCGAGGGAGATAGATAGAGGCGTTTATTTTCGTTTTAGTGCTGTAAAATGTTGCAGTACAAATTATATTTAAATCTGTTTACGTTAAGTTAATATCCCGGATTTACATGAAGAATATTGTAATTGTTGAAATAATGAGTGAAAAGTAGAATAGAGATTTTTTAACTCTAAGATCAAAACCCTTTGGAGTATACAGTAATAAAGGATACAAAAGGAAAAGGATATTTTTGATGCCCGAGTAGAGCAATATATGTTGCCATATATAAGATATATTGAAAGCTGCGCAAGAAGGATGAGAGGAAGAGAAGATAAAAATAGAAAAGAAGAGTCATGCCCCATTTTGCTGAAAACCCTAGATTCGCAATGGCGTCGTACACTGAGAGCCAGGATTAATAGGGTTTACATTGAGCTTGCACATTTAATATTAGAGCTTAATCCAGATCTAAAATCTGAAACACTGTATTTGCGACAAACTGGGAGAAAGAGAAAAAAAGTTGCATATTAAAGATAAGGATAAAAAATGAAAATAATAATAAGCGCAAAAGGAACAGGAGAGAAAAGAGAAAGAAAGAGAGAGAGAGAGAGAGAGAGAGAAAGGGGGACTTCGAAGATGGTGGGCCCGCGGCGCGAAGGAAAGCGAGAGGCGCCACGAGTCGGTCGAGGTTGAAGTAGCGAGAGCGAGCTCGTAAATCCTTCCGCGACCTCCTCCGCGAGATCCCGACCTTCGACGCGACTTGAAGCCCCGTAGAGTCGTCCGCTCGATGTTCAGTTACCGATGACTTAATTTTTCGAAATTTCACAGGGTCACAAAGTGGGGGAGTCCTCGATACCGCGGGGACCGCGGAGGAGTCGCGGTGGCGGCTTAATGCTGCGGAAAGTTATGCTATCGAAAGTAGCGAAGGCTCCGATGCCATTCCTGTAAAATTGCCGGACACACACCACTGCGTGCACCTCCTCGCCTGGGATCTGCATAACGATAAGAAGGGGACAAGGATGCACCGTCGACAGGTGCAACGCGCGTCGCAGAGAGCGCCCGCGACGGATTGATCGATGCGATATGTATACGTCGAGTGATACGGGTTATTAATTTAGTTTATAATTTCGCGGCATTATCGAGCTCACAGAGCGTGACGCCGATTCTCCGCAGCCACTCGTCGAGAAGCCGCGTCGAGGAAGTCGAGCGAGCGTAGGGATCGCATCGGCGGGATGCGATTATACAGTCGTTAGGGATATTAATACATCGCGTCGTGCATTTTAAACGACGTTAAGTCGCGAGGAATCGTACGTATGGAAAAGTGAAAGCGAGCGTTGCAAACTTTGCCCGATGCAAATCGGCACTTCCCGAGTACTTACGCAGGTGCACCGCCGACAGGAGTGACCGTGATTCGTCTATCTTTCCGCCATTGAGGAGTGTCGAACTTTTTCGCTCGGAAGAAATCTCTCTCTCTCTCTCTCTCTCTCAAGCCCGTGCGAAATAATTACCGGAGATTGAGGGTTGGACGTTGGAATTCGACGAGTCAACTGATTCCGATCTCGACCGGTCGATTTCCAATCCGCAGCCCTTCGTCCTCCGGTATTCATTTCGACGTGGCTGTCCGCTGGCAGTTTTCCACGGACGAACGAGCGCGAGAAAGGGAACGCTCGCATTTGTATGCTCTTCAATTTGTTACACGGATCACCTGTTCGTTCCGTTCGTTACACCTCGAGTTCCGAGAAGCACTTAACGTCCTCGAGAAGCCCCCGGTTTAAGCGTGATCGTTTCCCAGGCTACAATACCTAGAGAGGAGGAGGCCGGCTACCAGCTGTACCCGCACTCAATGTCACTCGGCCGAGACCGCCGCAGGAGAGCATCCGATGAGCGCGAACGAGCCGCGGCACAGAGCGGCGACGACGAGGACGACGATGAGTAACAGGTATGAGCAAAGACGCGTTACTGCACTCGCAGGGCGGAGACGCGCGTCCTCGACCGCGACCGCCGTACTCGACGGTGAGTTCTAAGAGCGAGCACTCCGGCCGAGCACTCCGCCATCTACGGATGCACTAGACCCGGCATCGAGCTCTCTTTCTCTCTCTCTCTCTCTCCCTTTTTCCCCTCTTCCTCCCGCGGGCGGCTTCGCTTCTGTATCCCTCGCGCGCCGGCAGGAATCACAGACAATTAATCATAAAAGGCACGAGTGTTTTAAAAGCGGTCCCGCGCGTGTATTGGTCCGCGGTCTCGCGGTGGTAGCAGTCGACGCCTGTGCGACGACCGCGACACGCATAGAAAAAAGCCCGAGAGGGGAGGGAACCGTAGGGCAAGAGGGCGAGGGAGCGGGCGGAGGGGGAGCAGAAGGAACGCGGAGAGAACCGGTTCTACCGGGGGTTCCGATGCCTCACAAGCCGAGAGAGCTAGCGGCCCCGTCTGGGTTAGCCTCTCGCGCGACTCGCCTCGACTCCCGGCGATTCCCGCGAGAGCGTCTGCTCCGGTGCACCACCTACCCACCTACCTACCTGCTCGCAGTCCTGTCTGACTGCCTGCCTGCCTATGCGTCCGCCCATACCTGCCTACCTTCGGCCACGAGGAGGCTCTCTCGCGGAATTCTCGAGACCTCCGTCCGATTTTCTCCAAGGGGATACAGACGGAGCCGCACGGACGCGTGTAAGACACAGCTCCCGCGATTCCAGTATTTCCGCGGATTTCATGGGCCGCGCAAGAACGACGCCCGGGAGAACCGGATAGTATCGTGGCTCTCTCTCGGCGAGCACGATCGGCTTGAAATCGCGATCGCGCGAGGCCGGCCCGCGAAATAATTGTAAGGTAAAAGCACCGCGCCCGGCCCGGCGTGTTGTGTTGCTCTTTAAATACGAACGTTTAATTTTTGAACATGAAATATTTCCACATACTCAATTGCCCGTATTCCGAGTCCCCTTTTGTCGATGAAAGTGGCTTAAATGTGGCTCAGAAGCCGCAATCAGGTGGCTTAGAAGCCACTTTTAAGGTCATCTTTATCGATAAAAGTGAGTTCAAAATATGGACCAATGTATGTATACAATATTCTATGTTGAATGTTCGTATTTAAAGAGCAAAACGACAAGAATGTGTCCAGAGTACCTTTACCTTAAAATCTTCCGTGTACCTTGCGACCGATCCCTTGTAATCTCTACCCGCGTTGACGAGATCGCGCGCTCGTTGCTTCCGACGACGACGACGACGTTGCGCTCGACCCTGATCGCCAATCCGATCGCGGGCGCCTCATCGTTTCGATAGGGCAAAAAGCAGTCGGTCCCGGAGAGAGCGGGGAAAAAATATTGATCGCGAACAAAGGAACGCCGCATCATGAAGCATTCATGTTCGAGAGCACGTTGAAGACGACGAGCGAGCGACCCGGCCGTGGGTCGGTCCGACGTATCGCGAGCTGTAATCTGGATGCACCGCTCTGACATTTTGAAGAATCTGCCGATGAAGGATGGGCGCGAGCCGCATACTTTCGGCACGACGATACAGACTTTAATAAGCCGCAGGGATCGAGGACGCTGCGAAGCCGCGGACACGTAACTCGAACAAAGCGAGACGCGCACGTACTGATGCTGCGCACGTAAAAGAAGCGCTCGTTTAGCCCGGATCTGCAATAGGTGTAATAAGCTTTGAGCCGTAAGACATTGACTAATCACAATCGAGTGTGAGAGTGTGAGAATAATCTATTGTCATTGATTAATTTTTCTTACGGCTTAAAGCTTACCGCATCTATTGTAGATCCGGGCTTATTCGCGGTCGATCCGGCGGACGCGAGAATTTCAAATTTGCGGCACGAAACAACGTTTCGTCTTCAAGAATCGTCCCGAGGGTGGGAAGCTTGTTCTTTGTAGCTGCACTAGAGTTGCACCGGAACTTCGTTCCTTTTCACGCGGAAAGATATTACTTGTACTGCGAAGAACAACGATTATTCAGTAACATCCTGAAAGAAAAAACTGCTACGTTCAAGTAACATTTATTTAATCCAAGTAAAATAATTACTCTAATACACTTTGGCAATAATTACTTGAATGTAATATTTTTCCCTTTCAGTGTACAGTGAATTATGCATGAGCGAATGTTTTAATCGATCGAGAGCGAACATGTTTCTATGAAAGCAGACTACATTGGATTCACTCTTCGATTTCGAGCGCAATTATACCACCCGATACAGAGAGGAGAATTCAATTCTGTGTGAGTGAAAAATCACTCGACCGCTCCATTTTTCGAGTGAAACTTCACTCCGACAGATTTAAATAGGATAAAATTTAAACGGATGAAAGGAATAGATTTAAAATTCCCTCCCGCTTTTCTAACTTCAAAGCGAAGGATCGCTCCTCTGTCGCCGTGAACGACGAGAAGGAGCAACGGGAGGCGCGCTTTTGAAAACGAGAGCTTCGCCGTCCTCGTAATTTCTCCTCCCTGCGTGCGGCTTCGCGAGAGTTTCACCGAATATGCAACGTGCGCGACGTGAATCAACGAGAGACGAACGCACCGCGCGAGTCGCATTCCTGCACCGGCAGGATGATAAGTTCGCGCGGGCGAGCGAGTGCACGCGTGTGTGTGTGTGCGCGCGCGCGCGCACACGTTTGCCGTCGCATTACGAGGATCGGTACGTACAACAGCCGGCTTCGTCGGCCCCGGCACTGACCTTGGGCGCCGAGTCTCGAGCATCGGCTCTCGGCGCGCCGTAGACGCGAGCTGCTTTAAAAGCGGCACGCTCGCTCCTTTCATCGTCATCGGGAGAGGAGAGTGCAGGGGTGTACTCCCGAAAAAGCTGCCACCAGGTTGCCGGGTGCTGCGCTCTTCGTGTACTACACGACTCTCTCGCGGAAACTATGTGGCAGCCGGAGCAGCACCACCCCGTCGCGGCATCCGTCTATCGCGGAAATAAAGAACCGCTGTTGCTCGGTAAAGAAGATAACAAAGACGCGCAGCGCGCGCTGGACAAGCAGAGCTTCTCTCGCCGCTGCAGCCGCTGACGAGAAGTTTACGGGAAGTTTATGAGAAGTTTCCGTGATTTATAGCTGTTTAATCTCTGCTCATTCGCAACGCAGAACGGAAAATTGATTTTCCACGAGTCATTTTGCCAACGAAGAGACGCAAAGCGAAAACTGTCGTATTATCGATTGCAAGAAGGTCGCGACACTTTTTTTCCTCGCCATGATTTTCGCAACGCATTTGTTATCCAATAGGAAAATGCATCTTGAGAATGACTCAAGAAAAAAACAAATTCCTCTATTGGACACGGGACAAGTTTCCGAAATTTGTCCAAAAAAATGTTGCAACCTTTGCGCGACTGACCATATCTGTAATATATAGGTGATGTTCATATATTTATTTTGTAAAGGGCTGCAACAAAAGTCTCGTACCTCCCTATAACGTTTTATCCTGGAATTTTCGCAATTTATAGTACGATATAATTAGAAGTAGGAGTATTGTGGGATGTCGTGGTCGAAGGAAATTTGTAGAATGTGTTCGAGCATGAGAGAGAAAGAGAGAGCAGGATTCTGGTTTGGTCCCAGGTGCATCCCGACCCGACTACACTCCTGCGAAGGAGAGTGCAGGATGAGTTTCTAGCAACTTCCATCGCTGAATACAAAGTCACAAGAAGTTCTACGCAAGTTCGCGCTCGCCGAACCGCTTCCCAGTGGCGGATGAATTCCGGCGCGAGGGAAATTATTTGAGAAATTTGTCGCGCTTCCAACGACGCAACGATGATACGAATACACCCCTGTTGAAAATTTCCAGGTGAATTCTCGTGGAATTCCAAGGAAACTAGTGTGATTCCATGTAGGAGATTAAAATCCTTATAAGAATATGGATTGTCACTCAGAACCTGGATTTCTGTCTTAACGATGTCCAAAAGACATCCTAAATTCTTTAAACATCTTTTGTACGTCTTTACGATGTCTTTCGAACATTTTTACTGCCTGGGATCTTTCTGTTCCTGCAATTGAGTTTTCGCCTGATCCACAGGGGAAGATTCAATTGCACCAACCGAATTGTCCTTTCCGTACACACAAACGCGGTCTTTATCCGGCATCCACTCGTCGGACGAAGGATTCCTTCTACAAAAAATTCCTTTCAATAACATAGCTCGATCAGCATCGGTCGTTTCTATACGTCGCGAGATCTCTCGTTAATCTCTACTTTGACTTTTGGCAGCGGAGAAAACTCAGCGACTCGAGCATCAAATTGTCGAGCTCTGTATAAAGCGCGCGCGGTAATGAGCAACAATTCACGGCGGGATTGATGAGACCACGCGCACTAGTCGCCGCGACGGGACTTCAATAGTCATCGTTGATCTTTGCGTTCACTTGTGCATAGACTAGCGTAGGGAAAGAGTATCGGCGGTTAAAGGCAGTCCTGTCCACTAAGCGGGTGTCGCCTCGCGATATCGATGAATTATCCGGCGATCATTGCGAAATTCCACAGAGTTCTTTTGAACTCGTCTGTCCGGCTCGAGGGGACGACGAGCATAGTCTCCGGTGAACGTTGCAATTAGCAACCTGATCAAGTACAGCTGGCAACGCGCCAATGATGAGTGTCATCTGAAGACTTCGTGTTGACCCTCGACCCTCTTCGAGCGGAAACCGAATGAAGTGAATCCGACAGGGCGATAATTCTCCTCAAACTATCCGATAATTTCGCAGCGTCGCGTCATTTGCGATATTATTTAATTCGTACACCTGTCGGTTATTCGAGTTCTCTCGCTCGATTCGTGTGACTCGTCGTCAGTTCTTCGATTCGCGTTTCTCAACGTTCTCTGTTTGCAAAGCCTCAGCAACTGATCTCGAATGAGACGAGCAAAAATCCGACGGGATCGAGTTCGCGGTAACGAGCGGCAGGGACTATCGTTCGTGAGTTAGCGCACGCTGAGACGCTGCGAGGCTGTCAGCGATTTATTCACAATTCCGGCTGGAAATTTGATTTTGCAACTGACAAGTTTCCGTCGCGATTTCGCCCGTGTCTTTAGATCACTACAGATCTCTTTCGGGTACGATTTATCGCTGCTACGTGTCGAAGCAACCGGTAAACCAGTCGTCTTCAATTACGATGTGGAATCTTCCGTCCCGATTGGTCAATTAAATGTTACTTTATCTGTCGAGTACGGTTTTGGGTAGCTACGTTAATTTCCCGAACAGAAACGAATTTCTAAAAGACCTCTTAAAGACGTCCGAAAGATGTCTAAAAGAAATAAGACGTCTTTCGGACGTATTCAAGGCATCTTTCAGAAATTTGTTTCGCCTGGCTTACTGTCTCGTCACCATAATACATCTACGAGATCCAATTTTGATTCGGGCCCTTCCGGATAATCCGCAATAAAATGAATCGTGAAAAGTCGGAATAATTCCAGTCATATTTTCCAGACAGTTCCCCGTTCGTCCGAGTCCTCGGCACCGATCCATATTGGGAACGGACGGCGAGAGTCCATCGGCGACGCCACCTGGGGAAGCCACCACGTCGCGTCTCGCGGGGCTGCTGCGGTGGTGGATCGTTCGTCCGTTCGTTCGTGAGCGTCGCTCGCTCGCTCGCTTACGAACGAGCGAGCGCGGAACACAATTCCTGCTGGCCGATGGAAAGTTGGCTGGCTCGCGTGTTGCCCGTGCCATAGGAATTTAAACGGGGATATAAGTATAAGAACGCGGAGACGGGGAGTCGTTCGCGGTAGTGTGAGGCACAAACGCGCCACGGCACCACACCCAGAGTGCCCAGCGTTGCGACAAGGGACACGGCCATGCGCGTCGCGGTGATTGTGAGTACCCACGAGCTCCAAGTGTTCTCTCCGTCCTCGCACCATCCCTCTCGGCTTCACCCTACGCACCTTGAAAAATCGCGGTTTAACGAGACGCGGGGTGTGAACGGGCGTTCTTCCGCGATCTGAGAACTTGACCCGCGAAATCGGGGCCGCCCCGCTCCCTTCCTCGGCTCTATTTTCGACACGTCACCAGCACCCTCTCTCTCCGCGAGAGAGATCGGATGAACAATAACCCTCTTGATTTCCGTCTTCGAAGTATCACGGTGCGGGGATGCAGGGGAGACTTGCCTAAATCGTACTTCAATATTTCTTTTCTGTAATTATCGATTACAAGCGTGAATCTGGTGATAAGTATATCAAATAAATGAGCAATGAAACGCATTACCGAATCTTCGACGAATTACATCGTGTTCTCTGTGTGATGTAAACGTTTGAAAAATACTTTAAGTAGTACGATTTTGGCAAATCTCCCCTAACACTTCGTAAAATGAAGAGACATCGCTGCGATGTATCTTAAGTCCGGATCTACAATAGTTTTTAGCTTCTTAGCGTCTTCGTGACGCGGGAAATGCTTTTTATCAGAAATTACGTTACATTTCATTGCTCGGCGCTAAAGGCTTGTTACATCTATTGTAAATCTAGGCTAAGGCTTACCGTATAATTAAGTCCTGCGTTTTTTATTATTTATGAGATAATTATAACAATGATAATTGGAAAATTTTATCGGAGAATTTGCAACCTCGCGAAATGTAAGTCCCTACTCTTGCGTCTCGATTCGTCGTTGCTCGTCATCTTGATTTTCATTATTTTCCCCACTGAGAAACTCATTTAGTTGAGTCCACTGAAATCTTGTTTGAATACGGGCAAACGGGTGTTTCGATTACAAGAACTAAGTTGGTTCTTCTAACCAAGACGTTTGCCCATATCCAAACGAGAATTCATTTGACTCAACCAAACGGGTTTCTCGTGAAAATAATGAGAAACCAAGAGTAATGAAGGTAATAATAAATTCTAGGGAAATAATTGGAAACTCGAACGGAACTAGAAGAGACTTGATCCGTCTTGGTCGTGTACGCGACCACCCGCACGCGAATCGTCGGAAAAAGCTGTCACGTAACCGATACGTTAACGAACGGCGCGCCTTGCGCGAAGGAAGAAGACGCCCGTCTGCGGCATTCTTCCTCGACCCCGCGCGTCTCCTCCTCGCGCACGCTCGCGAGTCGGACTTCCGATTGTTCCTGTTGCACGAGGGAGAAGCTAAAACGAGATTTCGAACGGCCCGCGCGCGCACTCTCGCTCGCGATTTTCGCCCGACGCAGGCCGAAAATCGCCGGGAACGCGCGGCGCCGGGTAGCCGAGGAGTGAAAGCGTCCGGCAAGAAAGTCGCGGACAGATTTTTCGCCGTAAAGCCGCGCAAACGGCCGCGCGTGCCTCGACTCGGAACCGCGCGGAAAGAAACGAATCCGCCGCCGTGCAGCTCGATTCGCGCTGCTCGCTCGCCCGTCCGCGTTGCCATGCCGCTCCGGTGCATTCCGACGAAAGTCGCCGGAACCGCGCGCGAGGATACGAACCGCTCGATTGCGCCGCTTCCGTCAAAATCCGCGAAATTTCCGCTTTTTTCCGCGTCAATCTTCCGTAAATTACCCGAGTCGAAATTTTAGTTCTACATTGAGTCTTCACGTGGAGATAACGGAAGTAACTGCCCATTTGCGGCATCACAATGGAAGATGCTTAATGGCAATTTAATGTAGAACTAAAATTTGGACTTGGGTTCCAATGGAGAACAATTGATGTTGGCTTGCAGGACACTCCGCGACAATTTTGCGCGTCGCGTCGTTTGCCAAAATCTGTCAATTGCTTGTCACTTCTTCGTGTCAATTTGTCACAAATCTATAAAATTGTCCTACGGACGATCTGCGACGGACCTCGGGAAAGGATTTCAATCAATTTTACGCGTCACGTTACTTCTGTCAAAATCTGTCAGACGCCACTTCCGTTCCGCATCAACCCGTTATAAGTTCGCTATTGTCAGAAGGAATAGTTGAAGCTGTGTGCAGCGCGTTGTAGGCAATCTGCGACCTGCGGCCGACCTCGAGATGGAATTCCAATCACGATTTTATGCGCCGTTTAACACAGGAAACGTAACTCCGATTCTTTCTCACGTTTCCTCTCAAATAGATTTCTGCACGCATTCCGAAAAGGTAGAATGAAGAAAGGAACAGTTTTTGTGCGCAATTGCCACTACTTTGCCATCTGGTTTGTCACTGACGTGACAAAAGTATACGTAAATAATCTCTGTTTTGTATACGTCCGATTCGGCTTCTTTGATAAACATCAAAAGGTCACGTAATTTTTCATTGACGTTATATGACCACTCTAAAGAGGATCGACCGAATCATCGATGGTTAGTGTCAAACGATTTTACATAATTATTTTATATAATTATTAGAATAACTGCAACAAGGCTCTTATTTGTCGTCTCTTTTTAACTTTCGAGGTTGTCGCGAGCGAACGAACATTAGACAAACTCCGAGCTAAACCACCTGTAATCGGGCGAATTTTTTGGCTGAAATGAAAGCTGAAATGGAAAAGTCGACAAGCACAGGCTGTCAGACGGGTTATTTATATTACTATGGGAACTTTTTAATTCACGCGTACGCTTGTAATGTCTCTCTCTCTCTCTCTCTCTATTTTTCGTCACTTCCCGTCCCCCTAGGCTATCGTAATCGTCAATGCGGTCGCCAGCTTTTAAATGTCAACCGATTAAGCGTGGTTACGCGTGTGTACTTATGTAGGATCGGGGAATGTATACATTACGCGACTTGAGGCCCTCGGAATCGAAACACTTTCTCTTTTCTCCCGCGCAACGCCGTCGGATTTTGCGTGTGTAACAACGTGTACCCTACGTCGCCGCGCGTTCGTAAGGTGGGGAACCAGAATACGTATCGCGATTTAGAACGAGTCTCGCATAACGCTCGTTACACGCGAGCGTGGCAAATAATTCTACCACGCTCGTTGCCGTTCATTGATTCGCGTATCCGCTGGAGGTGGAGCGTGTAGAAATTCTTGCCACGGCTGCGATCGGCGCGCGTAATCGCCGCCGCGATGGAAACGCACGAACTTGAATTATCGCAGATTATTTCGGTGAAAACTTAGAAACTTAACGAGCGCCATCATGTCGGGGAACATCTTGATTTGCCGAATGATTGGCGGTGTGCGGCTTTAGAAAACGAATGCGCGGCATAGAAGGTAAATCGCGTCGCATATGGAGGAGAAGGTTTCTTCGGATTTAGTGTTACGTGTAATACGACTTGGGTTTTGTTTAGTATAAACAACATAATTTAATATCAAATTAATATCATTTTGTTTGAATGAAAATATCGTTGTTTCATCAAAGTAGAAATTTTGTTGTTGTAAACCATGTTGTTTGACAGAAAAATCAATATTATTTAGAGGAAACATAATATTTTGTTCTCAATATAAAAATTTATTTCATTGTATATTAAATATTATCCCATTTTGAGACAAGAAACTTCCTTAATATTCTTCTAATGCAGCGGTACTTTTTTCGAATAATTTACTACTTGTGACAACATTGCAATGCTTGGATGAAAATAAAAATGAAATACGTTATTTGACGTAAAGATATTTATTGTTTAAGAAATCGAGTCTGTCAAACATTCGTTTGTTTGCTCCATTCCAGAAAACAAATTTGTCTCAATTAATGAAATTTTATTAAATCCAAAGAAATCTTTCTCGCGCGCGGAGAGCGAACCGCCCCGAGAAAGTTAATCGAACCGTGCGTTCAGGAATATTTCTTTTTCTCCTTTCAGTTGTTGGCGTGCGTCGCCGCACTCTGCTCGGCACAGTTCCAAGACGGACAGAAATCTCTACCGAGTCCGATACGAGCAACCCGTTATCAGAGACTACCACCGCCTCGGCCAAGTACCGGACCGCAATCTTCGGTCTTTCCCAATCAACGGATTCGCCGACCGATCACTTTCAAGTAATTCACGATCGTATCGCACATTTGGTGTAAACACAGGACAGTTAACTGTGTAGAAAAAGAGGGGGAAGAATTTAGGAATCTGGAAATGTTCATTTTTGCGTTTTTCTTTTGGCGTAAAAAAATCTGCTTGCAATATGTATTGTATAATTCATTGTTTATCTATACTCGAGACATGTCGTTGTGCAAAATCGGAACGCACTACGCACTTCGTTGACAATATGTTCGGATAGAATGCGACCTTGTTAGAAAATTTAATCACGATGAATATAAATGGCTACTGCGCTATTAAAAATCCGCGCGATTTGCGCGCGCGAAAAGTTACCCGAGTCATTGGAAAGGTGGGAAAACCAGTTTGAGCGGCGCGCATATTCGTCTATGAAGTGCAAAATAAACGGCGGCATACCGCCGTTAATTGGTCTAACGGGCAGCCCAGTTTTGATGCAACGTCTGCGAACGTTGTGTCGAGCAGGAAATAACCGACGCGTTGGAGATTATTGGCACGCTCTTAAAAATTACCGGATTACGTAACGTTAATACATAAAGATCGCCTGTAGCGCAAGCAAGCTTGTAAATTAAAATAGGAAAGTCTGTCGCTACAGCTCTAAAGCGACACCACAGACACGTAAACACGTCTGTGTGTCGCTTTGGAAAATTTCACATATCTAAAAATGATGAAAATTCTCAAAAATATTTTCAAAAGTTAGGAACATATACATAATAAATATGAAATATAATTGTGTAAAAAAGATATATAGAGGTTGTCTCAGAGCAACATTCATAAATTTTGTGAGGGCGTAGAACGGATCGAGGTGAACAAAAAAATCCTGTATCATTTTGCAGATAAGAAGCAAATTAAATAAAGAAGCTTCTATACATAATCATTTTCAATAATTAACTCGGAATTTTGTGTGTTGTTTACAAAATGATACAAAATTTTTTCTGTTTATCTCGATTCGTTCTACGTCCTCATAAATTTGTAGATGTTGCTCTGTTGCTCTATCCTCTATATATATTTTTAATAATATTTTAGTGTTTAATATTACATTATAAATACACATAATAATAATAATTAATGATAAATAAAAATAAATATTAATAAAATATTAAACAATAAATATTAAACAATATGAATAATATAAATTTTATATTATAAAAATATATATATATAATTCACACATAAACGCAATCATTAAACAATGAAGTAACTCGTACCTTATATGTATCAGACCCAGAGTATCCGGCGACGATGCACCCGGCGCTTTCCGGTCCCTCCGGCCCAGCCTGGCGGCGACACCTGGGTTCGTTCAGCACGTGAAGCCGGTGAACGAGGAACCGGCGGAGGAGGAGGACGTAGCGCGCGATTCTACGCGCGAACGCGACGACGATGATTCCCGCGATCAGAGTCAGGAACCGGAAAGCGAAGAGGAGGTGAGCGAGGAGCACCTGCCGCCGCGTCCTGCGTCTATTTCCGCGAGGATATCCGGTAGTTCTCCAGCGTCACCACCGTTGTATCGGCCGGTTCAGGCAGTGACGCTGTCCAGCATCCGAGCGAGCCCTGCGACTCCACCTCCGCCGCCGCCCATTCAGTACCGACCGACGCAGAAGCCCACAAAAGCGCCGCGGAAGCAGGTCGTCGACGACACGTACAAACAGCCGATCAAGCCGCCGCCTAAGCCGGTGAAACCGTCCCAGGCGTACGAGATCCGCGGCAAGAAGCCGGTGGCGCAGGTACGTGCGCGAGAGAGCCAGAGATCGTACACGGGCAGAATGTTGCAGTTTCCTTCCAGACGAAATTCTTCACTATTTTAGCCAAGCTTTTCAGCAGCGCAGGAATAGATCGGTATTGCCAATAGGCAAGAATCAATAGACAGGAGTCAGTCTTGATAGTCCCGACAGATGGTACTTTGACTACCTGTCTACTTAAGGCGAGTACGCGGATCAAGATTGTCAGTGGAGTTAATCTCGCCTAAGGGCAAGGCAAATTTTTTCATATTATACTTCGGTTTCCTCAAATATCTAACGGATAATTCGGTAACACGAAATTATTTATTATTAAACAGTTAACAGCGAAATTATTTATTCCGCGTGTGATCTCTTAGCTGCCTTAAAACTCGGTTGAGACAACTGAGAACAATCGACTGAGTAGAAATCGCCCGAAAGAACCTTTCTGTTCCTGCAACCGAATTTTAGTCTGAGCACGTATTACGGACTCGCTTGGAATTGATTCCGGAGTCGATTCCGAACAAGTTCATAATACGTGCCCTAGTCCCTGGAGGCAAGGGAAAATTCAGTTGCACCAATGACAGTTTTTTCCACGTAAAACGGAAGGATAAACGGAGGCGCAGAGTGTCGATTCTGCAATAATTTACTGTAAAATTCTCCCCGTATACACGTCACGTATCGTACGCGCCGCACGTGCACATACAACGGCAGCGGCCAACGAAAAGATTAACGCGAGGGTTTTGAAAGCCGAAAGGTGAAAGCCGGAATCATCGGGCGTTGTGCTCGTTTTTCGTCTCGCGCGCCCTGAGATAACTCGGTAACTCACAAACGCGCCCGAGAAACCTGCTCGCGCGTTACATAAAACGCGCTCGAATTCGTCAAATGACACGCGGGCAGCGTGTCTTTGAACGTGCTCATTAAACTAGTCTGACGAAGTCGTCGCGCGGAATTCATAGGAACGCCATGGACCGTGAAAACACACTTTCGACAGTGCGTGTGACTTACACAGGCCGTTCCTTTCTTCCGGAAAAGCCTCATAACCGGCGATTACAACACGTTTTTACAGATCGTCAGGCGATACCGGCACGACAACGTGGACGGCTCCATCACGTGGGGCTTTGAGAACGACGACGGCTCGTACAAGGAGGAGACGATCGGCGTGGACTGCATAACGAGCGGCAAGTACGGATACATCGACCCGGACGGGATCCGGCGCGAGTACACGTACGAAACCGGGATCAAGTGCGACGAGGAGCAGCGGGATGAGGAGGACGACGGTTTCGTGGACTATCAAGAGAACAAGCTAGTACTTCCGGACGGCAAGACCATCGATTTGTCGTCGATGGGCAAGAAGCAAGCGCGCCGGCCGCAGTTTCAGTACAGAAATTAAGGGAAGATACGTTCATTCGCATTCCGTACTCGCCATCGCCTCCCTCTACCCCTTCCTCCCCGTCGAACTTAGAACGTAACTTTCACGCGAAATTACTCGTTTCAGAGAGCGTAAACTAGGATTAACGAATTCAATTAAGAGATATCGATTTAAGAAATAAACTAGTTAAGAGATACACCGAGAGGTGACAGCGGTACTAGTAACAGCGTATGTACTGTAGCTCTCGTGGGATCATCCATTCAGCGTATAGATTAGACTTAATAAATAAGTTAACAAAACGAAGAAGTTGTTAACACACCCGAGCTCACACCGTCGGCCGAGTTCAATCATCGCGTCAAGATAATCCTACGTACATATAGCTGAATATCGTTGTGCAATAACTCTAACGAAGATTACACGAGTCAAGATCGCACGCGGGTGCAACGACTTCTGCGCGACTTAGTCGCGCGAGATAAAAATCGCCCATTTCTGTCGGGAATCGAATTCACATACACAGATATAACACTCGTGACCTTAATCCGAGACGTCCGCAATTGCTTTACGAATATATATACATACATACGAAAAAAAATAGTTTTCTATCAATGATAAATATTTTCATATACAAGCAAGAATATTATAATATTCTTAGAGGATTTTTAGTCTTGAATTGAGTAATACTTGCATCGGTACAAATTCAATCAAATCAAGATGAAAAATCTTCCAAAAAGATTACAGTATTTTTGCTTACACACGAGAAGAAAATCTATCATTGATTTGTAAGATTAATTTTTCTTCCGTGTAAGATAATTTCATAAAACTCATTCTACGCTTGTAAAAAGGGCTCGGGAAGAGCGGAGTCGTATCTCACGTTCGGGAAACAATCGATGATTTATTTTCGTTGAGTACACTTACTGATATCGGTCTCATTTCGTCGACCGTCATTATGCATAATAACATCTACGTCGTCTCGCTGCATCTTGCAACTAGACGTTTGACATAGCGTATACTGCGTCGCGTACATATCGACGGATCTACACTCGTTTGCGAGACGGTTCGAGCACGTTTTCTCCAACGAAGCTGCGAGAGCGTCATCGGAGGATCGCGAGCCATTTTTCTCGCGAACCGGCGCGATATAATATCGATTACGACAGCAGCCGACGAAGTGTGATGGTCCACGAGATATTCGACGTGACAGTTGCAACGGGGAACACAGGAAAAATGTAAGTATTATTATTATTATATACTCTCCTACCAGACAAAAGGCGGATAAAACTATTTACACCGCGAACCGTCATTCGACATCTGTCGGGACCGCCGATTATCGTGCAAAGTCTGTGAGCAGTGCTTCCCAATCGTTTCCTCTCGACCTTATCGGACAAAATGTGCTCGCACTCGTTTCGCAAGCGAGTGAACAGTGCTCGTATAAACTCGGTCGAGAAATAAAGATAACAAAATTAATAAATATACATCTCGCAGGTCGAGTCGCAACGGTGCGGGTTACTCGTCGATTGTAAACAGTTAACAGATTATTCTCTCCGTCCGGCGGACGAGGAGAAGAGAGCCGTACAATCGCGAGAGAGTCGCGCGAGATACACGCCTACCGCGCGCAACGAGATACGATAATCCGATATGATGACGGCTGCGCCGCGGATATGTTGCCCGCCACGAGAAAATGACGCGTCGAACCGCATCTTGTCGGCCGTCATCACTCGCTCGCGCCGCTCTGTGTGTAAAATTCACACGACATCGTGACTGCATCGTTTGATTCCTGTGTGCATGTGTGTGTGTGTGTGTGTGTGTGTGTTAGGAGAGCGACAAAGCGCGGTATCGACGATCTAAAGAGAGTCTACACGACGGTCTAAGAAGGCTACGCACGACGAGAGGGGAGAAAGATCGTTACACGGTGATTCAGCGTTTCCTTATTTTCACCTTCGAGCTCTGTATAACCTTGTAAGCCCATTCTGTAACTTTCAATAACGACAGTGTGATTCCCGTTACGTTATCGTTATCAAATTTAATCCACGATGAAAAGCTGCGCCTTTTCCCGTAATACGCGCGATAACGTAACGACGCTGTCGTGAGAAGTTACAGAAACGGGTCTCTGCCTGCAAACGATTTGAGAATCCGCACTCGGGATCGATTTCATTACGCAGAAACATTAATACTTCGCTCTTCGCCGATATGCCTCGGCGTGACTTTCGGATCAGAGATCTCTACGGAATCGGGAAACGGTTCGTCGGCAGAAACGTTATTCCGCGGAAAACGATCATTGCGGGACGCGATTGACCGGGGCTGGTTGCGAACAAGGAGCGAGAGATTAAAATAGATCTAGCGCTCGCACCGGCGCTCGCCCGATGTCGTGCGGCCGGGCGGCGCGACAACGATGCCTAAGAAGAGGCGTGTCGCCTGGACTTCTAACAATAATTTAAGACACAGTGATTCAACAACGTTTACAGAGAGGTGATATGTGTAAATATGTCTAGGTAATATGTATGTACACACGCATCGTCCGCATAAATAACAGTCGATCGAAAGCAAAGACGCGCCGAACGTTGTAAACGTGGTATTATTAACAATCGTTGCTCGTCGGAGGACGACGCAGCGACGCAGGCGGCGGCGGCGCCTCTCGTTAGAATATAAGTTAACGTTTACGCTAAAAGCGTGTAGATTATTGCCTTGTTACGAAGTACAAAAGGAAAGAAGGGACAGTCGAAAGGAAAGTTCGTGAGAGTGATATGTACGTACGTGCGTGCGCCGGTGACGGTAAGAATGAGTGGCACGCACGTACGTACGCGCGTACACTGGTTTTCGAGACGGTTTTCGAGACGGTTTCAGCGTTTGTTCACTTGAAGTTCAAAGGCTTCGAACGCTTTCCCTTGCAACTCGGAAATCGCAACCAATGGTTCAATGAGAGAACCTTGTCTCCGACATTCCCCAGAAATCGAGTTCCCTCGTTGGATCATCGGCTTTCACTCCGAGGTAACACAGTTATTTTTATATACGCTCTTTAAACGTATGTAATGCGTTTATGAAACGTCATATATACGTTTAAAGAACATGTATGAAACTAACATGTGCTACATGGGCTATAAGGTCGGTCGTTAAACAGTTACAGCACTGTTTTTCCGACGAGTTTCGCAACACATCTCGTACCCGATAGGAAAACGTTTCTCTTGAGAATTACTGAGAATAAAAATTCTACTGGGCATATGTGTCTCGAAACTCATCGAAGTGACTTTTTTGTAGCTGCCTCGGAAGACGTTCCAAACCGCTTCAAAGCCCGGTGTGGACGTGCGATCGAACGAAAAAACATCGAGCGAAAGAAGCACGAGAGTATCTCTCTCTCTCTCTCTCTCTCTCTCTCATGCTTCTTCCCTGAACGCCCCTCCTGCGAGGAGCGCGCGAAAGAAACGCACGGAAAATTACAAAAGGGCTGGCCCCGCATGCAGGTAACGATATGTGTGCCGATCGATCGATCGATCGATTCGGTCGACCGACCGGTGGGTGTGTGGTCCATCCATCCACCTCGGGCCACTTCCTCCTCCTCATCCCCCGCCGCTCTCTCGATTTAGTACGCCGGACTAGTGACGGTGGACACTTGTTTCGGCGTGTGCTGGCCCTGCGCCAACGTTCCGCTCTTCGCCGCGTGGAACTTCAGCCAAGCGTCGTAGCCGTACGCCACCATCGCGCAAAATCCGAAGAACTGCGCAGAGAGAAACGGTATCAAGCACACTGATGGAGAAAGAGAGAAAGTAAGCGCGCGTGTTCACGCGATCGTCGGACCTCCAGGACGGTCCGAAACTATCGGGAACTGAAAACTATCCGAACGAGAGACGGTCTAAAACTGTCCCGATACTCGCGACGAGGCTCCGACAGATGTGTCTGTGGGCAAACCGGAGGACGCCTCTGTTGCGAGTTATTATAGAATTCCGCTTTCCACGTGTGACTTCGACAACATTCACGATCAGATATGCGGGAGAATTCTTACCGCTGCGACACCGAAGGCCTCTGTGTAGCGCGCATAATCAGCTGCGAGGGAAGCGGCCAGCAGGTAGAAAACGGTCCACACGGTGCAGAATATGAATTCCTGAAAGGAAGCACACACAAATCACCGCGTGCAAATGGATAGTAGCCTTAATTCGTAATCTTATCTCTTTCTCTCTCCCTCTCTCCGTTCGCTCTTTCGATCGAACGACTCGATTACGCGATAAAGATCGTAGAGGTGACCTCAGACTGAATTCATAAGAAGTAACGGTATATGTATACAGGAAAAAACAACTCCATTGGCGTAACTGAATTTTATGTCACCTGTAGGTCGGACGAAAACTCGGCTTTAAGAACGGAAAGATTTGCGCGTAGGAGGAAGTTTCTATTCAATGAATCGTTCTCGATTGTCTCAATCGAGTTCTAAAGCAGCCGAATGTGTTTACACACGAATGTCTCGAGATAGCCTAGTTTCTCGTCCTTGAGCTTTCGCCCTGTTCTTATTCAATCACACGAACTGAGATTTTTTCCTTGCGCGAAAAAAAAAAAACTCAGTTCTCCGTATAACTGATTTTTCGTTATCCGGCGACCCGACGAAAATTCGGCTGTGAGAACACAAAGATTCCTGCAGGAGTCTTCTACTCAGTCAATTGTTCTCATTTGCATCGATCGGGTTTCAAAGCAGCCGAAAGCAGAGACGAACGTTGTTGCGGTGATATGGCTCCCTGTCCTTGAATTTTCGTCCGGCCCCTGCATATTCAATTACACCAACTGAGATTTCAAATTCGTTTCTTCGCATACATACGAAGGCCCGAGGAGCGGACGTCGACACGCGTTACGTGGCATTACGAGAAGCGTCGCGTAATGCCTCTCTCTTTCTCCCGTAATGCTACGTTTTAAAAAGGCTAACCTGATTACGAGCGATCATCGGTCCGCGGCCGACGACGACGACCGCCCCCATTACGTCGCCCGCGATCGATCGTTCACCCGTGAATATAAAAGTCGGAGCGGCAGGTCGATTTTTAGATTCCTACGTGGCGCGTGGAAACTTTCTAGCCGGCTTTCACCCGCCTGCTCCCGTATCACACACGAGAGGCATTACAGGTGTATTCGTCTCTTCCCGGTGTTATCGAATACCAGTGCACACCGCAAAATGTGCACTCGCTTCTATTTAAAGTCTTTACGGTGGACAAAATGAAAGAAGAAATGGGAAAAAAAAAAGAAAGATCTCGCGATGTACAAAAATCGGTCGGGGCGCGACTTACAATCTTGAGCCATGGAATCTTGGAGAACTTCTCGATGATGTGGAACAGGTAGAGCACGAGCATTATCCCGGTGAACCAGAAGCCACCCATGGCCACAGTATTGAACCATCCTCCCCGACTGTGACTGCTCTGACTCGAGACCATTATGCATATAAATCCCAGGAGATTTAGCACCTGAAAGAAGAGCCCGGCGCGATTATCATTCATGAAACCGTTGCGCAGCAGTTGCGGGCGAGCAGCGTGCACAAATGCAGAGCTCCACCCGCGAGCTGTCGCGCGAGCGGCGTGAGATTTAAGACTCCATTATAGTACGGTGATGCAACCGACCATCCTCTTTGCAACGCGCGCGTTGTAATCCTGCTTCACGGCTGACGCGCGTTTTGCGTCATAACATTCTACGTGTGTGTATGTGCGTGTGAGTAATTTTAATTAACATGTAATGTATATTTTCTCGGTGAATTATAAGGAATCTCCATTGGGGAAAGACGCGTCCTCTTCGCGAGAGGAGCTGTGAATATACATGGAAAAAAATCCGTAAATGAACAGGGACCGGATGAAAACTCGATGACGGGAAACAAAATCTCTGTTACTGCGACTGAGAACAGCCGTGTGAACATTCAGCCGCGTTAAAACACGGTTAAGACAATTGGGAGCAATTGACTGTGCGGAAACCTCTTGCAGGAATCTTTCTGTTCTTACAACCGAGTTCTCACCCGGCCCTTAGGCAACGGAAAATTCAGTTGCACCAACGCAATTGTTTTCCCCGTGTCCGGGAGACTCCATTAACGCTATCCCACTCCCTAAGCATGGTCGAACGACATCGAAAATTTCCAATCAGTCATCATCATATGCGAATATTCGTGCATCATGACTACTTGATTATTCCGTGGGCCGGCAAGGATGTCTGAAAGCAGCAATCGTGACAGACGAATATTCAGAAATGAGACGCCTGATTCGAAATTCCCGATATCACTATGCCTAGGGAACAGGACAGGAGGAATAGAATTAATGGTGTCATTTATACAAGCGTCACAGGCCACTCACCACTTGCACGACTTTCAAGAGGCCGGGCAATGTTCTCACGAAAGACGGATCGAACCGGACATTGGGCTGCACGGTCGTGGTGGTGGTCGTCACGGTCGTGGTGGTGGTGTGCTGTCCCGGGAAGCCTTGATCCATGGTCGGTGATTATTCTGAAATCACGAGGTAATTACGACGTAAAGCACCGGGTCTCACCGAACGACGAGCGTGTCAACGTGGGGAGACCACGTGTGACAGGCGTGATTTCATTAGCTAAATCGGACAATCGGGCCACGTGATTAAAACCGCGCCGATAAATCGCCGTATATGCGTTTTTCTTACAGGCGTTATTGCGGGGAAGTCGCAGCCGCTGGGCCGGCAAGAGCGCGTACGCGAGCGTGATTAATGCAGCCGACTGTACGAGTCGTCGCTGTCCGGAGCGGCGCGCGACTACAACGATATTCCTCGCAAGGGCGCGTCTAAAGCGAAATGGGGCGGTCGACAGAGCGCATCGACTGAGCCGCCCGACTCGAGGGATGAGGAAGATAGACTTTAAAATAAAGATCCATCAGTGGTAGATGTCCCGTGCCGTAAACGCGCGCACTTCGCCGGCTAAGGAATAAGGAAGGAGCGCGGATTCGAGTGCACGCGTAGTCGAGTGCTCGTCGCTCCGATGATAATAAATAAACTTTAGGCCACATAAGACGCCTGCACAGTCAACTTCCGGCTCCCTCGAGTTTCAATCAACAAGCCACAATTAATCCGACTCCGGAGAATAACCGAACGGTGACAATCGACGACGAATTAATCCCGTCTCCAATTTTCAGGGTATTCGAATCGCCGATCGATCAAGCTGACGCGCGCACGAGAGGCCGTGCTCTCCGCCCGGCACATGATTTTTCGCACACCTTTTACAATTAACGCTCTATGAGACTGCGCTTGCGAGGAGGATGATGCTGCGCGCCCTTCGGGACGGAGATCGCCCTTCGACGTCGCGCCAGTGTGCGGAGCACGCAAGCATGCGATCTATACCGAAGGACATGAAGATGAAAATGCAGCACGGATCGATTGACCGAGCGTATCGGGCAGGCGTAAAAGGCGTAAACGCGTTTGCGTCGACGATAACGACAGATGATCGATGCGCGCGTCTGGTCCCGAAGCAGCATCGGGCTCTGTCGGAGTAATAACTCCACCGAAAATACATCTTCGGCGAAAGAGGAGTTGTACCAGAGTCGCAATTTTGACGCCACTTTGACGCTCTCGAGAACAGTCCGCGCCTACTTAAACGGCCTGTGCACGGAGAAAAATGTTTCTCTGGTGAATCTAAATTTAGTGTACGTGTTTGTTTGATTTGGGTTCGTTTAATATAAACAACAGCATTTAATATCAAATATTTTGTTTGAATGGAGATGTTTCAGTAGAATAAACATGTCGTTTGATAGGAAAAATTATTAACCGGAAAAAAAAAGTATTATCCGGAGAAGATATTTCTTTTTAGTAAGAAAAATTTATTTAATTATATAATAAATATTGTTCCACGAAACAAGGAAGTTCTTTAATATTCTTCTAACGCTACCTTGAGCAATTTATTTTAACGTTTAAACAACGAAAATAGAAATTTAAAATATCATCAAGGCCGAAGTAGAAATGAATGATATCATTAGATTTGAAATTGGACCTATTTTGCTATCTTAACTTCTATTGTGCTAGAGAATTAGCACAATAGGAGTGAACAGATTTGGCCAAAATTTTGATTCGGGTAAGTCCATGAGATACTCAACATATAAGCTGTAAGCAAATTGACTAACGGTCGATCAGAGCTCTCGCACATAAATTTCCGTAACCATAAACGTAAGACGTAAAATCTCTGATAAAAACCCAATCAGGATATTGCATTAGATTTACGTACTCTAGAAGAAGATAGAATTCTCTCTCTCTTGACGGTGAATCTGATAGCAAGAAGTAGTTAGGATTCAACTGGTTGAAATCTTAGTTACTCAATCTGTATCCTAATTACATGATCACCTTTATTTTCTGCTAGAGTACACAAACCTAAAGCCATATCTTGATGGGTTCTTGAGCTTAAATTTACATCTCACGTTTATGGTTACGTTAATTTGTGTGGGAAAGCCTTTATTCTCCTAACGATCTAAAAATATTCAACTGTGGTTGATCGATTAGATTACTGCCTACGCTTTTGAGTGGGTCTTTATCGCCCGGAAGCCTATTATTACACTTTGTACACTTGATTTTAACATGATTCATCTAACAATCTCCTTTAAACTGGAATAACTTTTAACGCAGGCTCTGAATTATTGTCGAACTTTTCGTGTCACTTTTAACCCTTATCGGTCGTAAGTCATCTCTCACGTGACAACAATACTTCGTCGCTGCGGTCGTACGTCACGTAGAAGGTGACAAGTTCGCATATTTACCGAAACCAGCTACAACCTAGTGAGAATCACGCATAAAAAGCTAGCGTCCGATAAGGGTTAGATACAATGTAGATCAATTTCGTAATTTTCGCATAATTTTTTTAAAGTTATTTTTTAATACAAAGTGACACGTCCTTAAGATAAGATCTCTCATTAAATCACCATCTCTCATCGGCCGCTGTTCTTCCGAACAGCATCGTGCAAAGTGTTCAAGCCGTATTGAAATCGTATAGCGTAGTCGTATAACGGTAGGTAAAATGTTAAAGTAGCAGTGAAGGAAGAAATTCTCTTCCGTAATCTGAGCGATTAAGAGTCAGTGTCACGAGAGACCAGTGTTATCGGGTATACCTCACGAGATCGAGGGTATTTCGAAGACGCTCCCGGTCGACTATAAGATTAGGGTTACGGACCGCTGTCTCGGTATTATGTCACTGCAAGCGCATGCTGCAGGAATTACTTAATCTCGCGGTGTGAGGTCATCCCGCCTGGAAATAGATAGTGACAGTTCGCGCGAGAGTAGCGTGCGGGAGGCGCGGCGGTACACGTGGTCGTTAAATCCTCCCACGATGAAAGAACAGATAGAGAAAGAGAGGAGCGTGAAGCGGGCTGTGAGCTTACGTATATGCGCATAGTACCGTAAATATATCACGCTGTCATAGCACGAGCACGTGCTATGACAATGCTGCACGCGTCACGGTATCGTTAATCTATAAAATTAGCGTTCTCATCAAAGCGCGCTCATGTTCAGCAAAATGTGATCCTTCAAGGTTTCAATTCCGCCGTTCGATCAGATTATTCGAGCTCACTCTCTCTCTCTCTCTCTCTCCTTCTTTCCGCCGTCATCCTCTTCTCTCCAACAGACAGGAACAAAGATCTGCGCGAAGAAACATCGGGCGGATTGGTATCTTATTTATAAGCAGTTGTTATCTCTCACTTGTATATTGTGTACGACGGGTTATTTTTCTCGCGCGTATATCGGGCACGATATCGATCAGGAATATCGTCGTGTGTACGCGCGCGCGATGTCCCGAGATACTCGTATAATTTAATGTAATTAAATCTGTCGTAATTAAAACACACACACACACACACACACCGCGTAGATAATAAGACGAGGTCTCGGGCAAAACGGCGGAAATGCTCGTCCTGAGGTCACCGTGTGGCGCGAATTAAAGCCACGCTCGCAGATTAAATGGCGAAGACCTATAACCGCACGCTCGTAAGCGCGGTCTGCTCTTTGACAGGGCGCTCATCTTATCGCGGCCGCTGAAGATATCAGCGGTCACGCACGAGTGGGTGTCGCGCGCGCGGAGGAATGCATCGCATACGTTTATATGTGTGCGTGAAAGTTGTAGGCGGAAAGTCGACGTTCTTTCGCGCGATATCGCGCGGCTGTCGCCGAGAGACAAGTGAAATTCAACGGATTCGCCGGAGAAGCGACGATTTTCTTTCGCCCGTTATTTACGCGGATACATGTGGCGGAAGAGCTGCGTGTATCGATAACGTAACGATAACGCGGCACTGTTGTTACAAACAGTTAAAAATAGGCGTACGAGTGTTGCGCGACTGCCGAGTAATCTCTTGTAATCCATCGTGAAACGGGCGGAAGATTGAACGTAAACAATTAAGTTAGTCGATAATTTTCCTTCGGGCAATAAAGGGCCGATAAAAGCATCTACGCGGATTTTACAGCGCAATGAATTAACAGAAGTAATGTTTTCGTATTGATTCAGACTGGTTCGGCAGGGACAACTTTCCGTTGTCGCGTCGATAAAATGATACGTGAGAAAAACGTTCTCGCGGAGTTCCGTTCTCGAGCTTGCTCAATTTGATCTGTCGTTGCGAAAAAAAAAAAAACAACAAAGAGAAAAACTGCGTCGATCACGTGAAACCTCGCTCATTCATTACCCCGCGCTCACTCACTCACTCACTCGTGAATATGGAACTACGCCCCGCGCCGTTCTCACGTTCAGGCGAGAAGAAGACAGAGCGAGCGACGTACGTGTCAAATCATCGCGGCTATCGACTGGCTGCGCGTCGCGTCGTGGAAATCGCGACGCGGCGAGTCGTTAATAGCCGACGAGCGAAAACCTGAATTCAGAGGGAAAGAGAGAGAGAGAGAGAGAGAGAAAGGAGAAAGCATACGCTCCACGTGTGACTCGCTCACGGCGACACCGAAGCGGTCCCGAGAGTTCCGGCGGGACGTCCCGGCAACTCCGCGTACGTGCAACAATATTACGCTCGCGACAATCTAATAGCGTGCCCGGTTATTACCGTTCCACCTGTTACTGGCTCAGCTGTACTTCTCTGTCACTTCTCACCTCCTCTTTCTCTCTTTCTCCCTCCCGCGTTCTTCCTCTCCTTCTTTCCCGCTACCTTTCGTCGAGCGACGCAAAGACGCACCGATGCTGTTTCTTTTCTGCCAATGACGCCCGATGACGAGGCGCCGAACGCACGCCTGATTCCACACACGCGATCGTTCCCGACGACGCGGCTCCCCCGTGCTTCGCCCTTCCCGCCGCTTCTTCCTCCCTCACGGACGCTCGTCCCTTTCGGGCACACAGTGCCACTCTTGTCACGGCCGTCCTTGAGACGTACTCGCCGACGATGTCGCCGAACGAAAGCGGAGAGGCGTACGCGCGTTCCCGGACGTGCAGCGGCGAACACACTGGCCGTATTTCGAAACGGCCGACCGTTGAGGACGGATCTATATGGGCGCGGAGAGGACGCGTCCCGGCCGCTCAGCGTCCAGCTGGCGACACCTGTCGGGCGTGTAACTCGAACACGGTTTCGAACAGTTCGGCAACCACCGAGTGACGGCATCCGCGGATGATATAGCAGTGTCGCCAATTTAGCTCATTTTCTGTCAATTCAATAGCTTATTTAAATGTCAACTAGAGTGCAAGAATCATGTTTAGCGAAAAGAGACAATTACATCCGCAAACCTGAATGCATATTTGTGTCTTATTTCTTATTTATTACTTTTGACTTATTTTAGAGAAGTATATGACGGATTTCAACATTTCAAGTTGGCAACACTAACTCGAACTTCAAGTGGCAACTCGCGCGCCTGACAGATGCTGCCACCATGATGTTTGGGAGTTTCGAACGCGACCTGCCCGCCTCCTCCGTCGCCGTGAACCTCGAGCGACGCGAATTGCGTGTGACAGTAACGTGTTCTGTGACTTTTTAATTTATTGTCCTCGACATTGACCCTTTAATTCGCTTGGCATCGTACATTAGTCACTTGACCACGAGGGACCCGGTGCAATTGAGTCAATCAATGGATATCTTGACTGTCTTGTGAACCTCATATTCGGGCCATGAAAAGTAGTCCCGCTTTCTCCTGCTCTCTACGTGTGAAAAACGTCTACTCGAGCCGAGGATGAAGAAGTCAGCGGGAGGGGAATCTTAGAAAGGTACGTCGGGGGAGCTGGACGAGCGAACGTGATCATCTCATCAGCGAGAAAAGCACGTCTGACGGTCGTGTGTGGATTTAAAGGTCCAAGCGGTGTTCGGGGCTCGTCGGCGGAACATTACACGGACATACGTCACTCGCTCCTTCCGCAACGCCAAGGTCCACCAGGCGAGTACACCGGGGTCAAAGAACATCCATGGCGCGCGTGGTGACGCGACGGAGTAGCAGGTCCAAGGGAGGGGGATTAACCAGTGGATGACGGAGCGTATTATCGCAAATCGGACACCGAGGCAACGGCGACGAGGCGAGATTTGGAACAGCCAGCGCTGCGTTGGCCAGCCGAAGCCAAGTGGTGTAACGTGCTGCTTACCTAATCCTAACCTAACCCCGGCGGACCTGGTGGGTCCAGCGGTGCGATGCTTTCAGACGACATCGCCGAGCGCACGCACCGATAGCTAGCAGCAGTAGTTAGTCCTGAAGTGAGGGAACCCGCGATATCCTTCGGGATGGCGACCGGCAAGCGACGCAGTATTCACACGACGTCCGGGGGCGTCGGGACCGGCGGCGGCATTCGCTCGAGTCGGATGAACTTCCGGCCGAACTCCACACAGGAAGACCGAGGTGGCACTCGGCCGACCGCGGCACCCAGCTCTATCGGCCTCGTCCTCGTCACTATGCTGTTACACGTGTGCAAGAAGTCGCTCTTGTTCGACACCCGGCTGAAGGTGGCCATCTACTGCGGCACGATATTCACGGTGTCGCTGATCGCGGACTTCATCGCAATGCCGCGCACTTATTTCTCCAGGTCGGACAACGCGCTGAATCAGTACTTCGTCAAGTGGGGCTGGGGCTGGCTGCTGACCGTGATAGTGCCCTGGGTCGTGCTGACGGCGCACACGATCGGCTGCGGCCGTCGGCCGATCCTGTTGCGTCACCTGGGCCGCGTGGTCCTCGCCACCGTCGCCTGGCTCGCCTGGACCAAGCTGTTCAACTACGTGGAGACCAACTACGGCAGATGCCTGAACACGCGCGACCTCCAGCTGCAGTCCAAGGCCAGGTGCCTGCAGTCGGGCAGATTTTGGAGCGGCCTCGACATATCCGGCCACACGTTCATCCTGATCTACTCCAGCCTGATATTAGCCGAGGAGGGCTCCTCGCTCGTCGGCTGGGAGGGCATCAAGGACCTGGTGATGCGGGAGGAGCACACGCGCGCCACGCCGAACGAGACCAGCACCGGGCCGCTACGCAACATCTCCAACACCGACCTGGAGTTCTTGAAGAAGGCGCACCGGGCGCTCACGCCGTACCTGCGCGGCCTCTTCGTGGCGATGACGATGCAGCAGCTGCTCTGGGACACTATGCTGGTATCGACGGTGCTCTACTATCACATCATGATAGAGAAGTTCCTCGGCGGCGTCGCCGCCGTCCTTACGTGGTACGTCACGTACAAGTGGTGGTACAAGCTGCCAAAGATCGGCCTGCCTGCGCCCGGCGACGGTCTCTTCAAGTACAACGAGACGAAGACGAGCACGGAGCCCGGCACCGCCAGGATGAGACGCGGTACCCTGAACGGTACAAACCAAATGCCCAAGTTCATGGGCATGCCCATCAGAACGACGGTGCAGGAAACCGCCGAACCGAGCCCGTCGAACAGGCAGCCGGACCTCGACGTGTCCACTTCCAGAGTGTAAGGGAGTTCGGATGCTCGAACATTGCGCGCAGATTCGGTTCGCGCGAACGCAAGGACCGAATATTCGGATTAATGTTTGCGCCGGCATCGAGACGCCCGATCATTGGGGCTGGCGATCGATTGATCTAGTCGCGCGTGCTTCGGTTGTTCCAGTTAAAATGTGCAATTCACCATTCTGATCAGGAATGTATGCGACCCGCATCGCCTGAGCTCGTCCTCTGCGTCGACCAACGCTACGATAATATAGCATAGTGCGATTTTAAAATATAAATTAATTTTCTTCATCTGCCGATCTTGCAAAATGCCCGAGTCGTTAATCTTGAAGCGATGGAACGTTCCTTTTTTATGCGTGACATATCTAAATGAATATCCGAATGTTCGGTCCGTAAATTAAATCGATTCGGATGTATGAGTATTTCTACATGAGGCAAAAAATGCTGTTGTGTCAACAGAATTGCTCATCAATGCTGTAAATTGGCGCAAATCTTGATCCAATAGCAAAGAAATATTGGTATAATAATGATAAAAAATAATATATATCGTTTGTGTGAATAATTCGAGTAACAGTTTCAATGTGATATCGCCGTTGAATCAAGATTTATTCCAATTACGACGCTGTTGGCCAATTCTATCGTGATGTGACAGCATTGTTTTCTCCGTACAGGGTAACGCTTTCATCCGAAGATTTTTCTCGATCCACACGTGTAGTACACTGAGTTTCAAAATGATTTGAACACTTTTCGACGCAGTTTTTGGAACGCAACCGATGGTCCGATGAGAAAATTCCTTTTCGAAAGTTAAGTTCTCTCATTGAACTGCATCGAAGAAAGTGTTCAAACCGTTTTGAAGCCCAGTATATACACATACACACACAGATGCCTTCGTTTTTTCGCGTGTGAGCAAAGCTCGAACTTTACGTGATAGACACACGCGTGTTCTTTGAGGCATTATTAGGTTTGGGGTGCGACAATCAAAATCGCTTAAGATGTGTAAGATTAAAAAAAAAAAAACAAGAATACGCGCCTGTTTCGGGGTTTTTCTGGGTGCCTCCGTATGGATTGTTAAGAAGACTATTTTGTTTTTTTTTAAAGCGACTTAAAAAGTTAACTTAATCTCTCTAGCGTTGTGAAGTCGATATTTTCGATAACACTCTTGTGGATACTTTGTTTTGTAACTTATATTTAATAAAGTCTGTCGTTAACAAAGCGTTCGTCCCTTAAGTTAATGTAGTGCTCTCATGGCATGAAATCAGCGTAGCGCATCTCGTCACACTATATTTATACACGGAAGGAAAGTACAAAATATATATATACGTTTTCTGTTAATACGAAATCCTCCCTCTCTTTCTCGCGCGTGGCACAGTTTTCTGCGGTTTTAGGATTATATATTCGCCTATACACTATTTCCGTTGAAATCAGTTCCCTCGCGTCGCTAGGCTTATCTAGAAAAGATCGTCTAATACATCGCGTACTGGTCATCGGATGATCATGTCGAGGACTTCTCGTGCATCGAAAACGAGAAATTTCGCGTGTAGCCGGGAAGAAAAAAAATGATAATGTTCTTTGTATCTCGAAGGAGAGACGTGTGGCTATCGTTAGAGCAGTACAAACATGCGCAATTCGCGACATTCGTTAATAATAAATTTCATGTTTTTCCTATCTCAGACTTTAATTACAAATTAAAATGTCTCGCCCGCTGATCGGAGATGATAGCAACATCACGGCGCATTTTTACAATCGCTTCGGCAAGGTCGATTCTTTTTCTGCTTTACGTCACGAAAAATAACGTCAGAGAGTCAGCTTACATTTCATACATACGCGTACGACCATCGTAGTGCAACAGTAAACTTCCGCTCACATCTATCGTCGACGATTGATATCACTTTTTTTCTCACCAAGCTTTTCCACCGAAAAACACGTCACAAAAGTTTGCATTGTGGTTGCAACAGTTATGCGCATGTGTGTCAAAGTACAATTAATGAATATTCAATCAAATAAACTACATATATGCGAAACATACACACAAAGATCTGCCTCTGTGATACTCCTAGAAATCGTTCACCGCGTATTCCTTCTTGTTCCTTGACAATCTTAACTACAATGTTGGTACGATAGATGTAGCAAGTTTCTTGCTCGAAGCACTAAATTGTAACGCAGTTTCTAGCAAAGAAGCATTTTCAATGCAGACGTGGCAATTCCTAAGAGATTTAAACGTTATTACGACGATTTGGCAGCGCGGGGATCACCTTTTGTCGGAAATTACGTTACATTTTACTGCTCAGAGCAAAAGGCTGAAGGTTTTACACCTATTGTAGATCTAGACTTTATCGACACTACACGTAAAAATAATCCTTCGACTGTCACTGAACTCGCATGTAAATTGAAAACGCGGCATGACTGTACGTGTGTTACACGTGATCGTGACACGTTCAACCTGAAGAGAGAAAAATTTAGGATAAAAAAAACAAAAATATCTTTCAATTGTAATTCTTGTATTATAAAAATCTTGTTTTGTTTGGGAACATGTTTCCTTTTTTTGTATGTATACCAGAGTTAATAATGAATATTCGCAACTTCCGCCTATTGCCTGCTCCTCGTCGTTCGCGACGTTCGTTCATTTCATAACGACGAGTCACTGACGAGGAAATACGAAAACCCTTCGCCGATTTCGAGGAACTCCGGATATGTATGCACAAAATCTCACGGCATTCCATGCTCTTCATAACGTTGTGAAAAGAAAAAAAAATGTTCATTTCCTTCCGAAATATCTTCAATTTTTGTAAACATCAACTCCATTAGTCGAAGCAATCGCGAACGCTTACTTCCCGAAGACGTTCTCGAACGCGCGAGAAAACAAGTACAGAGAAAATAACACATAGATTTTATTTTCCTCTACAGGTCCATCGCGCGAAATTGACGAAAGACGTTTCTGTATACACGTTTTCTCGCGAGACGTTCTCCTTCAATCGCGGCTCGTTGAGAAGCGAACGGCAGGTTCGCCAGTTGCGAATATTCGTGAACAGTAACGTACCCATCAATCCAACGGGCGTGTCACATTCTTCCTTACCTCGCGCGTAATCGTGACGTAAGAGCTAATTGCAGAATATAACTAGAAAACATTGAAATACGCATGTGTACGTATTCATCAGCGTATTAAGAAACGCACCACGCCGTCAGCACACTCTTCCGTTAACACTCTAAACCTTCGATCTTTTACGCGCGATCGCGTCCTCCACGGCCTTGAGCTGCTTCAGCAACTCTTCGCGCCGCGAGCTCGCCTTCTTCGCGGCCTTGGCAGCCGCCGCGGCTACACTCGCCTTGCTGTCGATCAACGGTGGTGAGTCGAGCCCTCGCTTTTTGCCGGCCATCAGCGCGCTACGGTCGATCTTCTTCACCGCACTGGCGTTGCTCGCCGGCTTCAGCGTGAGCTTGATCTGCTGCTTAGCGCCGCCCAGCTTCAGAGCGTCCATGCTCTTGGAATCTTTGCGTGTTATCGGCGGCGTCGAGCCTTTCCTCCGGCGGGTCTCGCTGGACGATGACGAGTAGCTCGATTCGCTCGAGTCGCTGCTGCTCCCGCTGCTCTCAGAGCCTGAGCTACTATGGGATGATCTAAAACGTGCGTGTCCCTCTTTCGCTTAATTGCATTTACCACGCGACAAAATGCGTTACGAGTCGAGAAACATATATAGAATTATAGTACTCGCCAATTGAGTAAGCCGTGACTCTAACTTCCCATAAATAACTTTGATGAATATTATTATTAATTAAAAATCAAATCAAATAACTTTCAGTTTCGTCTCTTCGCGCTGGAATTTTGTCATGAAGTGATATCGAAATATCGATACGAGTGTTACGAGCGATTTCGAGTTCTCATACCTAGATCTCGAGCGACTCTTAATGATCTTCGCTACAGCGGCCGCAGCAATGGCCGCCTTGTCCCTGGCTTTTTCATGATGACGATGGGACGAGAGTGGGCTCGGTGCTGGTGGATTCAAGCCGGCCCGTCGATGCAGCGTACCCGTTGTAGGGGAGATAGAACCCTTGGGTGGGCGAGGTGATGGAGCAGGAGGATTCATTAACATGGCACCTCGTTGAGGTGGAGCCGCGGCAACAGCAGGAGGATTCGAGGGCGGCGAACTCGCGGCTGTCTTTCCTTTGCCAGCTCGAGTTCTAGAAGGAGGGGATGGTGGTGAACGGGACCTGGACAGGGAATCGTAAGAACTGTAGCTGGAACGGCTCGAGCTACGGCTAGAACTAAAAAGACGATGCCCTTGTACGTTTACGTGTGTAACCGAGTGAGAGAGGGAGAGAGAATCAAATTAAATAATTAAATAATTGAGTAATGGATATACAAGTACGAGCAGTTTTTCTCGGTCAAACGCACTACAACGATCATGAGCGTAGCCAGGGCTCGCTTGCCCTTCCCCCCTCTTTAAATTTTGGCGGATAAACAAATCGTGAAAATCATGAAAGTGGAGAAATATACAATACAGCCTATATTGTGTGCAAATCTGAACATTATACCTAGTTGACGAATACGACGAGCCCGAAGAATAAGACTGCCGGCGTGGTCGTCGCGACGATGTATTACGGCGGACGGCGCTCGGGGATTTGCGCCGCATCCATGGATCGGCCCACTCGTCGCCTCGGGCTCGAATCTCGACAGGAGGCGGCTCCTCTTCTCGCCAAGGTTTCGTCGGTGGTATGCGTTCCACGATGACCTCACGCGACGGCCGTTTGTGCTTCTTCTCGTACTTTTCGTAATAGTCACGCTCCCTGTCGCGTTGTTCACGTTCTCGTTCCCGCTCGCGATCACGATTGTGTGATGGTGGTGGTGGTGGCGGCGGCGGTGGCGAAACCGAATGGGTGCCACGAGGAATCGCGTGGTAATCGATACGATCCCTGTACTCAGCTGAACGATCCTTGTAATGAACTCTCCTGGTAAGCGGAAACACAGAGGTAAGAAACAAGGCATGCGAACCGATCGAGCTTCATTGTTGCAGCGTTCCAGTTGCCATCCAGTCGAGATCCGAAAAAAGGTGAAATAAAAGTTACTGCCTCTCGAGAGAAAAGGTGACGAAAAGTGACTTGAGTGACTGGATGGCAGCGCTGTGGTTGAAAGAATTGTTCTTCAGGACTCGTGGATCATAAGTTCGTCGCATCATCTCACCTGTAGTAATCCGACGACGCGGGTGGCGGCGGATAATATCCCTCGGGTTCATCGATATACCTGTCTGGAGTGAGTCTAGAAGATGGCACTCTACGCGGGACTTCCCGTTGTGGCCATCTCTCAACCGGCGGCTCGGGGCTGGCGGCTCTAACATAATACCCTGCTTCCCGGTCGAGCTCATCTTGCCCCAAACTCAGATTCATTTTCTTCTCTTCGAAATCCATGTCGGATTCTTTCCGCTTGTTGGCTTTGCGCATCATCTACAACAAGAAGCGGCGAGAGATTAGCTCGATTATCAATTACAACGTCAGTTTCGGAATATTAAGCTGGATATACACTGAGCGAACGAACAAGAAAGGAACGGTGAATGCAAACGTCCGTTCTTCACAGTTTGGGAAATGTGTATGCCATAACGAATTCGAACAGAATATTTCGGGTTGATTTGCTCATAAGGTAGCTTATCAAAGAAAATGTGTGCGTTTAAACCAGGGTTGGCGAAATTCCCGAGTTTTTGGAAGTCCGTGTCAGTGGTAAAAATTGGTATTTTTCGGAAAAGACCGGCAAAAATTCTGGTCTTTCCTATTAAAAATGATAAAATAAGTAAGAAACTTTTTTTATCGATATTTTAACTCACAAGCACTCTACTGCAGTCTTAGCTATGATCTTGTGCGCAAGAATCTGCACGCACGTGGAAAGTACGCGCTTATATTTCCTACAAAATTTTCTACGCAGTTGTGTCAAAGTAATTACTATGTAAATCGTTTACTGGTGAAGTAATCAGTTAACGTGAGAATTTGAAAAATGCATTAGAAGAAAAACACGAAGACACCGTATAAACGCTTGCTTTATATTCTATTCTGTTAATAACGTCAATAAGAAACGCATGTTATGGAATATTAGCAAGTATAAAAACCTTACGACTGAAACGGTGTCTTAAAAAGTGTAACGAGATTAAAATAAACGTAAACACAGATTTAATTTTTTAAAATACTTTTTGCTAGTTTATTCCATTGGATAAAGTCCGGGACAGTAAAAACGAGCATTTACCGTGCTTTTCCCCGCCTATTGGAATTTTCCAGTCAATCCTGGTTAGACGCGAATGTACACATTTTAAATTGCACATTGGCGTTGTTCGTTCGTCCGCTCAGTGCATACCCATCTTTACGCGAACCACACCTCCTTGGCATGCCGCAGTCCACGTTCCCATGCGGACTCCGTCGGCACCTCCTCCACCTTGGGGGTATGAACAGCGGCACCGTAACCAGGTATCGACGAACGCGCCATACTCGGTCTCTCGATGTGCGATCGATATTCGTGCGGCGCGGCAGCGGCATGTGGTGGATACGCCATGGGCCTTATCATATCGAACATCGTGTAATTACCTTTGTCTGTCACGCCGGGATGCAGGAATCTACAGCTGACACCCCACGTGCACTGGCCACGATTGTAGAAACGACACACGGGCCTCGGTTCGGTCTCCTCCGGCCGTGCATCGTCCCCGTCGCTGAGCTCGCCTTCCTCCAACTCGGATTCCTCTTTCTCCCCGTCGTCCTCTCCCTCTTCCTTGTCATTTATCTCACCTGACTCTTTCGACTTCGCCTTCTCCCTGTCCTTGTCTTTATCTTTATTGTCTTTGTCCGCGTTCTCTTTAGCGTCTTTCCCACTCGGCGTTTCGGCCTCACCTGGAATTTCAGCGGCAACATGAGACAACCTTTTCTCAAAGTACACTGCGACATTTTTGCTAAAATCTATTAAATGATTACGCTCTAATGTCACGTAGTGAGACGTCTATGTAAATTTTACACGCTCAGATTCGAAGCGTTCGATTTGCACACACGCATTACCTTCGTCACGTTCGTCTTTCCATTGGCCGTCGGCTTCAAAATCCAACTGTTCGCTCTCCTCCGCCAAGCCAACCGGGGCAATTTTGTCCTCCTTTTCCACGCTCTCCTCGTCATTCTTGCTCGGTTGCTTGTTATCCGGCTTCTCGGTTTGGTCCTCCTCCGCATTCTGCTTACCGGATTCCTCGAGGCCGTCTATGCTCTCAAGATCCGACACGTCCGACAAGTCCTCACCGTGAGTCATAGGCGCAGGCTTGGCCTTCGATACGGGCTCCGGCTCGTCCTCGATATCCCCGTCCGAGATCTGTTCGCCGTCCAGTAGTTCGTTAAACGAGCCGTTCTTCGTTTCCTCGGGTGAGCGAGGCCCCGAATGCGCCGGTGAATGCTTGTCCGACTCCTGATCGTCCATGGGGGACGCCGGGCCGGACTTGTAGGACTTCGGCGAGCTCCTCAGCGACATCAGGGACTTGACAGAGCTAGGATCGGATCTGGGCGACTTGGGCGTGCTCTGTCTGGACTCGCTGTTCTTGTACGAGTACGACTTGGGCGAGTTGTCGCCGGATCTCTGCGTGTCGGCCTCGAAGTCGGAGGCCTTCGACTCGGCATCGCCGAAGCGCAGAGATTTGGAGTCGTTCGGCGGAGAGAGGCACGAGCCGTTGTCCTGCACAGGCGAGCGAGACGAGCTGCGGTCCGATCGAGGCGAGTCGAGAGAGTTATTCCCGGAATGGTAAGATTTCGGCGACGCCGGCGGTGACTTGGACAAGCTACGGATCGACCTCGGGGATCGCGGCGATCTCGGGGATCTCGGCGGCCTCGGTGACCTCGCGGACCTCGGCGAGGCTTCCTCGCTAGGAGACATCAGCCCGGATCGTGGAGACTTGGGTGACATTGACGCGGACCGCGGCGACTTGGAGTCTCGGCCGGACAATATCGAGCCGGGTGACTTGACCCCTGGGGAGGAGATCGAGCTCGCGGGCGACTTACGTCCGGATCCTGAGGAGTGGTGCGAGTAACGTGACGACGTCACATCGTCCGTGGTAGTGACACGATTTCTATCTCCGTCATAACCCTCCGAGGAAGTACTCTCTGAACCAGAATCGGACATGCTGAACTATCTCTATCAGCCTGTAAAACAATGAGGCGCGTCAGAGAGGGCGGCGGGCGACTTCTGGTGGGAACGGGAACGGGAACGTCTCGTTTCTTTTTTTTCTCTCTTTTACGAAATCTTTAAAGTTTACAGCAACGTTCAAACTCTCCTCTTACTTGTTACAAGTTAAATCTATGAACAGGCGACATACGGCGACCGAATGTAGCACTGAAAAATCTGCATCAGTAGCGTCGCAGGGCTTACCTGTGTCGATTAGAGACTGTGCAGTACTCGCTCTTGATGGCACAACGCGCGCGATCCATAACGCGTCGAACATACTTTTTAGATAGCACAACTTTTTCTCTGACTTTTTCTTTTTATCAAGAACTGTTATACTTTATTTACTCAAACCGAACTTCCGCCGTCACATGTGCGATACGATACTGTTTTTCGGTCAGGTTTACTCGCGCGGAACTTTGGAACTTTTCAACTTGAACACAACACAAACTAAGAAAGTACCGATAAACCACAAACCGTACTTTTTTTTTACTGCACTAGAAACTATAGCGAACGAACTTTCAACCTGAAAGAATATTTTTTGGCCCTATGGAGAAAGAGAAACTGGGAGGGACTGGGGGAGGACGAGTCGAAGAAAGATGAGGGATAAAAAAAAGTACATGAAGAAATAAACTGTACTGTGAATGATTGACAGGGGGTACTATAATGCTGTCAATATTAATTGCTGTTTCTGGCAAAATGTAATTCTGCTGAGTCACACATTACCAGAGTAATATTTTCCCAGTTTAATTAGACTTTGCCACATGATAACATCTGTGGAAACGTTAGCTCTCAATAAAAACATCCAAGGAAAACTTGTGTCGTGTGCACGAATCTCATGAAACGAGCCCGCAGTATCGATTGCGGTGAAATAATGTTGAGAGATCAATCGGCGTGATTAATCATAAATGACGTAACCGTTCGAGCTTTCAAGCTCCGGTTATGCCGTCACTCCTCGTCCCAAAACGGACGTCACGCGGAAACCATCCCGAGCGACGACCACACGGAGAGGTTATGGCCGTACTACGCGACATCGCACCGCGATCGAGATCGCGGGGACTCGCAGGGACGTTTGTTTGGATGAGAGAAACGGTTTGTTCGGATCGTGAGGTGGTTCGGTTTGCGGGGGGAGGGGAATGTAAGTGCGCACTTCATCGGTTTCGTCGAGATGAACAGTCCGCGATGAGAATGGCATCGTGGGTATCTTACCTTGGTCGCGCGTATGCCTGTGGGCCTTAGGAGACTTCGAGGCTCCCCGAGGCACAAGGCGGCCGGCGTCACTCTCGCAGAACGCTTACGTTCTCGCTTATACACGCAAACCCGTGTACGTTCTTAAACCGCCTTTCCCCCACGGGCACCCACGGCGGATTTACACCGCCCGAAACGTCGCGAGAGATCTCGTCGTGCGATCCTTCCCTCCTTTGTCAAACCTCTTTCTCGCCGTCTCTCGCTGCCGACGTCGCGGAACCTGAGAACAAGAACGACCAGCGAGCGAGCGAACACGTCCAACCGATCGAGTAGATTCGATGTGTGTGTACATTCGACCATGGGACTTTTCGATACTAGACGGGGGTGTACATAGGCGCGTTGTATGAATGGACGCGTTCGTGCACATCGGGCTGCGTTCTTTTTCGGCGCTCGCGCGCTGTAAGCGTCGTTCGGCTGCGTTCGGAAAATACATCAGTCAGCGGTCGCCGATCTTATTGGTCTTTACTGTTAAATCCCTAGATTCAGCTCGATCACATTCGCAAAATACTCAACTGTTGTGTTTTCTGAACGCAACCAAAGGTTATATAATTGGTAACGTAATTGGTTCAAATTTAAGAATCTAACCGTAAGTCTTATAGTTTGAATTTTCAAATGTAGCGCTTACGTGATTCGTCGTTCCGACATGACAAAATGGCGCTTAGAGAATACAATTAAAACTAAAATATTCTGTAGAATTTTCTGTAGATTGAAGTGTATTCAGAATTGAATGTGTTAATCGAAACGTCCGGCGAAAAATTTCAAGCGTTTCAAGCCGAACGAGCGTATAAATTCGAAGACATTGTATGAATAATATGTGATTGTAAAACCGACTCCGCACAATATAGCAAACATAGAGAAACGTAGGCGAGCATTGGCAGTTATATTGATCACGTATGTTGGCGGATGTAACATACGTGATAATATAACATAAATGTAACATGATATAATAAAACATACATAATCAATATAATTTCCGACGTTCGCTTATATTTGCCACATCGTCCGGAGCCGGCTTAAGATACAACACGCCTGCAATAATTTTCCAGTATTACTTTCTCACTTCGGTTTATTTTTCTAATTTTACATGTACTTTTTAATAACCAAGAAAAGAATCTCAGTTTCAGCGTTTCTCTCGATATATACATACACATACGACACATAACATATTATTACTATGATATCATTCTACGACGAAGTTGATTGTACATCGATTGCCAGATGAAAAACGTAAACTCCGATATCCCTCGCTTCCTCTTTTCTTAACATCACGCTTTCTTTGTGACGAAGAAACGGATTGTAATGGAAAAGTAGCGCCTATGCAATCTCATAGAGATACTCGAGGATTCGAAAAATTAACGAGAATGTCTTCAAAGTTAACGGACTAGAACTCGCAAACCGTCGTGCTTTGACAAAAGGATTAATATAGCATGTGCGTTCTTTCAGACTTCGAGTGCTCCATCATCGACTCCTCGTCGTTTTGTTCGACATTCTGCATCGACCGGTGCATCAGTTTGCTGACGAACGCAGGATTCGTCCATATTACCGGAAGCAGCAGTTTCGCAGGTATCCTGCAAACAATATGTTTTACGTTACATGTGTTTCCGTATATATTTCTTGTAATGATTTTCAATAAGTAATTACACATTCTCGTGCAGCACAAACGTTTAAAAGACATCCTAGAATATTTCAGAATGTTTGAATATCCCTGGGATGTCTCTAGAATATTTTTTGAATATTTGTGCTTGGATATGGCAAAATTTCTCCAGATTTATAAGAATATAATTGTAAAATTAATTGCAAAATGGCCAAATATCTTGTAAATTTCAATTATAAGTATTTTAGAATTTATTCAGGTATTTCTCTTTTCAAATTAAAAAATATCGATTTGCGATATTCCTGTGGAACAAATAATATATTTCTTATAAACTGCTTCAGTTAACGTAAAATTGAATTGTTCGTCCGATTAGTGTACCAATTGATTAACATACGGCGTTGTAAGGAGTAAATTTTAGCACCATATATACGCAATTATATATGTGATACAAAATTCCTTCGATGTTTTTCTTGCGGTTCAGTTCGAATTTTAACGAAAGCGGACAGTGAATAGAAATTTTCATCAATCGTAATATTTTCGATCGAAATATTGTTTCTATGTTCGATTTCATCTTATCACTCACAGAGTCCGCGGAACATACTCACCCGGAATGTGGAAAGCTTCGCAGAAGAGACAACAGGATTTCTTCGCGGCTGCTAAAGTCCGGGACCTCCGTGGGACCCTCCCTCTTCCCGAATCCGATCGCCGTAGAGATGTATTCCGGCTTGAAGCCACGGATCTCCCTCACTTTTGTCCGATGCTTGATGACACGAGGATACTTCAATTTTTCGAAGTCGCAACTCTTCGATGCCGTCATTGCGATAAAGAGTCCCGCCACCAAGACCAACGTGATCGCTAATACCGCTCTCATGATTTCCTGATATAAAGAAACAAGACACGTCGAGCGTGATAATGAACGTTCCTTGCAAGGCTGTTGCTGCGTATTCTAATCGCAAAAGAATGGCTTTTCTTTTTGAAAGCGTGTATTTATAATTTAATATAAATTAAACAATACTTCGGTATTCGTTCTCTTGCGCACATATATTCCTTAATCTCTGTAATATGAACTTCTTACGAGACATTTCACGGGACATCGGAGCGTTTGTGTATATTGATTCGCATAAGCACCACATCGCCGCCGCAAATACGTGTAACAGTTCCATTTTAACTATAATTTATACTTACTGTGATATACGTAAGATAAAAATTGTTTAATGCAGAATATTTATGTCGTAAATTCTTAAATTACAACAAAACAATCACTGGTATAAATGAATATGATACAGGTCAAGTCATAACTTCTATACTCGCTCAAAATGGAGCAAAATGAGAGTACATGAAATATAAATTGTTTAACTCATAACTTCTTCCGACTCGGAGATATTTTTTAGGTTTTACCATATCGCACTTTTTGCAAATTTCCCAGCGTAATTTTACCTAAATGTAAATAATAATTTAAACCGACCAATGATTACTCTTCCCAAGACTTCCCAAGTTTATATTTAAGTCTGACTATATTTTAACGAAATTTTAGAAGAAAGTTATCGATTGTAACTGCGTTCTACGCGTAAGTTTCCGAAAGTCAGAAATCGTCTCTAAATTGATACTTCTAGTTTGGAAAAAATATATATATTTCTCGTTCGGCAAGAATGCTCGAAATGATAGCGATACGCGTCTTGCAATCTGTCAAGCCCAATCCGAGCAGATTCCAAGAGGAGGAAGGACGTCGACTTAATCCGTACGTGCGAGAGCTGAGAACTGGCCTCCGGGACTATTCCACGACGTTTTGTACGAAGCCGCCGATATCGGCGTCGCCGGCGGCCGCCGACGCCGTCGTAGCCGCCGCTGACGTCGGCACAGCCGCCGCCACCGCCGCCGGTCGTAATATTTTTTCAATTTCTCAAATGCGCCCGATCGATCGAAATCATTTAACGTCGCGTTGAAATCCCCGCCGATTAGATGGCCGCAATCGAGGACGCGAGTGCCTCCCCGCGAGAATTTATCTCTGAAATGAAACTCTGCGAGCCGGCTCTTATGCGACACAAGGCGCTAAAACCGCCGCCGCCGCCGTCGTATGTCGCCTAGCCGCCAATGCGTATGCGAAATTTCCCCGCAGTATTCGGCGATGCTGCCCCTAAGGACGCTCTCTTCGTAATGACGACACCACGCCCATGCTTTCATCTAATTTACAGAGCGCAAGCCGCGCTCGATGCAAACCTTCCTACGAGCGCGAGGCGCTCTGACGATGACCGACGGTTAATTAGAAGAGTAGAAATACGTGTAATCGAGTTCAATGTGATAGTATAAAATTAATACATTTCCTACAATTCCACCGGACGCATCATTCGGGTAGTTTCCTGCTCTAAAATGTTTCCCCGCACACACATTGAACTCCATCCTTCAAATTATAATTATAAGTAATAGAGGGGTGTATCGTGTGCGAGATAAGTGCGCACGGATAGCGAATCAAAAAGATTAAGCTACGTAATATTTTATTTCTTTCATTAATTTATATAAAATACATATCTCTTATATTTGGTTCATTTACAGTGTATGTAATATTTCATATCATATCAGAAATTGTGTCATTTCGCCATTTTAACCAGAGAATGGTCTAAGACAACAACGGGTATCTCTTTGAGAATAAGGGAACGTGGAATGCCGGAATATTTTACAAAAAGCTCCAGGAAATGAAGATTAGTTGCTCCTTCGGTTTCCGTGTCGTTACCGGCTTTCATACTGTGAAAGCGGTGTTTTTAATTTATAAATACGTATCAATTAACTCGCACCAAGCGGTACCGCAATTATCGCATTCGCGACTTTGTAATCACGGGATTATTCTTACCTTTCCATGGTGAGGAATGACAGAATATACATGCAAAGATATTTCACATATCGATTCATTACAGAGACGTGGAATTGACGGAGAATCGTTTGTATGCCTATCGCAAATACCACAGCGTCAACGGGATCTTGGTACCTCTTGCTTAACAGACTCGCTGCAATACATAAAAAAAAATAAAATGTGTAATGGGATAAGTACATTTTTATATATTTACGTTCTATGTATATTATTAGTTTTTGTTTTTCCTATGTATATGTACCTATACTGATATTTAAGACGAATACCTTGTATTGATACTGACGAATAAATAAATAAATATATAAATGTATGAAGAAAAATATTTATTATATGTCAATAATACGTATCAATATCACGCAAATATAACGTACCTGTATTTTTACAATACATTAATTTATTTAACTGCGACACTGTGAATAAGAACACAATGAGAGCTATATTATCTATCTTTGGTGGCTTGATATAAACTTTATTGTGCGGATCGCTGATGCCAGCCCAGTCCAATCGCACGCTAAGTTCGTGAAGCAATTCGCTTTTCTCCGACTCGCTCTCATTATTGTTGTCTTTCTTCGTTATCTCACACAAGATTGCTCTGCAAAGTGGGAGAAATGAAGAGCGAGAAAAGAAGAAATAGCAACGTTCGGGTTCACTTTTTTCTACATACGTATTCAATGTTCGAAGTGCCGCTTCCATGTGTTTCGCCTCGAATTTGCAAGCAGTGTTTAGCTCGTACGCTATCTTCTTCCTAAGTAATTGATAATGACCCACTTTCAATGTCCACTCGAGTGCTGGCGACCATAATTTGCTGCTGCTGGCACTCACGGAATTATGAAGTTTCGTGATGTTACCTATGAGTAACGTAATGAAAGTAATGATCAAGTATTTTTGTCGTTGGTCAACCTTCGCATTTTCGCATACAGCAGTTTCCAATGACGTTATCGCAAACAAGCAGTTGTAAATCGCATTTGTTCTTAATGGCAAACATTATGGACAGTATTAAGAGTACAAAAATGAGAGAAATGGCAGGATATATATTTCTTTTTCGAATTCTTACTTTTCGCACTGTCTAAAGTACTTAAAGTAGCCTCACAATCCTCCAACATCGACGTCCATGTTTTATTCCGTATATTTTTTTCTACATAATGAACCAGAGCCTCCAATTCCATGACGATGTAAAAAGAGATGAGCTTGTCCAGCCCCGATAACCCCGGAGTACCTATCGTTTCCAATATCACGGAGAAGATTTTGTAATTCAAAACTTCATTTTGCGTCCTAATGTCGTACCATGCTAGAGAGTGATCTATATATACAGTAGTTCTGAAAAGATACAAATGAGTAGAGAGATACTCGAAAGGTTCATTCGCTAAAGTTTAACTCACTGAAACTTAGAAATAAAGCAAATAAATGAGACAATACTTCGGATCGGTAATACGAATGAGTTCTCTGGCAAGTCTGCCCATAAATGTCAACGAAGTATTATCCGTCGAAGATGCATGCTTATCTTCCTGGAATTGCCTCCACGATTTTCCTGGTACCCAGGAGGAGCCTCTACGTTCTTCTTCCACTGCGTTATTTATAATGTATGTAATCTAAGGACGTGTAAAAAATGTCAAGTGAAATATAGCTGCATACAATTTTTTTTTGCAAATTACATAACGATATAATTTTCTTACTTCTTCGTGCCATATTTTCAAGCTATTTATATTAATGTAATCTTGGATATACTGAAAAGATTTTCTGTATCCATCCATAATTGAAGATAATTTAGATAATTTTTGCAGAAGAGACGTCTAAAAGGAAATTTGTGCAATAATTTATAAAATTTATAGTTTTTAAGAAAAATCTTCATTTATTGAAGTTTATTCAAGTTTACCTTGGACTTCTGATCAAAATTGAGACCATTGCACAATGCTAGGCTAACCTTCTTCACAAGTTCCTGACGTATACCGTCCTCTAAAAGACGATGCGAGTCAACCCTTAAAACTCCTAGAGAGACACTTCTCAGTGATAAGACACCTTTTGTGAAAACCGACACTGCGTACGTTAATTTAGCCATCTGCAAGATATATTCGAATATTGAGTATAATATAAAAAGTTTCCCCCTAACACGATTGATGCAAAGAGGATAATTAATTAAAACTGCATACCTGCAATCTCTCATTCAATTGCGCGTAGTCCTTAAGTTTATCTTTCGGCAATTTCGTTGGGATTTCTTTAAATGCGTGCGTCTCGAGATGTACAATCTGCGCTAGCAAGCCAAATACAGTCTCAGGTATAATTTGCAAAACACGTCTAGCGTACCCTTCCAGTTCTCTACTGTAGTATTGCGATACCGAGGACAGGTCTGCGCTTCGCGCTTGATTTACCCTCAACAATGGAGTTTCTAGTGCTGAAGCCATCTAAAAGTAATAAAACGTACAGATGTGAACATTAAAATATGCGCATTCGTATCCTTTATTATACACAATCACACCTGAAATGTAAATTCGTACTCGGTATGATTTTTACTTATGTATTTACTTTGAGAAAGAGAGCCTTCAGTTTGATGACCATCGGTGGATTTTCCTTAATGCTCTCCTGCATCACGTCGATGAAAGATTCCATAATGTTCCACGCGTAGCAACAATCCGTCACAATGTTTAAGCTTATCATAACGTCTTCAGATATGCTGCCTGTTCGCAACATATTGTGCAGAGTCTCGCGAGTGTCAGCCAGATACTGCGAAATGTGCAGATTATTTTCTAACTGATGAAATTCTGGAAACGATAACACATTATATAAACGCCCACCTGCGAAGCAAGTGTCTCTCGGTTTGTGCGTGAGTACCTTGAACCTGTTCCAACGCTTGCAACAGTTGCACTATCTTTCTCCCGTCCTCCTGCTTCAGCGAATCAATATGCTTACTGATTTCCATGAACCACGAATAAAGATTCTGGTTTTTATCGATACCATCCAGTGGTTTAGTGCCTCCGAAAATTTGTGCGAGATCAGTTATACGTTCGACGCATGTTCCTTTATCTCGGAGCCACTTGGCTTCTTTCCCAAGCAGTAACTAACAATATGAAGACAAGTAACACGGTTACGTACTGTTTTTCGAGATGTTTCCCCGATCATAACAACAGTGAGAAATTTCAAGCGTACATCTTTATACATCTGTTTGACATCCTGTTCAATTTGAGCAGTGCTCAGTAATAATCGTAGACAATTCGCTGTGGTATACTTGCTCTCGCTTATAACCGACTGGCGCAAAATACGCGAACGTTTCGAATCCTCCAGGGTTATGGTGGGTATAGTTGTGTGTAGAAGGATCCAGTGCAGGGTAACATTAGACTCCCTCATTAATTTGACCAAAGAACCAGTCGCATTCTCGTCCAATGTGCCTGCCTTCTGCACTTCGTCGGTCTCTTGTATCAGTTTCTGGAATATTTTTTCTATGAAACAAGTAAAGGAGGACTCTGAGAAAGTGTCAATATATATCTCGCTTTACAATCAAGAAATCCCCTGTGAAATATTTTGTGATGAGCATACAATTACTGACGATCTAATACAATAAGAAGAAACAATCAATGGAAGGAAAACTATATTATATTAGTAGCAATTATAATTATAAGAAAAATTGATCGCATTCTTTGCAAGTTATCATCAGTTATTTTGAGCATATACTTATGTCAATGTACAAAAACTTCACAAACGCTTTCTTACTTACATCCATCTTTACTCCATATTTTTGCGCAATTCCTTTCACGTTAGAATTCTCGAGCGTATTATTCAATGCTGTTCGCGCAGCTTTGTATGGAGACCACCAATCGCATAAGTTGATCACTGTTCCCATATAAATACTAATTACCCAGTTGTCGGGGAAAAATCTGTCCACTATTTCCCTCATAATAGCAGTTTGCGTGTGAAGTACAGTCGGTTTAAATGACAATATTATGACTAACATGGATGCTTGCGTGGCAACAGCGGTACTTCGGTGTTCGGGATGTGGGAAAGCAAGGGTCTGATTATAAATCTCGTCCGAACGCAATCGACCGATAACAAGATCTATTAGAAAATCTCGTAAAGGTACCCTCCTAAAAATTATACACTTGATTGCACTCTTCATTATACACTTAATATAATATGAAGAGATATTTCAAAGAACTAACAGCAACTTTTCTCGATATTGACATATTACATACTTGAAATATTCTTCGGGATAATTAGTTGGTCTTTTGGACAATGTTCTCACATATCCTGTCGAACGAAGTAGCATACAAACATCATCCACTCTAGTGGAGGAAGATCTCTGTGCATTGTATCGATAATAAGACACAAGTAGCCTTTCACGAATTCGTCCTTCAAAATGATAATCAACCAACAAAAGCATGACTCCATATAGATATACAGCTTCACACTGTGTACAAAGGTATAATTGTGCCATTTTAAACTGTATGTACAGTCAATATATCCAATAGAACATTATCATCTATTGAGGTTTCATTTCTTGCCAAGTAATAAATACAAATCATTTTATGATAAAAATAATGAAAAATTATACCATTAATTGCTTTCCTTCTTCGTTGAACATAATAGAGTCTAGTGATTGATGTATGTAAACTCCATCTCCCAATTCATCGATATAAAAGTTTAAATCTGTAACATACTTGTGTATACTTTCAAAAGCTAAGTAAAATCTTGTAAGTATGTCTGAGAAATTATTTCGTAGCTCCTCATCTGTTTCTTGAAGTACCTAGGAGATAATATAGATATAATATTTATGTTATAGCTATTAAAGTAGTGATTGTATTATAGTATAAAAAGAAAACCAATATTTACAGAATCATCTTCTATTTTTTGCTCATAAACACTAGCTGCCTTGAAATATGCAAAATCAATTATGATTGATCCATACTTCTGTACTGATTGCTTTGAATCCAAGCTGATAAACAAATATAACAATTGTGAAATTTACAAAATATTTTTGTAATAAACGATAAACATCTATGCTATATTATAATTAACTGTATATATTGATCATTGTAGCAGGTTAACTACATTTATAACAAACTAACCTAAAAACGGGTGGTACATAATCTTTCAACCGCATTAATTCAGCTATGATAGCATTTCCGCGAGATACCAATCGCAATAAATTTTGTCCACAGACATTGTTGGCTGCTAGGAAATCGCTCATTATTTTAAACAATTATCACGATTACTTCCTGTCAAAAAAACCACAGATAAATTGTGACATATGAAAACAAAAGGCTCGTTTAAAGCACGTAACACATTGCAGATACGGATTGGATCGGATTGTGAACAGTGAATCATTGATCAACCAATCAGATTGAAGTAGTCAAAGATCCATTGGCTGGTCAACGATTCACAGTTTGCAATCCAAATTCAATCCGTGTCTACAATGCGTAGTGTGACACGAGCTTTAGGCTGCGTTCTAAAATCCTACTCGATGGAAAAATATCGTTTAATTGACCAATCAGGACAAAAAGAGCAAAGATTTCTTGATCATAAATTGGTTAATTAATTGTCACGTTCAGCAGAACGTTTAATTTGCAACTGTTGGAAGTTTTCTGAGCTGAGATTGGATTATTCTTTTAGATCTACAGGAATAATCCAATGTTAGCACAGGAAACTTCCAACAATTGCAAACCAAACGTTCTGCTGAATGCGGCCGATGGCAAGTCAGACGAAACTTTAATAATTAAGTAGTACGACTCATCGACGAGTCAGTAGGACTCTTGTCTGTGATCTCGTCATGCTACGATTGAAAAAAAAGCATAAATCAATATTAGATTAATGATGCGAGAGTTATAGAGTATTTGTAAAATGCATAATCACGTGAAACACTTAATTTTTTACGCTTCTCCATTTTTACAACGTTCTAAGAGTAATTATCGCATGTGACAGCGAATAGTGTGCGTTTCCGAATCTTCCTTCAAATGTTACAAGCGCTATGGCGATCGGCTAACGTTGCTTCTGTAAGGTTTCATAAATAATTCGAAGCAGCTGATGCTTTGCTAATTAGAGTTGTCGATCGATACCGGCACAAAATAAGGTTTCTCTATATTAATTCGACCGATTCAGCAGCCTGTCTTCGTCTCGTCGGAATGGAGGTGAGCTTGTTATTTTAACTTAGATAGGTTAGTTTATAATAAATAACAATAATAATAATAATAATCGATAAACATACATCAGTATAAATTAATTCATGTGTTTGAATTAAAGTAAAACCTAGACTTATGAACACGCAATATTAATTTATACCTAGTTCTAAGCTGTGAGATATTTCAGGATGTCCAGAAGATCTTAAATAGCTTGTGTCCATTCTGAAATGATATTTGAAAACCAACTAAATCAATTAAAATGTAATGTTCATTTTATAGGCATCCGCTAAAATTCCTCTTCCATTAGAACCTATAAAGTCGAACCAAGTCGAAGATAGGCGCTTATGGGTGGGCAATTTAGATTTGAGAATTAATGAGTAAGTATCTATATAATTTAAATCTGTTATTTAATTTTTTCACGCTTCTCTTCCAAAAATATTACACCTCATATTAGGAAAATCTGAGAAAAAAACTAACTCTCTCTTTGTCAACCGGTACCAACTCCTGAAACTTGTCCAAAAATATGGCACAATCGAAAAGTTCGACCTGCTGTTTCATCGGTCGGGACCTCAAGCTGGTCAACCAAGAGGATATGCGTTTGTTACCTATAAAACAATACAAGATGCCAAAACAGCAAAAGATGCTTTACATAACTTGAAGGTTGGAGCCAAGAATATTATTGTCAGATGGGCACATAGTGTCAGCGAGGTACAGTATATTTGTGTGTATCTGTCACATATTTTAAGATTTACATATTTCCTTCAATTTTGATTATGTATAACTATGTGTCACGTAAATTTCAATTATATATTATATATTATGTATTATTTTATTAATATTCAACATTAAAGTCTTATCATTTTTTAAATTCATTTTTAATTTTAAATGTCTTCAAGTCGAATACAGAAGATAAACTAATATATTTTTATTTAGTCGGAAATGGATAAGCCAAAACCAAAAATAGATATTCCTGCCTTAGCTGGTGCAAAGAAGGAAGATAAGAAGATAAGGTATATATAAGAGTTCAATATTTTCTTCAAATAATAAACAAGAGCAAGGTTTTGATGATCTGTATCAACATGTATTACTTGCAGTCGTGAAACAGCAATTCAAGCAATAGAAGCAAAACTCAAACTGATGAAAGAGTCAGAAGAGGAATTCGAGTTGAACAAGCCATTGGAGGGCTCGCCAGTTATACATCTTTATCAGAAAGCGGAAAATCAAAAACCGTCCACCTCCACGCGCTACCACAGTCGTGGCAGTTATTACCATAACAACAAACCGTACAGTCGCCACAAATCAAGAAGATAATTGCTAACCTTTATACATCCATATTCCTCCTATTTAACAATCCATTTACATTTGTTTTTTTCGTGATCATAATATTTATATTCATATAATCTACATTTAATATATATTGTTCATCAGAGGCTCTGCTCCGTTCTGTCTTATTAGGAAATTTTATATATTTGTGAAAATCTCTTCAGGTATTTTATGAAATATGATACCTAAACTACAGACAAAGCAAATGCAAACTGATTCCTATAAACGAGCAGATGTATGAAACATACTAGAGCTACAAATATTTTAAACCGTCGATGTAACGCTCGATATGTATAAATTGATGTATGTGTATTTTCATAATGTATGGAGACCTTTTTCTATAACGAACGCACATGTGACAAGCTTTGGGACAAAATATAAGATGTATAAATTAACTTCCATCCGTGCTTATGAATACACAAAGACATATATGTATGATACATGGTATAGTACATTATTATTATTATAACAATTGTAAGATATTTTCATGAGTTTTAGTTCTTTTATTACTTCTCTAGGAAACTTGTTTAAAACTGAAAAGAGAAAGACTAAAGACTTATGCGTACACCTGACAATACAAAATCTTTTAATAATTACTGTTCTTTCATTTCTCTCTGTTTCTTAAAACGCATATGGTCTGGCAGAGGCACTACACCAGGACAAGGCACTTGTCCAGGGATGTTACACATACAGCTCTTTTCACAACCAACACCGAAATTTGCTGGATTTTCCTTCTTTTTTTGCGTGATATCTTCCATGGCTAATACCTGTTTCGATTTTCCAATAACTCTCACAAGATGTTCAAGTATCTCGTCCTTGGTCTTGGTATCTATATCTATTAACATTGTCTTGCCGTCCTCTGTAAAGTGCATAATTTTTTCAGATTGTGCAGTTTACCTTAAAAAGAATCTGTCTAACCATTCAATCGCGCATAGAATAAATCTTGGTTGAAATAATATTGTGTAAATTTCAAATTACCATAATAGCACTTAATGAACGGCGATGGTGTTATGTTTTGCAAAGTAACTATTTGTACATTTGGATTTTTGTATTGCACCTGGCACATATGCCAATGCACGAAATCCCTGTGTTGGAAATGAAAAAACAATAGAAAATACGGACATTGATTAATGCATGAAACAGAATGAAACAGAATCTCGCACGTAACCTCAAAACTTCACCTTGCGCCTTTGTGTTGTTTACCAAGCATGTTATAATTTATGGATAAGACCTGTATCTTATCCTTTAGAATTAATTTCCCAGCCATTAAATATTTTACCGTTCTCCGTATGGGATTTTTGCCTAACATAAACGGCATTTTGCGTGAGCTTTTATTTGTTGTTTATTTAGAAGATACACTATCGGTGTGTGCAGCCGGCTTCGCAGACGCAGATTACTCGCCGTCGTTTCAGCAGATGTGATATCGGTAACGGCGAAATGATTTTCTTCCGCTTACCGGCACGAAATCACGATTGCACACGTGTATTGTGTTCTCAATTTTTTTACTTTCTCTCACATGCACGTCAGCTTCGTTATCAATACTAGTCGCGTAAGCCAGCTGTGTTTGACGAGACCATCCGTATTTGCCTTGAATGTAAGTCTCTCTGCATTAAACTATCATTAGTTCCTCGTTCATTTCGAAGAGAATATATTCTCAATGATTGCAAAAAAATGCAATTGTACAGCTCATGTAAAAGGAACTATTTTATTTCCTCAGACTCCATATAGATTTATTATTTTTCCTCACCTAAACAGCTGATGCAATCTGAGACCATATGGTAAACGTCATACTGCATCATTATATTTTAATGTATTATTACAGCTTCACAGAAGTTAAAGGGATTCTAGGATATCAAAATGATAACCACTATGAATGCAAAGCAAATACGACAGGCTTATATCGACTTCTTCAAGAGTAAAGGACATGAATATGTACATTCAAGTTCGACTATACCCCATGATGATCCGACTTTGCTCTTTACAAATGCTGGAATGAATCAAGTATTGACTATAATTCCTGCATCAAATACTTCATTATCTAGTATTCTGGAAAATTGATTTATATTTTATTGCTAATATATATTTTAGTTCAAGCCGATATTTCTGGGTACAGTTGATCCTAACAGTGACATGGCAAAATGGGTACGTGTGGTTAATAGTCAAAAGTGCATTAGAGCTGGTGGCAAGCATAATGATCTGGACGACGTTGGTAAAGATGTGTATCATCATACATTCTTTGAAATGATGGGAAATTGGTCTTTTGGGGATTATTTCAAGGTAATCTTTTGCATATTGTAGATTGGTAATTATTTCTTTTTAAATGTCAGTGTATAATAAGTCATCTAAAATATGCTTTCTTATACCTTTAGAAAGAAATATGTTCTTGGGCTTGGGAATTTTTAACAGAAATATTGAAGCTGCCGGGTGACAGATTATATGTAACATATTTTGGTGGTGATGAGAAGAATGGATTAGCACCTGATGACGAGTGCAAGGAATTATGGCTTTCTCTTGGGTAATCTAATCATTTCAAAATTAAACTTATAGAAAGAACCATTTATCAACAATTTTATGCACATTATTTTAAATTTTATAATAAGATTTTATATTGAATAACTGTTTAATTAATTTTATAATTAGTAATTAAATTTTAATTTTATCCTTAATTCTACTAATTTCATTTTCATGAATATTTCATTAATACATCAATCATGTTTCAGTATTTTTCTGTAATAATAAAAAATAATGTATCATAACTTTGTAGAATACCCGCCTCGCATGTTCTACCAGGAAATATGAAGGATAATTTCTGGGAAATGGGTGAAACCGGGCCCTGCGGGCCGTGTAGTGAACTGCATTATGATCGTATCGGTGGTAGAGAAGCAGCTCATCTTGTCAACATGGATGATCCTGACGTGTTAGAAATCTGGAACCTAGTGTTCATTCAGTATAACAGGTAAACAAAATTTGTAAGTTTCTTAAATATTTTAAGTTTAGCGAATCCTTCTAATCTTTCTTCTGTGTTAATGATAGGGAGGCAGACGGGAATCTTAAGTCATTACCGAAGAAGCACATAGACTGCGGTCTGGGTCTGGAACGATTGGTGTCGGTGATTCAAAATAAACGCGCTAATTATGATACTGACTTATTTATGCCTTTGTTTGCCGCGATCGAGAAAGGTACAGGTGCACCACCTTATCAAGGTAAGATAGGGGCCGATGATGTTAACGGAGTCGATATGGCATACAGAGTTTTGGCTGATCATGCTAGAACTATCACAATTGCTCTTGCGGATGGTGGAATGCCTGATAACACCGGTAGAGGGTAAGTGAGATTGTTAAGCAAGCTTGTTCTGCTTCTCCGCACACCTCTCGATGTAACACAATTTTTTTACCGCACTATAGGTACGTGTTAAGAAGAATTTTGCGTCGTGCTGTGCGCTACGCAACGGAGAAATTGAATGCTAAACCGGGATTCTTCGGATCTTTGATAAACGTAGTTGTCGAGCTTCTCGGTGAGCGTCTTCTTATCGTGACAGAAAGACTCGATTTTCTCGCACTTGTTACCTCCGTTGTGTCGTCGAAATTAATCGCTCGCTTAATGTTACAGGCGAAGTGTTCCCGGAAGTGACGAAAGATCCGCAAAGCATAATCGATATCGTGAATGAGGAGGAGACTCAATTTTTAAAAACGCTATCGCGTGGTCGCAATTTACTGAATCGAACGATCGCAAAATTGGAGTCAAACGATACTGTGCCAGGTGATGTCGCGTGGCGCTTATACGACACTTACGGCTTCCCGATAGACCTCACTCAGCTGATGACTGAAGAGAAAGGGTTGAAAATTGACATGGCAGGATATGAAGAATCGAAGAAGCAGGCACAGGTATTGCATCTCGTCGCTTAACAATGATTAATCAATCGATTCAGGGCGGCGCATCAACGATAAGTGTCCCTTTATTCGCATCCCTCACGAATATATCCGCGATTACAGTTAATTTCCCAAAACAAAGCGGGCGGAGTGGACGACCAGATTAATTTGGACGTCCATTCCATCACTGAACTGCAAGGGCTTGGTATCAAGCCTACGGACGATTCTCCCAAATACAATTACAAGATAACCAGTACTACGACGTACAAGGAGTACGAGTTTGCACCGTGCACGGGCACGGTGATCGCGCTCAGACGTGCCAAGACCTTCGTCGACGAAGTGTCTTCCGGCGAAGAAGTCGGCATTCTGTTGGACAAGACGAACTTTTACGCGGAGCAAGGAGGACAGATATACGACGAAGGGTTCTTGGTGAAGGTCGATGACGAGGTACGTCCACAGACCAATTCTGCTTCTACGTAACGGAGAGCGATAATAATCGTAAATGTTGCATTGCCTCCAAAAGGCGACGGAGATACGCGTGAAGAACGTTCAAGTTCGGGCCGGTTACGTGCTGCACATTGGTACCGTGGGCGAGGGCACGTTGAGGAAAGGCGACAGGGTCCATGCAAATGTGGATACTGCGCGGAGACGGCTCGTAATGGCCAATCACAGCGCCACACACGCCCTGAATCACGCGCTCAGGAAAGTTCTGGGAACGGAGGCCGATCAGAAAGGGTCACTGGTCGCGCCCGATAGGCTCCGCTTTGACTTTACGAACAGAGGTACGTGTGTGAGTCAGTCGAGTCTGCAGAGAGACTAATTGTGTATCACGTGAATTACCATTGTCAATCTTCCATGGTAGGACCGATGACAATGGAGCAAGTGAAGAACACGGAGAACATCACGAACGACATGATCAGGGACAACAGGAAAATTTACGCCAAGGAGAGCAACTTGGCTCTGGCGAAAACCATTCAGGGTCTGCGCGCGATGTTCGAAGAGACGTATCCTGATCCGGTGCGTGTTGTCAGCATGGGTGTGCCGGTCGAAGATCTCGAGGAAGATCCCTTAAGCCCAGCCGCCACGCAGACCAGCGTGGAATTTTGCGGTGGCACGTAAGTGTTGGTCCGCGTAAAATCACTGGATATTTTTTGCAGTCGTGCGCGTCTCCTCCAAGTTTCGCAACTTGCCCCGCAGGCATTTGCATTACACCGGGCACATAGGCGACTTCGTAATAGCCAGCGAGGAAGCTATCGCTAAAGGCATCAGACGCATAGTAGCGCTCACCGGGCCCGAAGCAGCCAAGGCTCTGAAGAAGGCGACGTTGCTGCAAAATCAATTGACTCAGCTTCAAGCGACGATCGAGGCCGACAAATCTGGGGCACATTCGAAGGATCACGTCAAGAAGATAGTAGAACTGACGGAGGACATATCGCACGCCACTATTCCCGGGTGGAGGAAGGCAATTATTTCTCGAAACATGATTTGGTCTGCTTTTTTTCAGCTGAATTGGCTGGTTCAAGAAATTTACGCACATCGAAGCATGAGAATCTCATATATACGCTTCAATATGTATGTACATTTCTTGAACTAATGTATTCAGTTCAACTAAAAAGAATAGGCCAATAAACTTGATTCGATCGGTGAATCGTTACGCAAATAATTTTTTTCTCTATACGCAGGATAAGATGCGCGGGATGTTGAAGGAATTGAAGAAGTCTCTCGACGACAAGGAACGGGCTGCGAAGGCAGCTATCGCCAACACGGTCGTCGAGACTGCGCAGTCTATGATACAGTCCAAAGTTGGGTGTCAGGTGTTAGTCGAGGTGCTGGAGGCGTACAGCAATACGAAGGCTCTGGACTCGGCATTGAAGAAGATACGAGCCATATCGCCGGAAACTAGCGCCTTGCTCATAAGCATCGATCGGGACGTCAAGAAAATATTCGCTCTGAGTTCCGTTCCCAAGGTGAGACCGCATTATTTCAAGGCATTGCAGTAGGAAATATAATCAACAATGTGAGTTGGAATAAGATGATCGTGTAATATTGAACGAAATTGTTCACAGTCCGCAGTGTCCAAAGGACTAAAGGCAAGTGAGTGGATCCAAGCAATTACACCTATGATGCAAGGTAAGGGAGGAGGAAAGGCTGAATCTGCGCAAGCCTCCGGCGTTAATGTAGCGTGTTTGAACGAGATAGTAAGCAAGGCCAGTGAATTCGCTAACCAGAAACTTGGTATTACGGGTGAGTTGAGAATTGTCACTGTGTGAGAAATTGCACAACAGATACTTGGAAGCGTAGAAATATCTAGAGACTAGTGATTTTCATGGAAATATATGCAAGTTACAATTAGCAATCGGGAACTGCGTCTATTTTCAGACAATAAGACTGCCAGCGACACTTTTAAGACCTCAGAAAGTGACGATCGATCATTTAACACGGAATGCTCGTCGAAATTGGTACTTTACGCGAACGTCGGCAGCACCAAGTGCTATTTGGCACAAATAATCGCGCAGTATAGCGGCACATGTCTGTCCGTGAAGCAAGTTGACGAGACAAGTTCTGGTAGTGTGACGTTAAATATGGGCGATATCACGTTACGCAACGGCAATGCTATCGCATTCTTTTTGTCAAATCCACAGTTGCGGCGCGATGACGATTTGCTTGCGTCCAGTCAAGTGTTGGGATGGCTGAGCTACGCGCAAAATCACATTTTACCAGCAGTCACCGCTTGGGTACTTCCAACACTCGGAGTATCCGTGTCGAAAGATATGAAAGCAAATTCGAAACTCTCGAAGGAGGATCTTTTACGCGATCTGAAAAGATTGGACGGCATGTTGCATATGAGGACTTACTTGGTAGGAGAAAGAATCACGCTTGCGGACGTGTCAATTTTCACCGCATTGTTGCCACTGTACGAGCACGTGCTCGACCCGCATCATAGGAAATCGTACACGAACTTAAACAGGTGGTTTTCAACGATCCTGAATCAACCGCAAGTGACGGCTGTAGTGGGGAATTTTGCATTTTGCGCAAAAACTGCGCGCTGTTAACATTATCGCGCTAAGGATCAATTTAATCATTATTAATTGTTACACACGCTTTCATCAGAATTCTTCATTGCCCTCATTGTTTTTTTCTGGCTCGTCGATCTTAAAATTGTCATACAATATTTTGATCTCCCTCAACAATTTGGAGATATTGGTGCCCATTTTGGCAGATATAGGAATCACCGGCATATTCACATGTTCTTGGAATAATTGTAAATTAACCTGAAAAACGAATCGTGACCGCGTTATTGCGATAGTAAGTAAAGAAGGAAAAGAGACCGGAATGTAAGACTCGTCGAACATGTATTAAAGATGAGGAAAACGCGTGGAAAGATTTGGGATTTCGCTTTCTCACCTCAGCATTCGGCAGGTCCATCTTGTTTGCCACGATGAGAAGCGGCCTGTCGTTCAATTTCGGGTTGAACTGATTAATTTCGTATCTTAACATTTCAAAACTTCTCCACGGCTCGTCCAATGTAATGTCTATGATAAACACTAAAGTAGCGCAACGTTCCGCGTGTTTGAGGAAAGTTATGCCGAGTCCCTTGTTCTTGTGCGAATCTTCTATGAGACCGGGCATATCGGCCACTGAAATATATATAAAATATATACAATATAACAAGGTAGAATAAAAATTAAAAGGAAAAAAATGGGCTTGTTCTTATGCCCGAAGCATCGATCAAATCACCTGCAACTTGTTCATAATCGTCGTACTGTATCATGCCGATGTGAGGTCTCAAGGTGGTGAAAGGATACGCAGCTATCTTCGGTTTGGCTCTGGATATTGCTTGTAAAAGTGTACTTTTGCCAGCGTTTGGCAAGCCGATCTAAACGTGAAACAGAAACCTATTACGCGTCTTCAAATATTTTGTACAACAGCGGATGTGTTTTGTACAATCGCAAACATAAATTACATTTGCTTGAGAGCGGTAACAGTAGTATTTTTTTTTGTTTAATTGCTAACATGCGAGAATTTATAATAAGAGAATCTGTACACGAAAATATACACACTTACTAATCCAACGTGGGCCATGCTTCTGATTTCTAACAAGTACTGCAGGTTCTCCCCGATTGCGCCGTATTCACATATTTTGGGCGACTGATTTACATCAGACTTGAAGAAGGCATTACCGTGCCCACCTGCGCCGCCCCTCGCGGCGATAAACATCATCCCGCTTTGATTTAAGTCGCACAATATTTTGCCGGTTAGGTCGCGCACGATCGTGCCAATCGGCACTTTTATCACATTGTGTTGTGCATTTTTACCGAAGCAATCCTTGGAGTAACCTTTCTCTCCATCTTCAGCTTCAATAACAGGCAGTACATGGCCAAGATCTTTCACATCCGTGGATGCCTGTAATGATGAAACTATATATTGCATTTACAATCTGACGTATTATACAAATTAGTGTCGGAGACGTAATTTATTTTATGTATGTGTGTGAGTGTGTGTGTGATAAGTCGAACACGAATTACATAACAGACAAAATCTAAATTCCTCGTATTTTATTTTTTTTTGTTTTAACTATAACAATCTTACCTCAAATATTACATGACCACCATTTCCACCATCACCCCCATCGGGACCGGCTTGATCGTTGACCCACAGTTGTAAAAATGTTAATTCCCCATCCCCACCATTTCCTCCGATTGTTCTTACCTGGTGAAATAATAAGCACATATTCAAAACTGATGATAACCACACAATCTAAAAGACGTTGTTTAGATATCTTATTATGTCTCAAAGACGTCTTTATGATGGGTTAATATTCTCTGGGAACAGGTGCAATACTCATCTCACCTGTTTTATATCCACGAAATATTGTGGATTGTTATGTTTTGACTTTTTTTTTATGCTACGTAGAGGTTTAGCTATAGAATCCTGTTCACGAACGCATGCGGTGACACACAGTGTCCTGGATGTATTCTCGTTAGAAATTTTATATCCACGCTGTTCACTAAAGCTTACGAGTTGTCTTTGGACTATGTTATATACAGAGGTATTTCTCAAACGACGAAGACAGTGCATCTGAAAACGATTACAGAAGCTGAAATCATTCGAATCTCGTATTCGGCATATCAATAAGATAAATCAATAAATACATGTATCATTTTAGATAGAATATAACTTTACTAGTACAGTTATACAATCAGTTACATATATTCGAATTATCTTGAGACAGTGACATTAAATTTGTCTTCTATGAAATTTGAAATAATATTTTGATGTAATTCAATAACTCTTTTTCTATACAAGGGCAGAAAGTTTGACTTATAACTTATCCTATAGGTTCTCCTTATTTTTTGGTCGGCAGGAGATAAATAATAATCAATCAAATCAATATTGTCGATAATAGATCCTGCATAGTTATACAATAATTGATAAAACTCAGCAGTATTAAAATCCATGTCAGAGGTTAAATTTATATCAAACGAAAAAATACATGGGTAAATGCACTTGATATCGTAATCCGATACATTTTGGACATTGCTTGTTATCTCTTTCCATGTAATATTGTCTATGGTATATTTAAAGGAATTTATCTTGTTACTAGGTGCAATATTGTGTATTGTAGGTTGCTCGCTCTTTGTAAAGCAATGTGTCAACGAGCCTACTGTATGAAATTGTTTCTCTAAACTTTTGTATCCTGTCACAACGTAGTTTGGAAAAGACTGCCACAAAAAGGGCTCTATTCTCGTTAATATTAAGTTCCCATGTGCCGCCATTTCTACAATTTTCCAAGAATCATCCCAACGTCTCTTAGGATTGTCCATAGCTGTTCCTCCTTGACCCTTGCACAATGTCACTAATACCTGACCATTCTCTTTTATCATCTTTGCAGATGATACAAAAAAATTTTTCAACAAATCCCTATTCTTTTCAATTCTCATCTTGCCACCAACGTGAGGAAAATTAAAAATAATTTTATCAAACAATTTGGATTTTAATGAGGGACATTCTTCCAATTTTGTCGCATCTATGCCACATAATACACAAATACCTGAAAAGAAAAGCATATTCCTTTTTATGATTCAAACATTAAATATATGATTTGACATTTGAGCGTATTTTAAACTGTAGCTTAAAATTATATCATGGAATGTGAGAATATGTTTGATTTTGAACACTGATATTCTTTAAAATATTAATTTACAAGTTATGTCAGTATATTATGAAAATGTAATCATTTGGATTATACTAACCATTATTTTGAAGATGCTCTATATTTTTCTTTGTAGCTTCTTGATTCGTACTGGGTTCATAACAAGTAGCAATAAAATTGATGTTCAAATTTTGTTGTAACAACGCAACAGAGAATGAAAAATTGCCTTCTCCCACTAGCAATACAGAATCATTTTCATTAAATATTGATATCTCCATCTTTGTCAAAGTAATCAAATCATATATAAGTTGTATATATATTCAGATATTATAGGTAAATGCTTTTCTTTCCAGAAAGATGTGCAATTAAAGACTGTCAAAAACATATATCAGGTTAGAAAGATAGATTAGTTAAGAATATAACCTATCATGAAATAGAAATATGATAAATTTGACTAACCTTTTATTCTATATGACTTTGTCGTTAGAACACAGCAACCTTCTTGAACCAAATATATTTTTCACATTATATTTATTTATGAAAAAATGTGCAAATACGATAACAAATATGAGAGAGATGCACGTTGTATTGAGGTTATGGTGTGGCTTCCTTTCTCTCTCACTCCTTTCTCATCCCTCTCTCTTTGCTCCTCTCTCTCTCTCCTTTTCGCTCAATGTCAAGTTTGTAAACCTAATCGATATTATTAACAATTTCATTTTTATATATTTATTATATATTAAATTATATAATAAATAATTTCAAAAAGATTGAAAGAATCGATTTATTTTCGATATGTTTTTATAATATAATCGATAATTAGAAATTGATCCTTCTTGTAATCGATTACTTCCGTCGATTGTGTTTATACTTCGAGAATCGTAAGTTTTGCAATGGCGACATGTCAATCTCAAACTGTAAACTGTCCGGTATTTTCCGTGATTTTACGTTCAGCGAAGGCAAGTTTTGCGCGGAAAAGATCACCATCGCGAATGCAGAAGGTATATTTTCTTGGAAGAGCTATGAAGAATAACGTCCGAAACATACTTTCACGAATGCGAGGAAAAATTTACGCTTTCGTTGTATTATATCAAGTTAAAATCATAATTTGTCAAAGAAAAGTTCGTAAGTATGGGATAGCTTTTTACATAGATTTACATAGATTTTTACAAATTCTTTTTTTTTCTTTTTTATGAAATATTCTAATTTTTGAAATTATTGTTTTAAAGTTTCAGAGGAAAACTGTTGTTTTTCTCATTTTCCATGATTTCTTTAATTTCTGTCCCAAGGACAAAACTGAGAGATAAAAATCGAAAAAATCAGTGGAAAAATAAAGAAAAACCCGGTTTTTCTCGAGCTTTCAGAATTATATATATTTTTTTAAGTATTTATATCATTCTTTGAAACATTTTGCAACATAAAAATTTGACATTACAATATGTAAAAAACACTTCTCCTCAAAGAAAATTAGATAAAACAAATATATTCATGAAATTTTATTTGAGTAGAAAGGATTTTCTATTTTTCTCTTTGAATCAAGCAAAAAATCAATTGTAGATATCCTAGTAGCATATTTTATTGGCATTACATTGGCTCAACATTGGCAGCAAACCTGGCAACTAGGATAAGAACAGGTAACATTACAAATTTCTAATGTAATCTTAAGATTTTTCTATATGTATTTCTATATGTCATTTATATTATTACAATTATTTAGTTATAATATAAAAAATGAAGATATATAGGTCATATATATATAATAATATCTTATTATAACATATATTGAAACAAACAAGTTTTTCCATAATTAACATAATATGAAGTAGTTATGTAAAGGATGCGAATATTTACCCTTTGCTTCATATTAAACCATACTTGTATCGTTTTATACGTCACTTATTATACAAATAACAGAAGTCCGTGAAACTCCACAAAACCTACTTTATGAAAAGTCAACTTTCTAAGAAATACTAGGTCAGTCACAAGGTTCAGTTTGATTTGCGAGTTAAATTTGACTTTATTACACGAGAGCTAATTATTCATCAACAAAGTAATCGCTGTCTATGATCATTCGCCAACGTGCTGGCGTTATCCGCATTCTTGCATGCAGCATACACGTACGCGACACCATTTATCATGAATCGAGCTGAACTTTTTGACTGACCTAATAACTGAATTCCTCTTTTTTCATGTAAACATGCTGCGCGTGCCTCTCGATATGGAGCGTACTTTTATGCACACGATGCTGCTACACGGTAGTGCCGCATATTATATATGCCGTGAGACACCAGATGTATTTATCGGTGATAATGGACTTCTCTGAAGCGAGGATAGTCTTGCGAATCTAAGCGGCGTATTAACGCGTTATTCCCCCTAACGGTAAAGATGTGACCGGCAGAGATGGTAGAGAGACGGCGGAGGCGGAAGGGAAACCTGCACTGCCCGGTTTCTTGCAGCCATGATTGGTAGCGGCCGTCAGTACTTACTTAACCGTTGCTGCGTTAGCAGGTGCGGTTACTTTCTACTTCGCTGACTGCACAATCATCAGCGTCCCTGCAGTGTTTCCCTCGCATTGTCCGGCACTCGACGACGACGACGATTTCTACAACAATCCGGCGGCGACCGGCGGCCGATTTGCGATTTTCCCGCGGCGCGGAGGACGAGTGTTTCTCCTCTCCGATCAGGTGAGTCACGAAGAATGAATTATTTCGCGCGATGACGCGATCTCTTTGCCGCCGCCGGAAAAGGACACGTTCCCGAAGCGTTATTGTTATCGAGCGTAGGGAATCGCGGTTATCCTGTCGTGAGAACGACTCTCGACGGCGACGAGAAACTCGACTTGCTTCTTTTTCACATCGGCGCGATTGCCCTGCTTCCGCGAGGGTGAAAGTTCCAAAGTCGCCGAGCGACGGATCGGTCACGATACTTTCGGAAGTCAGCGATTCGTACACCTGAAATTATACTCGCTACTGTAGTTGAGTTTATTATGGGACAGCGAGCAGCCGAACAAATTCGTCGGCTCCTCGATTTATCAAATAAACAGATGGAAAGTAGGATAGTAGTTTAGTACGGATACTTTCATGCTGGAGGATTTCGCTATAATCTGTATGTCTAACTGTAACGTGCTTTTCATTTGCTTGCGTATGTAATGGTTTATTAAAATACATCACTCTGGATTTTAATGCTGATTTGCGCGACATAAGCGCGATACAAACGTTTAAAAGGATGCCTTTAATTTGTATATCGCGATAAGATACAATCTGCCCGTCGGCGTTTTATCGTGCTTTTACGATTTACGGTTAAATATGTAGATCGCATAAACTACCATGACCACAGAAGCAGAACCTGAAGTGGGGCTGCATATTCCATATCTTGTTTCTTGGCGAGAGAAATGGAGCAGTGCAGGAATGTTAGATACGGTTGGATTTTATCAAAGCTTCGAATTTACATCGATTTGCGGAACAGCAGTGGCGGTCGACCGGTACTGGCGAACGCAATAAATAAGAATCGTCGAAATCATCAATTCCTTAAGTTTTTTTTCTCAGTTTTGTTCTACTCTCTTTGAACAAATCTGTGTCTTATCAAACATAGACGATTTCCGTGAACCTGTTGGTGAACCTTGCGCGTCTCCTAGATAATAAAATATCACGCGTTCATATACTGACATAACATAATCTAAACAAATTTATATAAATGCATGCGCACATGCTGCTCAGATGTCGGTCATGTCATGTCAACAAATATAGCATTCATCCAAAACAAGTCAAGATATATATACATGTTTGTACATCCCTCTATAGTATAGAAGCTTGCAGTAACATTGTTGCTACAATGTCGCTAAATTTACAACAATGTTTCCAGACAACATACTATCCAAAACCGGGACATAAGACACCTTTGAGATATCTTCAGGACGTTTTAGAGAGATCTTAAAGATATTATAAAAACGTCTTATATCCCGATTTTGGATATTGTGCTGTTTGGGTTAACATTAGCTTTTGTGCTATACGGGTTATTTGTATACATCTTGTGCTGATGTCATGTTAATCACGTGATGATCTTTAAAAGGATATTAAGTTGAAGTTGCGGTGTGACGATCACATCGTGATGAGACGCGATCATCACGCATTTCTATCTGGCGTTATACAGACGCGCGTAAGGTGCCGGGAAATATTTCATATATGTCGAGGGGATTTCCCGATTTTCAATGACACGATAAAAATAACTACACATTCGAGATGTGCAGAATCCTTAATGATCCATAATTTATCACCAAACGTATTTTCTCTCGGCCGGTAATTATTATTCGTTAGAGAATAACCGTGACGATAACATCACGAATACCACGATACTCACATTGTTAATTCATCGCCGGAAAAACCGGTATGATGACGACCGAGAGATTTCATAAGGAAGGAAAACTATACAACGACATATAATTACACTGACACTTGTGCACACAGCGTGCATTTTGTCGTGTACATAACCGCATCTAATTATTCATGACGTTTGGAAGCATTCCTGTGTTTTAATGTCTGGTTCTATCTATCGATGTCTTCGGTATTTTCGTACCAGCGATCCATTCGTAGAAAACAATTTTAAATGACTGCTATTGTAATTGTTATCAAACTCTTGCAATTATATTGTAATTGAAGGGAAATCACCAAGTGCGCGTTGCTGTGTAAAATCATTTTTCAACGTGTATTTTGATACTGAGGTGAGAATACTTTGGAAAGATGGCTTTTACGACGGCATTTTTATTTATTTATTTTATTTATGTTATTTTATTTTACTTTTTTATTATAGAATCTCTGTGTTTTCTTTACGAACTGTAGGCCCTCCCATTTGGAACATGGATTGGCAATGGCTGGGTGTTCTATTGCTATCAGGGATAATTTCAAATGTTGCAGCAGAACCGTAAGTTCGTATAAATACCGATATAAACAATTTTCGTTAATTAATGCGACGATCTTGTGCGTGAAAATCTCGTCCTCGATCGCACTGCATTATTGATTTTACCAGAATTCTTACTCCCCGTAAAGGTATTACACGATAATCGCGCCAAAGGTGGTACGCCCTGATTCAGAATATCATGTTGCGGCAAGTACGACCGGCATATCGATACCATCGACGATATACATCGAGTTGACCGGAGAACTCGACACGGGAAAAATATTGAACGTTTCTCGCACCATAGTCGTCGAGCCTTACTCCACTAAAATCTTGCAATTAAACGTACGTACAGATCTTTAATAAGAGCCACAGAAAAAAGAAAGAGAGAGAGAGTGAAAGAGAAACATTAGTAAAAATGTATATAATTATCTTATTATTTATCACTGATATTATTTATTTCGTTTTTACAACGCCAGATCGGCGAGACCACACCAGGGAAATACAAGCTCACAGCACGTGGCTTGTCGGGCATAACTTTCTTTAAGTCGAAAGATGTCGAATATGTACATAAAAGTTACTCCGTCTTCATTCAGACTGATCGGGCGATTTATAAACCCGGTCACAAAGTTATGTTCCGCTGCTTAGTATTGGACTCGAGACTAAGGCCAAGCATCGTGGGACCGACTGATGTGTATATCATTGTAAGTATCTTTGAATATGCATACATAATTGCTAATTAAATCTTTTCAGGTGGATAATTTTTAGATTAAAATTTTCTACATGATTCTTTATGTAAATCTTTTCTAAATTAAAAAAATATTCCTTTCGATTGAGAGAATCGTTTTATATCGAAAGTATAAATATAATTAAATTAAAACGTAAATAAAACATAATTATATGTAGAATATAATAGAATTAAAAAACATAATTAGAATAGAATACAATTTAATTAAAATATAAATATAAATAATTGTCGCGTAAAGGTAAGATAGTAACAGATTAAAAAATCGACCGCAGGACGGCGATGGTAATCGCATCAAACAATGGATCCGGCCACCGGTGGCTCACGGGATCTTCAGCAGTGAACTGGAGTTATCAGTATCGCCAGTGTTGGGTAACTGGAAGATCGTTGCCAATGTGGGCGACCAGACCTTCGAAAAGGCGTTCGAAGTCGCGGAGTATGTCTTGCCGAACTTCGAGGTGACGATCGATTCGCCGAAGCATTCTACGTTCAAAGAATCCAAAGTGACAGCAACCATTTACGCAAAGTAAGCAACTCGTGCGTGTAAAATGAGCTTCTTATGAGTGCAAGCTTAACGATACATATTCGACGTACAGAAGTATTCACTTATAAGTACACGCAATTCAGGTATACTTACGGGAAACCAGTGAAAGGTGAAGCTACGATAACAGCTTTCCCGGACATCTTTTCCGGTGTTATCCAGCCGATATTTCAGCAACCTGTGAGAAAAGTGGTGCCGATTGACGGAAAAGTTACGGTCGACTTTGACATTCGGTCTGAATTGAGGTAAATCCCTAACTCTGAATTTATATAATCTATATAAATATAAATATAAATATAAATATAAATATATAAATAAATATATATATATATATATATAATGTGCATATTATATAATTATATATTATATACATATTATGTATTTCATATAATTATATATATTAACACATATACAGTACATTCTACGTTGACTCCTTAGATTGACCGACGAGTATGACAGGCCCATCATGATTGACGCCGTGGTAGAGGAAACTTTAACTAGTAGAAGGCAAAATACTTCGATACAAGTAATGCTACACAAACACAAATATACGATGGAATTGATAAAGACTTCGGAGTACTTCAAGCCGGGGCTAAAATATACCGCATTCGTGAGCATCAGTTTACATCGGTAGATGATCGATATATTTAAGTGACAATGTCTCAACGTTTTTATATATCGTCACGTGTCTTTCGTAGCTAAAATTGGCATATCACGATGGATCGCCGGTGCAGGACACGAAAAATTCTGTTCTGATAGCACACGGATACACGTACAACCAATCGGCTTACACACGTTCCACGCGAATGCTAGATGAGCATGGCATGGTGCAACTGGATTTTTATCCTCCCAAGTCAAAGGATAACATATCCTACCCTCTGAACATAGAGGTAAAGTTACTTTCAATCAAGTCTCTTCGTATTATGTTACTTTCAAGTATGCCATACGCGATCATTCGTGTACACTTGCACAGGCGCAATACTTGAATCTTCACGAGTGGTTTCCTTCGACCAATCAAGCTACGTCCTTGAGCAATGAGTACATTCAAGCTATCTTGAAAACGGAAAAACCTATGGTATATTTTAAATCTATTTATTATATATGTTGTCTTTGACAAAAGCAAAAGAGAGAGAAACACAATGTCTTTGGATCTCACACGATGCGTTATGTCCCAAGGTAAACATCAACGTTGAAATCGAGGTAAACTCCACCACGCCGTTGAAATACATAAGTTACGAGGTGCTTGGTCGCGGTGATATTCTACATGCGGGATCGAAATACGTGCAAGACAAATACACGACGTCCTTCGAGTGAGTTAATCGTCGAAAAGGTTTCGGAACTGCCAGCGCGCAATATCTTACGTAACAAAACGTGTTTCAGCTTTTTGGCAACATACGTTATGGCACCTACTGCGCACGTAATTGTATATTATGTACGAACGGACGGAGAAGTAATAGCGGATTCGTTGGATGTAGAACTGACGGGAACACTTCAAAACTTCGTAAGATATCAACGGCACTTTCGAGAAGATGATTTAATGGAGGATAATATGAACTAGAGGTTGAAGTGATGCTTCAACAAAACGATTTGTATAATTTACACATGCGTGCTTACCTGCAGGTGGATCTCAAAGTAACACCTGGAGAAGTGGAGCCTGGGGATGACGTTAATCTCATGATTTCCGCGAAACCGAATTCTTACATCGGATTGTTAGGCGTTGATCAAAGATCCATTCTGCTGAAATCTGGAAATGATATTTCTCATGTAAATACGGTGCTGTAGCTGAAGTATATAGCTGAATTTAATTGTTGATAGTTTATACTGACATGACTGATCTTCCCTTGACGGCCTAGTAAACGGTACTGATTGCATCTGCTCGTTGCGTTTGCAGGAACAAGTATACAAGGAGTTGCAGTCGTACGACAGGGCAGAAGTTTCGCCGTACGCCGACTCGTTCTTCGGTCGTCCTTTGTGGAGACCCGGCTCGGGGACAGCGGATGACATATTTCAGGTAAGATACGTCACGATGTACTTGATACCTTCTTCTTCTTCTTCTTCGTTATTCGTCGGTCGTATTAAGATGACGAATGTATTCGATAGAAAACCGGCGTGGTAATCCTCACAAACGGGTACGTCCATGAGAACTTCGCTTTACGTAAGTATGCAGGTACATGTTTCAGATATACTTAAAGTATACAACTGAATATGTTATCATTAATATACTCATTATATTATACAGTAAAATACTAATATAACACATCCGCGTTAAGTGTATCACGAAATTGTCTTATGGATTGGACGGCACATTGGATATTGCTACAATCTTCTTATTTTTAATATAAATAGCATGAGGAGAATAACAACTTTATCTTCGATTGAATTTGTTAATCAGTGTCGTCTATCGAGCCATCTCTCTCAATCGGACTAGGTACATACATAATTTTTTAACCAAGCTTGTATGTGTGTAGTATACTACCGATCTAGTTTGGATGATGCGGTATTTGCATCCGCTGCGGGATTCTCAGGTCCAACTCAGGCATTACCACCCGAGAAGGTCAAAGTTCGCAAGAATTTCCCTGAAACTTGGCTTTGGCAAACGCTTGATGCTGGGTAATGCAAATGACATAATAAATTATCACGTGTGCACACACACCTTCGTTTAAAATATACCTATTTATATATTTTTTTTTAAACTGCAGATTATTTTTACTTACATATTCGTTTTGTTCGCCATTAAATGGGTAACAAATGCAATTGTCATTCTATACTTGTTCACAGTTATTCCTTAACGCGCCTTTAATCTGTTATTTTGTACCTCATAGTGGCACGATATCTTTTATAGAAAGAAATATCGTGGGAGGGGGAATTTAAATACCAATCATTCCTCTCTACACTGTATGATATACAATTTCCAAACCATTATAAATATCGTATATGTGCGCTTGTATAAAAATATCAATATCGAGCTTGTTGCTGGGAGATTTTTATGGTGTCAAATAATTTACGGTGGCGGGGAAACCTTTCATGTGTACATAAATATAATAATCAATTTTCTCATAATCATTAACACGTGACATTTATATCGTTTCTCTATTACAGGATATTGCCTAGCACAAATCTTCAATTATCTTTATTTGTTATATCGAATATTTTGTGCACCAGGATCACTCCAAACGCGACTGCTCTTCAACATTATTGGAATATGATTTTCTAATTTTTACGAGAAATTACGTGAAAATTTGTTCGGTTAAATAAAATAATTAATACGTTAACATTGAAGAACGTTATATTATGTTTATTAATTATTACGTTACAGAAACTTGAAATGATAAGGAAAGCGTTTTTCCAAAACATATTCCGGTTAATAATAACATGGAATGATCCATTATGTAGTGTCTCGATGATTGTATAAGCAAAATGTTTCAGAATTACTACTGCCAGTGGAAACTACTCACGTCAGAAATTAAACTGAAAAGAACGTTATTTTTATTGGAATCCCCATAGCTTTTAAATAAATTAACCTTTTGAGGTGACTCGATATTTACAAAGATTCACGAAATAAGCTCTATGTGTGAGAAGATATATAATAAAACTTTTTTAAAGTGTATTTATATATATATATATATATATATAAAATTTAACGTTTAGTTTCGACAACAGTGGAACGTTAAAAAGTTATTTGGCAGAAAAATCTATGGTTTGTAGGAAACTTCGTTAGAAAGAGACTGCGGTAATTCTGCAGCATTTTGTCACGGTCGAGGTTGGTGTAGTACAATATACAGAATTGGATTGCAGGATCCGAAATTCCGGATGGTAGAATAACGGGCTCGCCTCATGGGGTATCCACGCTTCGACCAGACCTTGGTCCACCTGTTACGCACAGATTAGCAACAAGACCACCGCTGGCAGGTCCTTACGCCTTCTCTCGCATCCCACCTCCTGTTTGGAATAAGCCCCGTGTATTCCTAATGCATGACATCTTAAACACCTGGGTTTTCACAAACTTCTCTTCAGGGTATTTATTCGTATCTTGTATACTTCTAGTTTATGCACGCCTTTGTATGTTTCGTGTGTACACAGGGTGTACGGAAATTGTTGGTGCGAACAATTTCACGTGTCTGCAGTGTATGCGCCGAGATCAATGAGAAGATGTCAGAGAACGCGCGTGTGGCTGCAGAAAGATTAACTTTTCGAAATTTCAAAGTTAACTTGTCTGTTTGGATATTACAGTAACAGCCGGTACATCTCTGTAAATAATATATGTGTGAAGTATATGTGAAGTTGCTATATTGTACAGTTTATCATCATCATATGAGATTTTTTTATAAAGGTATGATCTCATATTTCTCAGGAATACAGTATTAGTTGATGAGTTGCGGCACACAGCTTGTTCTCTATATCATGCATATGCATTATTGATTGATAAATGGATTCTTTCGTATCGTGACGTTCATGAATGAATAGTGGTTTTCTGTCTGCAACTGTTTGCCAGTGACATCACTTATATATAAAACACGCATCTGCGTGCGTTCGTAATGGTGAAGGACAAAATTCAGAAATTTAACAAGTTTGCACATTAAATCGATTTGCCTGTTTTGCATATGTGTATCACATGTATGTGTGCGTGTATGTGTATATGTTGCTTTATCGAAAGATGTGACATGATTTCTTTACCGTGTGAAAAATCAATTTTCACAAGTTAGCTCATTAGTATTTCAATCACACGTGATACATTTTAATTGATCTGTTATCTAGACAGTAGGATACGCCTTCGGTGACCTAAATATTTCATCAGTTTGTTGCACTTGTAGAGGTATTAAGCGTGTGTGCGTGTGTGCTCCGTGTGTGCGTGTATATATCTGTATATACATGCGTACATGTGTTTGCAGACATACCGGACAAACTGAATTGCGACGAAAGGTACCAGATTCTATCACGTCATGGGTGTTGACTGCATTCTCCTTGAACGACGCGCATGGCTTGGGTCTCATAGAGGAGTCTAGAAAGGTTCTTATGTTCTCTATATCGATTCTTATCCATTCTCTTTTCTCATGAGCCATCACACATGATATTGCAAAGATTTAATCCTATGCAGTTGCCGGATCTGATACTGCTGTTTGTTATCTGCCTTTCAGTTGAAAGTCTTCAGGCCATTCTTTGTATCCGTGGACTTGCCGTACTCGGTAATACGAGGGGAAATCGTAGCGATACAGATTGCGGTCTTTAATTATTTGAACAAGGACTTGACAGCTGAAGTTTTGTTAAAGAACGAGGGTCAATTCGACTTTGCCGAGGTCTCTAATGAAGTTAACGATGCACCAAGTAAGCGCAAAATTATTAAAGCTACGAAAGAACAAGATATGGCAATTAAAGAACACGCGATTTATAATTATGTTTGTTGATTTTTCAGAATTGGAGTTATATCGTACGAAGAAGGTGGATGTGAAAGCTAACTCTGGCTCCAGTGTATCGTTCATGATTATTCCAAGGGAGCTGGGATACATCGACATTAAAGTGACTGCCAACAGCGTTTTGGCTGGTGATAGCGTTGAGCACAAGTTACTTGTTAACGTAATAATCTATAATTTCATATATATTTCTAATTTTGTTCTCTCAGTTGCGCTATTGTACACGTTGATATATAAGATCATTTCGTTTTAAGGCCGAGGGAGAAACACAGTACAAGAACAAAGCGGTATTTTTGGATTTAAGGAACGTTGATCACGCGGAGACAAATATTACTATTGATATACCTAACAACGCCGTCCCAGATTCCGAAACCATTCACATATCTGCAGTTGGTAAAAATACACTTTAAATCCACGTTCTTTTCAACTTGAAAAGGTCACTTAATCACTTTCCACGAATCTCTAGGAGATTTAATCTTTTTAATCAATAAGAAATGGTAGCCAAAATAAATTTTCTAGTATAACATGTATATATGTATAATAGGTATGCATATCTATTCCAAATATCGAGGTAAATACTATATTTTTTTTATATTGCTTAGGTGATATCCTGGGGCCTAGTATCACGAATTTGGCAAATTTGATAAGAATGCCGTTTGGCTGCGGCGAGCAGAATATGTTGAATTTTGTACCAAACATTGTTGTCTTGGATTATCTTAAGGTATGGTAATACACAATGAATAATTAATTAATACTCCCTTTTCTATTATTACGCATCTGTATCTATATATTACTATACTATAAGTATATTATTATAATTATATATATATATATATATAGTTATATGTAATATTATATTACATATTATGATGTGATATGTATGATACATTAAAAATATATTTTTTTAGAATACAAACCAATTAACGCAAGCCGTGCAAAGTAAAGCATTGAAGTACTTGGATATTGGTTATCAACAAGAATTGACTTATAGGCATAGAGATGGTTCCTTTAGTGCGTTCGGCAAGTCAGATCCTAACGGGAGTACATGGTACGTGTGCAACGAAATCGGCATATTACTTAACGACGTATACATATAGAGCCACTTCATAATTTAAAATATTTGCCGTTTAGATTTAATTTAAAAGTTAAAAATTACTCCGCTTATCAGGCTTACAGCTTTCGTGGCAAAATCTTTCAAGCAAGCAGCACAATACATAGCAGTGGAGGATAGGATAATAGACGAGGCCCTGAAGTGGCTGTCAGATAATCAAAGTCCAAACGGCTCTTTCCCTGAAGTGGGAAAAGTGAGCCACCGCGATATGCAAGGCGGAGCTGCGAAAGGACTCGCTCTAACGGCGTATACACTTATCACTTTCCTTGAAAATCAGGTAAGTGTAATTACTGATATAATACAGTGGATAAAAACGGTTCTTTGACAAAAGATCTAAGAGAAGGAATAAAAATATAAGAGTAGCGCCGGTGAGGATTTAAATATAAGTTGTCGATAAGCGATGAATAATCGTTCATCGTAGCTGAGTCATCAAAAGCACGGAAAAAACATTCGTTCGCAAATAAGGGAATATAAAACAAAGCGAATGGGGTAAAAATTGAATATAATTGCACATTGCTACTTCATATGCAGTTCTTAGACGTCAAACGTGTTAATTACAGGATTCCATAGAGAAGTATCGTAATACAATAAACAAAGCTGTTGACTACATCGTCCGTAATATCGAAGAGTTGAACGACACGTATGCATTGAGTTTATGCGCCTATGCCTTGAATCTGGCGAAACATCCGTTCGAGACGTCTGCATTCAACTACCTGGAGTCGAAAGCCATGACGCAACAGGGTCTCAAATGGTGGAGCAAGCCCATACCGGCGGACGACAAGAACCCGCACTACGCTCTACCGCGTTCCGTCGATGTCGAGATGACATCTTACGCTTTACTCTCGTATCTCCGACGTAACCTGCTTCCCGACGCGATCCCGGTAATGAAGTGGCTCGTCAAACAGAGGAATCCGGAAGGCGGCTTCGCCTCGACACAAGTAAGCCGCTCTTCGAAACGTTACTTTTGTCAAAACACACGCTATGTGTGAACTTCATAACGCTAAAGCTCAAAGTACGATACTACACGTTTAAAAAAACAAAATTTAGGATACCGTGATCGGGCTTCAAGCGTTGGCGAAACTCGCCGAGAAATTGTCGAGAGACATAAGATCAGTCCCGATCGTATTCAAACACGAGGGAGGTCAGGGCTACATGAACATAAACAGCGGTAATTCTATGATATTGCAGAAGCATATAGTAAGTTGAAGACAGTCAATTATGCTGCTCTACGGTTGCTCCGGGGCGAACAAATATTAATGTCCACGCGTCTCCACAGTTACCGAAGAAAACGCGTCACGTCAACATAACGGCGTCCGGCAAAGGATTCGCGTTGGTGCAGGTGTCTTATCAATACAACTTGAACGTGACCGGTGCCTGGCCGTTGTTTACCTTGGATCCTCAAGTAGACAAAAACTCCAATGCTAACCATTTACAACTCTCCATATGTTCAGGGTATGTTTGCGCTCGTTATGTTACGTGTTTGTCTACCGCGTTGTCATCGTTGCCGGCTAAGAGAACCAATCGAGACGTACAAGTGACGTTTGATCTGGTGGGAAACACGCAGAGCGTCGGTTCTCGGCGATCGCATGATTTTGTAGCGCTAATTATTTCCGATCAGATTTGTCCCAACCAAAGAAGCGAACGAAAGTAACATGGCTGTTATGGAGGTGAGCCTGCCATCTGGTTTCACGGTAGACAGAGATTCTTTGCCAAGCTTAGAAATATCGTCGCACGTGAAGCGCGTGGAAACTAAAAATGGCGACACAATGGTAGTTTTATACTTTGACAAGGTGAGCTGCACCATTGCCGATTACTGTGTCAATCAACAGTAATGGGTTACTGTAAATTGGCGGTGTGCACAAAAATATGATTAGGAATGTAACTGATATGTGGAATATTTATTATCGCAGATGATACAGCAAGAATATTGTCCCACTGTGTCCGCATTCAGGGTACATAAGGTAGCTAAACAGAAGCCAGTCCCTGTTTCCATATATGATTACTATGATTCGTGTAAGTGTAATTAAAAATATTTTATATGTCGGTTCAATCTGTACATGATAAAGTGAAAGACGGCAAAAAGTTCCAACCAAATTCAGTTTTCTGAAATTAGAATATATTCATAATGCAAAATATGGAATATATAAATATAAAGCTTGATTGAAATTGGTAAAAGGTATTCTAAAACAGAATATGTTTAATAAGAACTTGTTAAGTTATCAAACTGTTAAGTTAAAAAATTTAAAATTAAAATTAATGTTATTCATAATAACTTGATACTAATTAAATTTAAAAAAATATGTTTTTATTATTTTCGATATAGCGAGAAGAGCAAGGGTATTTTACGAGCCTATAAAGACAACTTTATGTGACTTATGCGAAGGTGAAGATTGCGAAGATATATGTGTCTCAAAACCTGGTAAACAAAAAGATAACGTTACGATGTCCGCTGCGTCTCGCGTATTTTCGTGTATATTTGCAATTTATCCTTTTTTCGTTTTACTCTTTGCTTTATAAGTACGTTTAGTGTTACACAAATCAAGAGTAATTATTTTACTATATTATATAGTAGTATTTTATATTATCTAATGAGAGATGACGTAAAAGAGCTGTATAAATTGCGACCAAAGTGCTTGTTACGCAAAATTTAAAATACTACGAGGTTATTTCTCTTCACGTGTAGTGTGTCCACAAATCAAACTAACATAAGATTTAATTACCTCTGTAATATTAATATTAAGTTTATAATAAAATTTAATAATGTTTCTTGTTAAAGTTAACCGTGAGTTTAATATCCTTTCATGTTCATAGATTCCCTTTTCATAGGCATCAGAAATATAAAGCTAATTCTGAGTGATAGATATATATTCGTGAGTGTATTAAAGCGTATGTGAGTTACAAGTACATATTCAAAATCGTTATTCATCGTTATTTACGAATATGTTTAGCCACATCAGTGTGGAATTTATGATTAAAGAATGAAAGAGCATCAGTGAGAATCAAAAGTTAGCTTTCAGAGAGCGTCAGAATGTACTGGAGATAAGAGCAAGTTCTTAAATTATCGACTATGGTCTGCTGATATATCGGTCAAACCAATTAATTTCCTGTGTGTACTAACTCATTCTAGATTACTTATCATTATTTCACATCACACAGAAGCAAAATTATAGGAAAAATCGTAGGAGTGAAGATAATGGTTGAAGATGATCGTAAGTATACACATGTGTCAATGAGAAATGTATTTAATTAATTTCATATAATTACATATACATACATATATATATATATATATATATATATATATATATAATATATAGACAAAAAAAACTACACACATATATATATATAAAACATTACTAAATTATTGTATAATATATCGTATTAAATACTCTACAAGTCATGTAAATATGAAATATTCATCGAAATTCTGTGCAAATATTAATTGCGCATTATACAATTAATCCATCGTACCTTCCAGAAATACAAGTGCATCAACTTTGTCAATTGCAGTCTCTATATCACGTTTTTGAACAGTCTTTTTCTTCGCTTGTATGGTATATTTATAGGCTTCCTTCACAAGCGAGTCAATAAAAAGTTCCTGTTGAAATAATTAAAAGTTAGTATAATCTATTATAATTAATTAGTATTAATCACTGAACAATATTCACCGTTGATTTTGCTATTAAGAACACAGCCTCCTGATTAACCAAGTGAACTTCTGGATCCGATTTGATAATTGTTTTAATTCGTCCGAGGGGCATTCGTAATAATTTTTCTCGCTGTTCCTCATCACCGTGTACTGTATTTTCGGTTTCTTCTTGTAATTCTTGCAAATTTTCTCCATTATTGATGCGACTCTCATTTGGCCCACTTATAGTATTTAAATCATCACTTTCCAAAATACTATCCATATTAATATGTTTACTCGCTTGTATAGTTTAAAAAAGATCAACACTTATGTATAAATTCATAGTAATTCAATGTGAATAAATACGTAATTGGAATTACTGCAAGTAATCGTGGCGGCAAACACATGTACGCGTAGTGTTTCGAAATTTTAGTCATCGATAAAGATAACATTGAAGATCGACAGATCTAACGTTTCATTCGTCGTGCAACGAATTTATTTGATTCGTCTATTGGTTAGTTCTACAAGGATGAGTAAGCCTTAAGAAATTACTAACCAATCACAATCGACTATTCATTTCACATTCAACTGTGATTAGTCAATTTCTTACAATTTAAAGTTTACCACACCTATTGCAGATCTGAACTTGACGACGTGTTGATTGTGAATATATTTTGAAATAGGAAGCACACCGATGTGTGGAAATTTAACGGTCAAAAGTTTAACGTATCAAAGCATTGAAAATTGATATGTAAGCACAACAGCTAAAACGTCCGGGCAGCATTATAAGGAGAAAAGGAAGGAGAAAGTTTTAACGTGATTTTATCCGACAGCTATGATGAAAACATATTGTTTTGACAAAAGTCTTCACGAGAGACTCATGGAATACACCAGTATACTGTCAAATTCAGAAAGGATATTACCTGCCTCGCAAATCGAACAGGAATGGAACTACGACACAGAGTTGATAATAGAGCCGGTCGGCTGGCAAGCCTTGTGGAATGTGCCGTTTTCAGTATGTGCACAAAACCAAGTTCATTATCCTTTGGTACTTTTGGTGGAGGTGTTGTCGACTGAATGTTCCACATTGTCCGCCTTGGTAAAAATTATATGGGATGAGATGGAAAAATATCAAACATTTCCCACAGAATGCACAGTTAAATTAATCGAACTCTATCCAACTATTGAACAAATAAACACTGCTTTGGATGTCTTAGGTACTGCGCATTGTATAGATAAATTGCGATTTTTCTTTACTTATTTATGGATGCCGTGGGATAATGAGGAAGATGATAATATCGATTGGGTGAGTCAGCACTTGGAGAGCAGGATAAAATTTGCCTATGATATAAAGAGAGGAATTATTGATAAACAAACTTGTGACCTGATCAGGTCATTGATAAGAGAAGGAAAGCAAATTTGGGAAAAAATCTCAAAACTGGAGAATCTAATAAGCGATGATGATGAAGATAAAAAGCTAACGGCAAATACAACAGTCGAATTGATGAATCTTCATTTCCGGCTTCAGCAAATTAAATCAGAGATGGATGTATTGGAAAATGCCACAATGAGAGAGATGGTTCTGAAATATCAAAATTCTGTAGAGAAAAATATAAAGAGCAAAGATGAAAAAATTACATGCTATTTTGTGTGGCTGGAGGGTACGTTAAAAGAACTTCGAAAAACTTGTGATCAAGTTGAAGAAATGTTACCCAATGACTTATCTATTAAGTAAGTTTCTCTTAAACAACTTTCTAAAAGAATAATTTATCTTATATATATATGTATATATATATATATATATTATACCTTCATTTTCAGAATTTATGGATGCTTGGATGAAACTTTGCATACATGTAAGTCAGGCGATATTGTTATGTTAGGTGAAGGGAAACATATAATTAATGGTGCTGATGGATTAGAAACAGGTGGCATAATTAAAGGAATAAGTGATGCCAGGTGTACCATTCTTCATCCAAAGGACTTGAACAGCTCATCAACTTTGCTTGATTTTTCTGATAGTTCTAACGAGGTATTATTATTTGTATAACAACGGTAAAATTTAGAATATTATATAAAATTTGTATAATTTAATTAACTTTACATATGTGCATTTATTTACCTTGTATAATAGGTTACATTGGAAAATGTCTGCGTAAGTCTAGGAGAACTTCCAATAGGCATAATTGTCAGAAGTGGAGTTGTAAGGATAAAACATTGCATAATATCTAATCTGAACTCAAAACAGAAAATTGTCCAAACGGGTATAGTTGTTATGCCGGGTGCGACATTAATAATTGATAACACAAATCTCGAGTATTTAGGAACTACTGTGCTTATTTGCACAAACGGCAAGGTTATTATGAATAACTGTAACATCCGTGCATGTTACTTGGGTATACAGGTAAAGCTACTTTGTATATAATTCATATAATTTTGAACATTTTTTCTACCGGAATATTCAAGATGTGAACGTATATATTTTTTTCAGCTTACTGATAATTCCAGTCTTATTGCAAATAAATGTGTTTTCGATAATTGTCTCGAATATGCTATACAAATGGATACTGATAGAGATATACCCAATGAAGCAAGACATTTGTACTATAATGAGATACCGGATGACATGTCAGAAATTAAATTAAGTGAATGTCGCAGTATCCAATCAAGTTTTAAGGATATCATTTTAAAACCAAAACGTGTCGCAGCTATGACAGAGTGGCTAGATGTCAATGCGATAATATGATATGATTGCATATTATTTGTTATCATAAATTGTTTGCATTTTGTACAGAATATATTGTTTAAAAAAAGTAGATTGCATAAACGTTTGAATTTGTCTATGAAAATATATTGGATTAGTATAAATAAATGCGTAATTTTATATCGCCTATCTCAGTCAATTTAATATCATTCCAATATTGCCGACAAAATCTTTATAAATATTATATTGACCGGTTTCACCACTATATATCAGCAGATTTGGATAGATCATCGTACGATAAATTTTTTAAATAATTGTCAAAAGTATATATGTATATTTCTCGTGAAATAAATATGCCATCGCTAAATGCTGGAATAAAATATCTAATATTACGGTGATTATAAAAAACTAATATTTCGCATACATTGGATTGTTGAACGTTTGATAGATAAGTAAATCGTAATTTGCAAAATCACGCGCGCGAGAGTATCGATATCTCGACAATCGAGGTGAAACTTCGAGGTTAGTAATCGTAGCACTTAACTGTTCAGACAGTTATGAAGCAGATGGCTGCGCGGCAAGTCGTGTTTTGCCGTTTTGTACTTTTGCAATTTCGACTCGTAAGGTAAGTCTTGCGCGCGAATTGCCGTCAGGAGTCATCAAAGAATCAAGTTTCGCCCGTTCCTTACGATGAAATATTAAATAGTCCGAGATATCTCGCGTAAAGAGTCGTAAACTGCCGCGTAAAATGTCGCGCGTTTACTGCGTAACGATGGCTCAAAATCGGTCGGACTCACGCTTTTTACCTGCTGACAGAGACTCGATTTATCATCAGGAATGTCGAACGCAATATCACTCGTTCGTCGCGTTATAACAGTTCAGAGGTTAAATTGTGGCGCTCTCGACTGGTTGAAGGAAACCAAAAGTTGATATTGATGTAAAATTCGAGGCAGATTGAATATTTGCAACAGACTTGAGACTTTAGTAGACTGTAATGGGACTGGCAATTAATTAACAGTCGAAATAATAGACAATAATTTATTTTTTGTTATCAAATCGTAACGATGTAATATAACAGACTACTCAAGCGCGGTAATTTTACTTTCTCTCAACAGATGGCGCCACCATTACGATTCATTGGTTCGATGGCATTTCAACGGTACGGACGGATAAGTCGAACTCGTAATGTGTTTCCGCGATTGTCAAAGGCAACTCTCGCGTATGATTTATCGTGGTCGGAAGATAAGCTTTGCACGTGAGTCACAAAATATCGTTAAACAGTCGTTTAAAGCGAATATCTTGTGCAACGGTCGTCGGGAGTGCCGAGTAATATGTCGCGCGTGTTCATCGCTTAATGGCGGCTCCAAGTTCAAATCGTCGGATCGGTTTTACGTTCTCGACTCGAGAAAGATTCGCCTGCGAATTATCATGAGGAATTTCGAGAGCAGCGTCACTTATTCGCCGCTTTCTAACAGTTCGGAGATTAAATCGCTGAGTTCTACGTCGTCGAAGACGACCGGCCAATTGGTAAGTATTGATGAAGATTCGTATCTTGGACCCTCTTTTATCGATAAAAATGCCTTAAATATGGCTCTTTAGCTAATCGGGTTGTTTCTAAGCAACTTTTAGAGATACTTTTACCAATAAAAGAGAATTCAGAATACAGGCTAAAGTTAATGTATAGCAGCTCTCTTTAATATTTTTCGAGACTACTACATCTCGATCTAATTTTTAATTTTACGACCTCGATAACAATGATCACGTACAAATAACTCTGTCGTTTCTCTTTTATTAAATTTTTCGCCAAACTACATCAGGCTATTCGGTAATTATCGGTTCTCGCTACAGATGGCGCGACCATTATGATTCGTGGGTTTAGTGCTCGATAGCCATTTCAATAGTGCGCGATGCGATGAAATATATCGGATAAAGTAAAGTAATGGTAAAGTAATGGTAACTTCGAGGTTGTCAACTTTGATAAGAGTCACGTTAACCCGTTTCATTGATCATAAGCTACGCATCACGTTCGCGTCAACGCGTTTACATCAGTTCGTACGGGATTGCAACTTTACGATAATCGGTGTGTACTGCAAGTTGTTTCCTAACCTCACTGACAACCTATCAAGCCGGCCACTTTGCCTTCCTGCCAACAAATGTACGTAACCTTTATCTCGGGCTTTAAAAATATGAGCAGTCGTCGAGTCACAAGTAGATTCAACGAGCATACATTTTCGGAATCCCGAACAGCCACGAACCTAACCTAACTTCGCAGACGTTTTGGAGTAGTCCGCAAGTTCGTGTCGTCGCCGCGAATACGGGAAAAGGTCGCGTACGCGCTGACGATACATCATTAGTACAACGTTATTAGTTGAATTCTGGCGAAAATATGCCTCACTCCGCTGCCTTTTCCGTTGCCATGTGGTCGTCAACACGTGCGCTCGCGCGTAATGAATGAAACGCGTTACTCAGCGAGCTCGTTCTCGCGAGCTTATCGTTATGAGCTCGTCGTCGCGAACTCATTCTCATCGATCGAGCGTTCGTCTTACCGTTATTCGAAATGATTAATCGCGCGTTTTCCGTCATTGAGGGAGATAAAACCGCGCGTCCCGCGTCATGCTTTGATATTGAGGCCTAGTGATTAATCGCAGAGGCGGCGGCAAATCAGAAGGAAGGGGATGAAGAGGCGACCTGCCGTTGGCAGTGCGCTAAACGCATGAGCCGTGATGTATCGCGCGAACGTGATGCATATTCATGATGTAAAGGCATTTCGGTACAACAAAAACGAATCCCGCAGACGCAATTTCGCATTCCGGCGGAACGGGTTTAAATGACGCGTCGGTCATATTTGTAACGTAATAATGCTTTTATTCTCTTATTTGGTCTTGAGGTCTCTCTTTACTTTTCCTCTCTTTTTTTTTTTTTGATATTGAATATATGTTAAATGTCACGGGGATTGAATCAGTCGGGAATCTGAGAGAATAAATCGAACAGATTAAATATAGTATACACTCGTTGCGTACCGATGAATAAACGGAAATGTTTTGCGAACATATTTATTGCCTCGTTTAACCACTTCCCCGAATACAGTCGGTTGTATTGTACAGCGCGAGTAACGGACCGTTTTTGCACAGTCTCCCGTCTTTTTGGGGTGATGCTAAAAAAGGGAAACGCTGCGGCAAAGTGCTTTGCCCAATGTACCGCAAATGAAATGAAATATTTCACGCTACAAAACGCTCCGTTGCATTTTTCGATGTGGCTCCTCTTTCGCATAAAATTGTCCCCGAAAAGGGCGGAATGCGCGCGCGCGAATTACTGTTTTCATCCATCGCGTGTGTCGCCGTTTGACATTCAGAATGTCAACGGTAGGATAACACATTGAAAAGTTCACAAAAGCGAGCGTTGCTATAAAGACGGTAGGACATTGTTTACTTTTCCACAGTTTCCAGCGATCACGCGCGTGGATCGCAGGAACCGCTCGGACAAATCGATACGTGTTGTCTCGCGATCGCCGAAGTCGAGCGGATGTATGCGTCGTCGCCGTTGACGGACGTGTCCTCCAGCATGGTGGAAACGATCGCATCGACGCAGGTCGCCGATGGGCAAACACAGTTCGGCAACGCGCGTCGCCTCGACTCGTCGGACTCCATCTTCGTCTTCAAGAACACGCTGTCGGATTACGAGGAGCCACCGTCGGACGAGGAGGTCAGTATCACCAATTTGCATCGAGCTTACATTTCATGGCGCCTCCGGGCAGTTTAACGAGGTGACGAGATGCTTTTTTTAATCGCGAAACTGGTATGCCGACGTATGTGCATCTTGAACATTCGCGGGATATGTCGGGGTCGTATTTTGAAGAGAAATGTCACGGCCGATTAAGTAATACGTTCGTGAATGGATTTCGTTTTCTTCGATTGTGACGTAACATATTTAGCATGTGATAACCGGTGTACGTGTGCGCACATATGTCAGCAATTGTCGTGGGACTGAAGAAGCCTTCGCTTTGGATCGATGTCGGTCGCTGTTACAAAACGAGAAACGATAAAAGTACGAGGGACGATTTTAAAGCACGACTTTACGGTCGATCACATGGCGGCGAATTAAATTATTCCGCTCCACATTTTTCTTTCAGTCGCAAGGGGCTCGTACGTTCTCTTCCGCTCTTTCTTTCTATATATACGTGTACATATCTTTTTTAACGCGACGAAGTCCGATACGATGACGCAAACGCTTTAATACCTGATTGTATTCCGCGTGCAAACCGTCCTTCCCGCACGGGGAGTTTTGATAAAATACACTATTTAAAGTCACAATAATTCATCTCCGGAATGCATCTCTGGTGCAACATCGCGGTCGAATTATCACCGCAATAAATGGGTTGCTCGCTCTCCCCCCCCCGCCCCTTTCCCCTCGCGGTATACAAACGATTAAATCGTAATATAATACCATAACTACCGCTCGCGCGAAATAGAGTTAGAGAGATAGAACGCAATGTCGAATTACGTTACATATTAATCAAATTGAGCGGTATAAATCCTTCGTATTAAATCCTCAGCGATATGTGGTTGGGGGAACAGGGATTGGCAAAGCGTTGCATCGGTCGGTCAAATTTCTCTTCTTCCTTACTTTTCCTCCGGGTTATCGTATCTGACAGCAAAATTCTACGTCCCATTGTCCCGATCGCAAGCGACTCCGTGCGTATTTTCCACGCGCCCCGGCTGCGTTCTCGCTGCGGATATATCTGTAGCGGTACTTGTTACATCGCGTGTCGAGCTCGTTGGCGAGCTCCGTCGCCCCTGCAGCGGCCGATAGCGCCAAGATAAAACGTTGCGAACGCGTACAATGCGTCGCGCGGCGGTACTTCCGAAAATATCCCGCTCGAGTTGCGAGGCAAAAAGTAAAAATAGCCATCCGAGATAGCGGTCTACGGCGCGCGTGGGAAGCGAGTGCAGGCCGATAAGAATAGTCGTATTGTGCAGTCGCGAGCGGTGTAACTGCTCGAGTGTATGGGAAAATGACACACGCACACAGAAGCGCAGAGAAGAGGTTAGCCCTCGCTCGTTGGCGAACTTTGCCTCAAGATTTTCCGCTGTGACTTTCACGCCGGTTGCTCCTTACGAAGAGCAAATCCC